AAGGCCGAGCGAGAGTCGCATTCCAAGAAGAAGCGCAAGACCACTGCGGACGACACCCGCAATCTACAGCAGAATACCCCTGAAGAAACCTCTGTCCACTCTCCATCCACACCCAAACAAGCAGGCGCTCCACCTGCGGCTACCCCATTTCCGTCTTCTATGTTCTCTAGTGGCCTAGGTGAAACAGGTCCCAATGTCTCTAATGAGGCGAGGGCCTTTGCCTCCGGCCATGTTTCCGGAACTAATGGACTTTCGTCTAATTTACCGGACAGCCTGAATCCTATGGCTGGGCTGGGCCAGGAGTTCCCGGACATGCTCAGCCCTCCAGGCATGGATGGTGTGGGCTTTGGCGATCCGCCGCCCTTCACGACATCTGCCGATACTCCGATGACATCTTTCCAACAACCTTTTGTTCCGCAGGATCTTTGGCAGATGCCAATGACTATCGAGTGGGACTGGGCGGATATGTCGACCAGCTTCCCCGTGTTTGACGCGGGCGGTCCGTCGCAGAACGATTCGTGATGACGATTATGACGATAGTACGAAACATCAACAAGTTACATTCTTCAATTCGGGACGTCGAAATCAGGAGTCAAAGCGGAGTGAAGGCTGGGTATTTCATGCACTTACTGCGTATCGCTTTTCTGTTGCTATCAACTCATCATTTTGGGATACACGGCGTTTGTATCAGGGATCGGGCATCGTCAAGCGCCACTCCACTTCATTTCATCTCCCCTGTTCTTCTGGTCAAATGTTCTGAGCGGTTTGTAAAAAGCAATTCTTGGTGGGCGGGAGTCTTTTTTTGGCGCGACCTCACGGCGAGAATGCTTCATATCGGTAGGACTGTGCCATGTGTATAAAAGAAAAACCGTCTGTAATTATTATCTCCACGCTCCACCACTAGATAGTTAGGACCCTTAATCACATAATTCCTAAATCCAGACTCGTGTCATCAGAGGGATCGACTGCGTTCGCTCGGCTTCTCCCAGCAGCTTAAATCCGGGCGGATGACTCAGCCCGACGGAACAGCGAAAATTCCCAGGCCGAAAGAAGGCGGGAATCGCTTCTTGCTCGGTGACAGCTTCCCCAAGAGCTTTCAGTCTCTCCCTCCCCCTCTCGCCGCACCTCCCTCCCCCCATCCCCCCCCGAAACGATTTATGGCTTCCGAAGTTTGCCATTACTACTGAATCTCCATCCGCATCCCGTTTCCCCTTCGACCTATCCCTCCGCCTTCGCCTCTGGGCTCCGCATCCTCGAACCATGGCGTCCCTACTCCGGCGGCCAGGCAACCTTGCTCAATACTCGAGGAGAGCCGCGGAGTACATCTACCGCGCAGGTCCCCGATCCGCGTATCTCTCCCAGTCGAGACTCTCGTCGCTGATCGCAGCGCGCCAAGCGAGAACATATGCCACCCAGCAACCGGGGGGACCGAAACCCCCGAACGGAGACGATGGCAAGCAACCACCGTCGAACCAACCACCCGGGCCCGAAAACAATGGCCAGAAACCGGAGGATTCTCAATCGGCCATTAGTCCGGAGGAGCAGGAGATGGTGGATCATTTCATGGAACACCTGAAGAACCGAGTGCCCAGCTCGCAACATCAATTAATCGACGATATGCACACACGTATGAAGAAGGACGGCATCCCGCCTAAAGTCCGCGAATTCATGGATCGCTGGATCGAATCAGAGAGGCCCCTGAGTCTGATGGACTACGTGAACTTGATTCGGTACATTACGGAATTCCAATCAAATTACGAGGAGAACCTGCAGGAAATGAGACGCCAAACGAAAGCAGACCGACAGTCGGAAAGGACGGATGAGCAGAAACAGGGACAGGAGGAGCAGGAGGAAAGTCACCAGGAAAACAAGCACGAGCAGAAGGAGGAGCAGCAGAAGGGCGACCAGCAAGGAAAGAACGGGGGCAAAAAGCCCGGTTTCAATGTCATGGAGATTCGCTTCGATCCCGCCTCCTTCCTGGTCACCTCGCTCCTAACGTACTATACCTACCGCAGCTTCTTCCCCGGGGAAAACAAAATGGAAATCACGTGGCAGGACTTCCGGGCAGAGTACTTTGATAAGGGTCTTGTCCAGAAGCTGACAGTCGTGAATGACAGTGTTGTGCGGGTCGAGATGAACCGTGATGCGCTGTCTCGTGTCTACCCGGAGTCCCCCGCCGTTAACCCGATGTTCAACTTCTACTTCAGCATCGGCTCGGTGGAGAGCTTCGAGCGCCGACTGGACCAGGCCCAAGACGAACTGGGAATTCCTAGCGCGGAGCGCATCCCCGTCTCCTATGTGACTGAAGCGTCGTGGGGTCCCACCCTTTTGTCCCTCGCCCCGACCCTCTTTTTGATCGGTTCGTTCTTCTGGCTGAGGCGTGCTGCGGGTAGCGGAGGCGGCCAGAGCGGATTCTTCGGTATGGGCAAGAGCCGAGCCAAGCGCTTCAACCATGAGACGGATATCAAGATCAAGTTCTCGGATGTGGCTGGAATGGACGAGGCCAAGGTGGAGATCATGGAATTCGTCAGCTTCCTTCAGCACCCGGAGAAGTTCCAGAAACTCGGAGCCAAGATCCCTCGCGGTGCTATTCTGTCGGGTCCTCCTGGTACGGGTAAAACGTTGCTGGCCAAGGCAACTGCCGGTGAATCGGGCGTGCCCTTCTTCAGTGTCAGCGGTTCCGAGTTCGTCGAGATGTTCGTTGGTGTTGGCCCCTCCCGAGTGCGTGATCTATTTGCCAACGCGCGAAAGAGTACACCCTGTATTATCTTCATCGATGAAATCGATGCTATCGGTAAATCACGAGCGAAGCAGAGCTACGGAGGTGGAAACGACGAGCGCGAGAGCACTCTGAACCAGATCCTTACCGAGATGGACGGATTCAACACGTCGGAGCAAGTCATTGTCCTGGCAGGTACCAACAGAGCAGACATTCTGGACAAGGCCCTCATGCGACCCGGGCGTTTTGACCGACATATCTCTATCGACCGGCCTACGATGGATGGTCGCCAGCAGATCTTCCGTGTTCACTTGAAGAAGATTGTTACCGATGAAGACATTGACTTCCTCACTGGCCGGCTCTCAGCCCTGACCCCCGGTTTTGCTGGTGCTGATATCGCAAACTGCGTCAACGAGGCGGCGCTTGTTGGTAGGTTTTTCCTCTTCCTCTTTTCCATTAGAAGTATTAACTAATGCATTTACCCAGCTGCTCGAAACAATGCGGACCGCGTTACCATGAAGCACTTCGAGCAGGCAATCGAACGTGTCATCGGTGGTCTGGAGAAGAAGTCTCTCGTCCTTTCCCCCGAGGAGAAGCGTACCGTTGCTTACCACGAAGCTGGACATGCTGTCTGTGGCTGGTACTTCCGCTGGGCTGATCCTTTGCTTAAGGTTTCCATCATCCCTCGCGGTCAGGGCGCCTTGGGCTATGCTCAATATCTGCCAGCTAATGGTGACACTTACCTGATGAATGTCAACCAGCTGATGGACCGCATGGCTATGACTCTGGGTGGTCGTATCAGTGAAGAGTTGCATTTTGACACCGTCACTAGCGGAGCTAGCGATGATTTCAACAAGGTAACTCGGATGGCCACCGCAATGGTTACCAAATTCGGCATGTCGCCCAAACTAAAATACATCTACTACGAGGAGGACCCCAGCCAGCAGATGCACAAGCCCTTCTCCGAAGATACTGCTCGAGACATCGACATCGAAGTCCGCAGAATTGTGAATGAGGCCCACGACCAGTGCCGTGCTCTGCTTACGGAGAAAAAGAAGGAAGTCGGCATTGTCGCAGAGGAGCTCCTTTCCAAGGAAGTCCTCGGCCGTGAGGACATGATCCGCCTACTGGGTCCTCGTCCTTTCCCTGAGTCTGGCGAGATCACCAAGTACTTCAACAGCGCCAACGGAGGAGCCACCATTGCCCCCCCTGAGCCAGAACAATCACCCGAAGAGACCCAAGGCAAAGACGGAAGAGACCAAACTCCGCAACCGACATAGACGAGTTTGATTGATTGCATCTTTTTCCATCTAATCTATCTAGATCAGGAAATCTTCACGGCTTTGACGAGGGGACATATATCAATTTCTTTTTTCATTTCTTGTTTCTCACCATGGGGTTTTGTATTTATCTTTGTTCGATACGATAAGCATCTCCGTTCTTCTTTTCCTTATATCTCTTTACCATCTCCTGATCTCGATTCACCTTATCTCTTCCTTTTCTTTGAAGCCATTACCATCAATCCGTTCATCTTTTTCATAAACATTAGGTTTCCTGTGATATTTTATTTCCATCTATGTCTCCCCGTTTTTCCCGTTCCTGGTTTGCTTTTCTCTCCCCTTCCTATCGATCTATCTATCTATCGCTTGCCGATGTTACTGCGCTCCTCTGAGAAGCGTTGGGTGTATTTGTATTGTATAGTAGGTAGTCAAATGTTTATTTGATCTTATATTTACCAGGTTGTTTGTACAATTCTACATATAGTTGTCCTATAAGAAGCTCGGTATGACTAATTTAGTATGTTGGGGCTTGTTCTGTTGACTTCTGCTGGTGATATATATCTGACTTTCGTGACAGAAGATCCATTTGTCAGGCGCGATGATGACAACATTGACCACATGATAAGTAATTGACCTGAAGGAAGGTAATTCAATTCTATTCGTTACATTCTTGATGTAGGAAAAAAAGGATGTCGGAAAGTGCCACCCAAGTATCTTAAGTGCCTACGATGGCCTACAGGATGAAACCGATAGTCGAGAAGATAAATACTTTAAATTTGTTGTGAATTTCACTATTAAACGCCACATTCGGGGGTAGGATCCCAAGGTAAACGGAAAATCAAAAAAGGAAGCAGAAGGAATAATTCCAATTTCAAATTGGATAATAAAATAATGATAAATGACAATATTTACTTTAAAAAATAGTCCGGGAAAAGTAGGATAAAAAATGAGAGAAACAAAAAAGCATCATCGGTAAGATGCCAAATTGGTCTCGAATGACCCTACTGGGCCTTCTTGTTCTCCTGGTCTTCAGAAGCCTGCTCGGTCTGCTTCTTCTTCTCCGTCGGGAGCTTCTTCTCCACCTGGAGGAACTGCTTATTCTTCAAGGTGGGCGCCCTGTACTTGGACCTGGACTCCACGGACAGACGGGGGATGAAGCGTCCGACGCGAGCCTGGTAGTCGGCGTACTCGGGGTACTTGCTGGCGCTGATAGACTCGGTGAGTCTGACGCTGCCCTGGAAGATGAAGAACAGGCCAACGAAGCCGAGACCGGTCCACTGGACGAAGGACTCAGTGCGGTAGCAGTTCCACAGGTACAGAGAGAGCCAGATGGCCTGCTCGGCAACGAAGTTGGGGTGGCGGGACAGCGACCACAGTCCGGTGACGGCGAACCCACGCTCCAGGTCCTCTTGAGTGAACTGATCCTTGTACTGGCCAGAGATGCGAGCGTTATCGTGGTACTCGCGCTTGGCGCAGTGGAAATGCCACTGCTGCTGGTCGGCGAAGAATTCAATGATGAGGAAGAAGAAGGCGACGCGCGAGAAGGCCAGGTCCGGGAGCTCGAAGGACTTCAAGTCGGGGCGCTGCGAAAGTAGGACGAAGTTGTAGGTCGGGGCCGCGAGGAGAAGCAGGAGCAGCGACTGGATCACACTGATGAAAGTGATGTTGAAGAGGAAGAAGACGGCGCGGTTGGGGATTCTGGTGCGGATAACCTCCCATCGGTAATCCTCGCCGCCGATCTTGTACCCGCCCTTGCGCCAGTAATTGTAAGTCAAGCGAATCTGCGCAAATGTCAGCTGTGGGTTCCCAGATGGTCCATGTGGAGGAGGCGCCTTACGCTCCAGATCACCGTGAGAACGGCGATGGTATCCAGGCTCTGGGTACGGAGACCGGACATGCGCGCCCAGACGGCGAAGTGGACATTGTACAGGGCAGGCAGGAGAGACCAGAGACGATCAACTTGCGAATAGTTGCGGGTGATCTCCGAGAAAACCAGGAACCAGGCGGAGAGCAGCAGGGAGAAGCCAAGTGCCGAGACAAAAGGGTTGGTCGACAGGTAGATGTCCTTCAGGATGACCACATCCTTGGCCGTCGCTGCCAGCTGGAGCCTTTCCGGCAAGACAGTCAACTGTGAAAGAAAAGGGAGCACGGTGTGCGAGAAAGAAGCGCAGTCCTTGACGGACTCGATGGTGGGAAGAGGCAACGCCATGATAGCCGCAGGGAGGAAGGAAGATGTACTGCAGAAGGAGGGAGTAGGCACGGAGGAGGGGAAGCGGAGGAGGAAGAAGAGTCGAGGATGTTTTTGATCGCATCAAAACAAAGAGATTCCCGCGCTTACCCGATTGGGCCGGAAGCTTGGGCCAATCGGCCGTCGCTGCCTGAGGCCATCTACCGGCATGTTCCGCCAAGTTTCGCGTCTTTTTCGTGTCTCGACTCTTTCTTTCCCTGCTCCTGCGCCCCCTCAACATGCCGGTCCAAAGGGTCTTGTGCGTGGCCGAGAAGCCTGCCATTGCCAAGGCAGTTGCCCAGCATCTCTCCGGAGGTTCTTTTCAGACAGTAAGTCGCGTGCTTCCAATGCGTCCGGGGGATGTATGCTGAAGTAGATGTAGCTCCATGTCCGGGGAAATCAGTATGTCAAGAATTATGTCTTTGAATTTAATTTCGGCAATCCCTGGGGAACGTGCGCAGTTACAATGACCAGCGTCATTGGGCACCTGACCTCTTTGGATTTTCAACGTCAATACAAGGGCTGGCTGTCCTGCCCACCCGGAGCTTTGTTCGAAGCCCCCGTGCATGAAGGCGTAGACTCTGTATGTAGCCATTACCAAAAAGAGTCCAAGGGACTATGCAGACCCGTCCCCCATGTACTGATACTCAGATATAGGACAAAACAGCCATTGCAAATAATATCCAAGAGCAAGCAAAATACTGCCAGGCTCTTTTTATTTGGACGGATTGTGATCGAGAAGGGGAGCACATTGGGAGTGAAGTTCGCAAGCAAGCAAAAGAGGGCAACCGTCGCATTGTAGTGAAACGGGCTCGCTTCAGCAATACAGAGAGAGCGTGCGTGTACTCCAACATCCTCGGCTTCTACCGATCTTTTACTCATGCAACCATAGTCACGTCCTGAGTGCCGCCCGAGCACTCATCGAACTAGACGACCTTCAAGCCAATGCAGTGGCCGCACGCATTGAACTCGATCTTCGAATCGGTGCCGCGTTCACTCGCTTGCAAACGCTCCAACTAAAGTCTATATCGGACACTTTAGCTGAGACGATCATTAGTTATGGTATGTTTCTCGGGAAGCACCTCGACAATGGCCTTCTACTGACACTTAGCAGGCTCTTGCCAATTTCCCACGCTGGGATTTGTCGTGGACCGGTACCTTCGTGTGAAGAACTTCAAGCCGGAAAACTTCTGGGGTATCAAGGTGATGCATGTCCGGGACAATATTAAAGTGAATTTTCTCTGGAGGAGGGTGCACCTTTTTGACCGGGCGGCTGTAACTGTGATGATGGAGCGATGTCTCATGGCAAAGAAAGCCAAGGTGGTCAAAGTCAATCAGAAACCCACCAGCAAATGGAGGCCTTTGCCCTTAACAACGGTGGATTTACAGATGATGGGAAGTAGATACCTCCGTATTGACAGTCAAACCATTATGAAGGTAGGAAAGAAAGTCGACCGACTATTTGTGGTTGGTATGCACGCTCACTCTTGTCCCTTAGGTCGCCGAAGCTCTTTATACCAAGGGTTTCATCAGCTACCCGCGTACAGAAACGGATCAATTTGACAAGGCAATCGATTTGAAGAAGCTAGTGGAAAAGCAATTGCCAGATAATAACTGGGGCCAATATGCGCGAGGGTACGTCAATTTGATATACGCTTCATCAAGCATGATCTAACTTACACCCTCAAGCCTTCTCGACGGGGGATTTAGGACTCCCAGATCTGGACGTCATAACGATAAAGCCCACCCTCCCATCCATCCGGTTTGCTGGGTTTCACCAAGCGCACTGTCGGCCAATGAGAAAAAAGTTTATGAATTTGTTGTCCGCCGATTCCTAGCTTGTTGCTCGGAGGACGCCAAAGGCCAAACGTCGGAGGTTGAGATCCAATATGGCGATGAGTTCTTCCATGCAAAAGGGTTGATCGTGCTCGAGAAGAACTACCTGGAAGTATACGTCTATGATAAATGGGAGAGCAGTCAGCAACTACCAGACTTCCGCATGGGGGAGGTCTTCGAACCTTCCGAAGCCAAAATCTTCGACGGCAAAACAACGCCTCCAAATTACTTGACTGAGCCTGAGTTGATTGGTCTCATGGATGCTAACGGCATCGGAACCGATGCTACCATGGCCGAGCATATCGCCAAGGTCAAGGACCGTCATTATGTGGCCGTTAACTCACGAGGAACTGGCCGCAATGCGGTCAAGGAACTTATCCCGACCCGCCTGGGTATCGCCCTGGTGGAAGGTTACGACAATGTTGTCACCGGCTTGCCAGATAGCCCGTCGTTGAGCAAACCGTTTCTGCGTAAAGAGATGGAGTTAAGGATGCGTGAGATCTGTGAGGGCGCGAAATCGCGACAGCAAGTGGTGCAGGAGAGCTTGGAGATGTACCGGGAAGTTTTCATACACACACAGAGACGGATCAATTTGCTGAAGACCGCGGTGAGAAAATATTTGGTCGAAGGAGTAAGTTCATAAATCTATCTTAACTACATTTGGTCTTGACCAGTGGCGCTGGAGTTGAGGGATTGTTTTTCTGGTTGACGAAGACATGATATACCCCATGATATATTTGAGACTTGTACACATGCATTTACCATAGAAGCTCAATAAATGAAACGAAAGCCAGGCCAAGCCTGAGGGATAAACCCATCTTGGTTGCAAATAAGCGACTGTGTATTCAATGTTCTATATAAGCATATATACGAGCGACTTTAAACCGCTACAAGTCCACAACATGAAAGTTACTTGTTGATCAACAAAGTAGGCTTCATATCTCGTAATCATAAGTCATGCACATCAAAATAAAAACATTAAATCCCCCAAAAACAAGAAAGAAGAAGAAAAAGAAAAAGAAAGAAAGCCGAAAAAAGTCAAACCAAAGAAAGAACAAATATAGACAAGGCCAAAAAAGAAACAAATGCAATTAATGAACGAGCAGCCAAGATCACCCTCAATTATATCCTATTTCTCCCTGACCCTCATCACCCTCCACGTCACGGACCCTGGGAAGCCCACCGCGATGCACCCCCGAGGGCTTTTTATCTGGCCCTTTCTTCTCTGCGAGCGGTGCCTTGCCGGCATCTTCGGTCGATACAGTATCGGCCCAAATCGACTTTGCCAGTCCTGGGGGGACTGAAGGCAGTTCGTTGGCTTTTTCCGCAGCCGCAGGAGGGGTGGGAGCATCGGTCCCAGGCTGAGGAGCCCACCTCAACTCTGCAACCCCGGGGTGCACTTTAGTGCTGCCCTCCTTTAGCGGGGCCGGTCTCGAGGGCTCTATCCCAGCAGCTGCAGGGACACTGGTTCTTGGGGGGGCCGCTGTTGGCTGGCTGGCGCCCGGTGAGCCTTTCAGCCTCTGAAGGTCTGCATCGACCAAATCGGACCAGAGTGCCGGACCCGATCCTTCCTTAGCCTTTCCCTTATCGACGAGGGACAGCGCCTTGGAAGGCTCTTTGGGAACCGCAGGACCTGGATCCGCCTTGGTCGGGTCCTTCTTCACCGGAGCCAATCCCCCGACTTCCATCTTCTGGGTCGGACGTGCAGGAGGTCGTTCCTTATCCGCCTGCCCCCCAATACCCGCGAAAACCTGGCCAAATGAGTGCTTTTGACCGACTACAGCAGCTCGCGGCCGACGGGGGGGCAGTTTCGGAAGGTTAGGGAAGATCTCAGGATCAAACCTCGACGGCTCTGTAGTAGAAGTATTAGCATTTGCCTTAATAGATTGCGAATATTGAGCAGCAGGGGGTATCTTACGGAAACCCTGGGCGTTAACTGATTGACTAGACGGCTGCCTGGGTACGAACTCTCTGGCAATTCCCACGGCCTGACTTGTCGATGGCCCCTTGGCCTCGATCTTGGCCCCTGAAGGACCCTTAGGAGCTTGGGGAGCATCCTTCGAGTCCTGAAGACCAAAAACCTTCAAATCTCCCTTATGATCATCGGCTCTTGGGGCCGATGATCGCCCAGAGACATCCCCCTTTGGAGTTTGGGAGGGCCCCTTCGAAGGTCCCGATACCTCTTTGGTCTCGTTTCTCATGGGCTGCTTGCCCTTGTCCCGTGTCTGAGGGACAGTAGGGCTGGCGGGAGCGGAAGGACTGGCGGGGGCCGCATGGATCGAGCTTGCGAGGCCTCCCTGCGGCTTGGGGACGTCCGCCACCTTGCTTCGAGAGGGACCAGCCTCCGAAGACGCCGGACTGGCCTGTGGTTCATACCGCGAGCTCTGAAGGCTGGGGGATGGCTTCTCCAAAGGCTTGGAGGCCTCTCCCGCATTGCCTTTGGCGTCAGCGGTCGTCACCGGAGATGCAGGTCCGGTCCAGGGTGCGGAAGTCGACTCCTTGAGGCCAGCGTGAGGTTTCCCCTGGGGCTTGGGCACATTCTGCTCCGTCTTGCCGCTAGACGGAGTAGTTGTAGTGGCTGCCATGCCGGGTTCAGGGACCTCCACGCTGCCTCCAGGATGACGCATGCGCCAGCGAGTCCGTCTCGACAACTTAGAGGGTCTTTCCGGAGAATTGGTAGAGTCTAGATCAGGGAGCGAAAATGGTACATGCTCTTTCACTAGCTCATCAACCCTCTGCCCGACGAACGACTGGAAATCACCAGAGCTCGAAGAAGAAATCTCATGAAGGATTAGCTCCTTCAATATCTTCACGACCAACTGCTGAACACGTTCCGGTCCTCCGAGGATTGCCATCAACCCATCACGAGCCTTCTGGTCGAAGTCAGCTGCCAGCTCAAGTCTCTTCTGGCCCACTTCTGCCTCAAACAATGACATTTGGCTGTTAATTCGAGCCTGCAAGTCCACTTTCTGAAATAGCGCGTCGAACTTGTTGTGCACTTGGCCCAACTCGGTATCCCAGCGCTGCTCAAAAGTTTTCAACATTGCATCGAACGCTTTCTTTCGGTCCTGTAGATCCTGCATTTTGATCTTCAGATCCTCTTTCCGCAGTTGTTCTTGAGCGTCGATGGCCTTGCAAGCAGTCTTTTTCTTTTCAGCCAAGTCTCGCATCAGGTGGTCCGATTGTTGTTTCACATCCTCCACGGCCTTGCCAGCAGTGTCATTCCATTCGGACAAGTCCTGATAGAGGATGTGCGTTCGGTTTTCTAGCTCCTTCAGCGAGATCATACGGCCGTCCAGTGGGTCCATAAGTTGTTCGGCCTTAGCCTCCATGTCCTTGCTAGCAGCGTTCTTCATTCTAGCCCAGTCCGCTTCAAATTTCTCCAGCAGATCCTGTGGCTTCAAGGAGATCATCTGCTCCTGCAGTTGCTTGACTTGAGCGTCCATGTTCTTGCCCGTGGCGGTTTTGATTTCGGCCAAGCGGGTCTCGAAGTCTTGCAACTGGGTTTGCAGATTCTCCTGCGGCTTCAGCGCAGCCATCTGCTCTCGGAACATGCCCTGCGTTTGTTTCACACTCTCCATGACCTGAAGCAAGGCCGTCTTGAAGTCATTCATCTGTCCGGAGACAAATTCATGATTTTTCTTCATCATGGTATCGTGGAAACTTTCAATCCCGCTCCCAACAGGCTGGATGGGCGATGTTCTCGCTTTTTCGGTCATGACTTTATTGTACTCTCTCCACTGTGCCAAAGCCACGCCGATTGAGAACACGAGGTACACACCCAAGATGGCGAAGACGAAAAACAGGATGGTATAAATAAAAGGATTGGGCTTATACGCTCCGCTCAAACGAGACTGGAACGACGCCGCCGTCTCTTGCCAGGATTGGGAAGGAAAGACATGAGCAGGGCCTGATTCCGTAGCATGCCAGAAACCAGAGACTGGGGTACCTTCAGGTAGTCCATCATATTCTGAGATAATCTTTAGGGTGAGATCGGCGATGGACTTCCTGAGGCCTGTGATATGGGAGGGGAAGTCGAAGGAGTCTAGCATGGGTTGGTAGAGAGGGTACATAGCGGCCAAAAGGGTCATAGCGCCGACAAAGAAGAATTCCATTGCGTCAGAATGTCAGATATGTTGTAATACAGGTAAGAATGTAAAGATGTAAGAATTTAGATGAGGATGTAGTATGTAGATTTAGAGTTATGATAGAGATGGATGGGTTGGATACAGTTTGGGTAGGGGTAGTTAGCAAAAGAGATGGAGAAAGAAACCGGAAAGATACTGATTCAGCTGCAAAGAGAGTTGAATCCGAGGAAAGAAGAAAGGAGGGAGATGGGGGGAGAGGAAGGACCCTTTTATATCCAACAATGGGGGTTCCAGGAGAAAGGAACTTCACGGAACATTCCTCTACTTCATCTCAACTTCACGGAACTTTCCTCTACAATTCCCAATTAGGATAAGGGCGTTGTCCGTTCCAAACAATTCTTCAAGGCCCCTGCGCATCTTCTCTTTGCTTACTGGCCGGTGGATTGGTCACTCGATAGCTCCCTACTGGAAGATTCCAGTAAACAGAGAGATGGTGATGTATGGGCCTACGTACGCACCCGCGCTCTTCCTGATCGCCTGATCTTTTGGAAGACCGGGGAAGTTTTTGCCAGGAGGTTTGTTTTTCTGTGGGGGAACGATCGTGGAGATACTAGGACTTACGGTTAGTGGGAGGTTCGGGATGAGAGTCCTTAGATCACGAGCTAGATAGAATGAAAGGAAGATATGCGCTTCGAGACCTGTGCTTCAACGGTGTATTTATATTCTCAGAAACTGGGATCCTAACTCAAAGTCCTGTCATATCTTGCAAAGCACGAAACCCCATCCCCTAAGTCCCGTTTCAAGATCATAACCCCTTTCATATATCCAGCATGATAGATGATTTTCACTCAGTGAAAAACGCTCCCAATCTCAGCATGCAGCTATGTAGATGTGTCACACAGTCCACTGCGATACATACACCAAGCTTCATCCCATTAAGACAGATGCTTGCTAAGAGATGCGCCGTAGTAGATAGTAGCACCCAGGCAGATCAGGTTGGTCAAGCTCGACAGGCCATGAATACGACCAAACTTCTTGTTCAGGGCCGTCATCTCCTTGGAGTGGGGAGCGGGGTCGTAGCTTCTCTTACCGTCGCGAGTTTCTATAGCATATCAGTGCATGGTTTACTGGGAGAAAGACAAAGCAAAGTGAACGTACCCTGGTGCTTCCGCTCCTTCATGGTCTTGATGGTCACCGGAAGAAGCACGAACATGTTGAGCAGTCCGGTCACAGCGGCAGTAGCCATGGGGATCAGGGTGCCACGGTTCTCAGAGGCAAGAAGCCCAGAGATACCGAGAGGCTGGGCCTCGCGAGAAGCAGTCAGAGCCACCAGGACGGGGAGGGCACTCTGAATAGAGAAGTAAATAGGGAAAGTGGCCGACTGCAGGGATGCGAACTGAAGACGGGGGAGAGATCTGAAGGCCACAATTCCCGAGACAAAGGTCTAAGTCATGTTAACATGAGATCCTCAGTTGGAGGACAAGTCAGGTATGTAATCTCGGTTTGTTTACCTGGTAGACCTGGACACCCAGCAGGGTTCCGTAGCTGTAGACGATATTAGCAAAGCTTGATAGATCGAGATGGGACTGAAGGAAACGAACCTCAGGACGTGGAAGGGGCGAACGTCGACCATGGTGGCTACTGAGGATCAACCTAGCGACCCAATGTGTTCAGGACAAGGAAGTGGAAGGGGAAGAGAGAGGGACAGACTGATTGTCTGACATGATAAGAAGAAGATTGCGGAGGTGGGCACACCCGGATGCATTGCCACGCACCCATGATGCACAATCATTCTTACTGCCACGCTGTTCTGCCGGGTGGTGGTGGATGCACGCACCCTGCAAACAATGATGTCATGTGCCTGCGCGTGCGCCCGTAGGCCCAAACAGGCAATATCGCGCGTCTGCCTTCGCGACTCCGTTGGAGGCCTGATGTCTGTCCACCCTATTTCTCGCCACGGTCGCCCGGCACCATTTCGCTTGGAAACTTGAATCTACACATCATGGCGGACAAAGAGGCAGCCGTTTACATCGTCGATGTGGGGAAATCCATGGGAGAGCGTCGTCATGGCCGCTCCGTGACCGATCTCGAATGGTCAATGCAGTATGTCTGGGAGCGCATCACCGGGACAGTGAGTCGTGAGATGAACTGATACGGCATTTATTTTCTGCTTATACCGGCATTTATCTAGGTAGCAACTGGGCGCAAAACAGCCACGGTGGGCGTGATCGGCCTCCGGACAGATGGTGAGACTCCCGGACATGGCGTCCCCTCTCATACTAACGGAAACAGAAACGGACAATGAGCTCGGAGATGAAGCTTACTTTGCGAACATTTCGGTATTTTCGGAGATCAAGCAGTACGTATGTCATGTCTTGAGGATGGACGAGGACTAACAAGACGGTGCAGGTTCCTCATGCCTGATCTACGGAAGTTGGGCGAGGACATAAAGCCTAGCAATACAAGCAGGGGAGACGGTAACGCTCGATCGCTTCCAATTATTTTCTAAATGCCTTCTAACCATTGCTAGCGATCTCTGCCATCGTCTTGGCTGTTCAAATGATCACCACCCACTGCAAGAAATTGAAATACAAGCGAAAGATAGTCCTGGTCACGGATGGTCAGGGGCGAATGAGCAGCGAGGACCTCAGTGAAATCACAAAGAAAATCAAGGAGGACAACATTGAACTTATCGTCCTGTTCGTCTATCATTGTTTAATAGAGTATATCAATGCGAGCTGCTAACTTTATAAGGGGAACCGACTTCGACGATCCTGAGTACGGGGTAAAAGAAGAGGACAAAGACCCTCGAAAGGTACCAGCTTCTCTGTACCATACAAACTGCAGCTAAACCTGACGGATCGCTCTAGGCCGACAACGAGACACTCCTGCGGAGTTTGGTCGAAGATTGCGATGGAGTATACGGAACGTTAGAACAAGCAGTGTCGGAGCTGGAGATTCCTAGAGCGAAAAGCGTCCGGGTGACGGCTTCCTTCAAAGGCTTTCTTCAACTGGGAAACTCGGAGGAGTATGACACGGCAGTTCGCATCCCTGTGGAACGTTACTTCAGAACCCACGTGGCCAAGCCACCCAGTGCAAGTCAATTTGTTCTACGCTCAGATGGAACTGGGGAAGACAATCCCGAATCATCTACAACGCTAGGCGTCCAGAAAGACAGTCAGACCACAGACGAGAACGACCTCATACCCGTGCGACTTCTGCGAACGTACCAAATTGAGGATGAGAGTGCACCGGGTGGAAAGATTGACGTGGAGCGAGACCAATTAGCCAAAGGCTACGAGTATGGTCGAACCGCAGTTCACATCGACGAGACCGACGAGGGCATTACAACTCTTGATACATTCGCCGGTCTGGAACTGCTCGGTTTCATCCAAACCGATACTGTGTGTCCGCCTCTTCTCCCTATCCCAACTTCACGCTAATATTCAGTAACAGTATGATCGCTATATGCATATGTCAACGACCAACATCATCATCGCCCAGCGCGCCAACGACAAGGCAGCTCTCGCTCTTTCGTCCTTCATTCATGCACTGTTTGAATTAGACTGCTACGCCGTAGCTCGCCTAGTGACGAAGGAAAACAAGCCGCCAAACGTGGTCCTGCTTGCGCCCTCAATCGAACCGGACTATGAATGCCTCATGGAGGCGCAGTTGCCGTTTGCCGAAGACGTTCGCACCTACCGCTTCCCTCCGCTGGACAGAGTCATCACGGTCTCAGGCAAGGTAGTGACACAACATCGAAATCTTCCCAGCGATGACTTGCAGAATACCATGGACAAATACGTAAACAGTATGGAGATGGTCGATACGGATGATGATGGGTGAGATCTCCCCCCAACATTCTACTCTATGCTGTGTACTCTTCAACTAACGAAAGAAAAAAAAAATAAGAAACCCCATCGAGACCGTCCCAATCGAAGACTCATTCTCGCCGCTCCTCCATCGAACCGCGGCCGCAATCCGATCTCGAGCCATTCATCCCAACGAACCGATTCCGCCTCCCTCCAACACCCTCCTCAAATTCTCTCAACCCGCAGAGGACCTCGTCGAGAAGTCCAAGAAATACCTCGATAAACTTGTTGCAGAAGCCGACGTCAAGAAAGGTTTGTTCTTCTCTTTACGCCCTCGTCGCAGTCTCACCACTAACCCCATCTACAGTACCCCCTAAGACTAAGGGTCGCAAGCGGGCCCGGGAAACCGAAAAGCCCCTATCAGGTCTCGACGTTGATTCTCTCCTCCAGCAAGAAAAACGTGCCAAGATCTCGCCCAACAATGCCATCCCGGAGTTCAAGCAGACTCTGGCGCAACCCGAGAACATCGACGTTGTCAAGGACGCTGTCAAGCAGATCGCTGTCATTATTGAGGATCAGATCCGTCACAGCTTAGGCGATGCGAACTACGATCGGGTCAATGAGGAACTGGGGGTTATGCGGGAAGAGCTGATAGAATACGAAGAGCCTACGCTGTATAACGACTTCTTGGTCTCACTGAAAGAGAAGCTGTTGAAGGAGGAGTTGGGTGGTGATCGGCGGGAACTGTGGTGGCTGATTCGACGAAGCAAGCTAGGCTTGATCGATCAGAGACAGTCTGATCAGTCGAAAGTGACCGAAGAAGAAGCGAAGGAGGTGAGTTTGAACCGTGAGGATACAATTGGACATTGCTAACGCCTGGTCTAGTTTATGTCTGCCAAGTGAATTCCTAAGTAGCTCGAGCAGAGATCGTTAATCACTCAATACCAATATGAATAATATTATTTGTCACGTAATATGGGCTGTCTATGCTAAGATGGTCAGGCGTCTCGTTGGACGGATATGAAGACAAACTATGAAACTGTAAATATGCACATATAATAACAAGAGGAAATATCATCTCCAGACTAGGAGATCTTTCCAATCCTCTTCTTCCCAATATCAACCTTGCGTTGTAACCTGGCGCGCACGTCAGTAATTGAAAGATCAACATGGTCATCAAGCCAACGTACCTATCTGCATCTTCATCCGCCAATTTCAGTAGCTCATTCTGGTACTCCAGCTCGGCATTGATCGAAATGCCCAACTCGTTCTGCCGGTTAACAATCTTCCTCAACTCCTCAATATCCAGATCCTGGTCCTTCATCGTCTGCTTCTGCAACTGCAGCACTCCTTGATTGTCCAACTCCCTCGTCCTCTCCGTCTCCTTCCCCAGCACTCGACCCGACCTCGCCGGCTTCTTCCCTGCACTTCCCACAAGCGCCTCCTTGTCCTGAATGGACGCAACCGCATGATCGACCCGGCTCTTTGCCGCCATAGCATTCAGCAGATCTTCCAACCCATCCCTCTCCTTCCGCGCATTGATCAAGAGATCCTTCCGACGTCGTAGCTCCCCTTCACCTAATCCTCCACTACCACCCATAACCGCTCTCTTTCCTGCCTTTCCCCCATCCCCACTGGCCGACCCCTCCGGTCCGTCCCCGAGATTCTTCAACCCCTCTTCCAACGCCACGATCAGCGACCCAGCACGCACCAATGAGCTCTTCGCCCTCGCCGAACTCTCATGCTGCTTCTGCGGCGTGGTTTCTTGATCCCGTCTCGTCAGATGCAGTCTCGCATCATGCAAATGCCCCTTCATATCACGATAACAATCCAACCAAAGCGTCGGGTCCGTGATCGCCGCCCCTCCTGCTCCTCCTGCGCTACTACCCGGCTCCGTGATCGCGGCATGCAACCGCGCGGACGTCATCGATGGCCCGGAGCCGTTATTCTTCCCGCCTGTCGTGGCGGCCGTGGGTAGGTTCAGGAAAGCGCGCCAGGCGGGCGAGTTGCGCCATCGCGAGTCGTCAGCGTCGTTGATGGCGCGGAGGTAGGTTTCTAGGGCGATGCGGCGGTCTTCGCGCAGGGAGGCATTCTTGACTGTGTTGGAGAACCAGTGTTTAGAGGGGAGGGGGGCCGGAGGGGGTGCGTTCGTTTGGTTGGTTAGAGTGGTGTGGAAGGTGGTGAAGTCGGAGTAGCGCTTAGAGACGGTGAAGGAGCGGAGCGGAAGGCGGAGGGTGATGTTATAGAGAGTGTATGGGGGTGAGGTGGGCGAGATGCTGGTGTTTGGGATGGAAATCTCGAGGGTGGGAGCCATAGATAGAGAAGAGGGGCAAATTGGGGGTATAGAGATGATGAATTGAGGGTTGGGAAGGAGAGGGCGTTATTTTGTTGAAGAAGAAAAGGTCGAGATGATCAGATGCCGGGGTGACAGGTCGGCGAAACGTGACCGGCTCAACTGACGCCGATAAGATAAGCCAGGCGCTGAGGCACCCTAAACAATGACGCAAGAGATCTCCAGGCAGAAAGATGATTATCAGGCACCACTTTCTGCTTTTCCTGAGCCTTGGTTCCAAAAGGACTGCCTTGGACAAGTCAGTCACTCGATTGACTTCATGAAGATTCCAGAAGCTGGGGCGCACCAGGCATATTCACAATTATTATTCGGAAAAGGGTATCAATACTATCAACTAAGCTGGCCTCGTAAGCTCCAAGCCAGGCAAACAAGAAATTTCCGATTATGACAACTACTCTGCCAACTCTTCCTCTGTTGGCCCCATCCAGAGCTCCCGTGCCTCCAGTAAGTCTCGCTGTCCATAGTATTCGCCTATCACAGTAATTATCATGTCCAGCATAGCGCGAGTCTGCATGGAGGCTTCAACGGTAGGGTCTTCGGCGCTTGGAACTGGTTCTGATGTCTCTGGCGCATTAGCCTGCGGCTCGTCCTGAATCTTCGCTTGAAGTCGGGCTTTCGCCTGCTCTAGTTCGTCAGTAGATGGCTCTTCCTCCGCATCGGGCATGTCATTATCAGGAGCCTCCGCAGATGCAGGATCGCTGGCAGCTTTAGGCTGGTCTTCGGACCCTTGCGCCTGCTCCTGGTCGTCTGCTCGATTATCCTCGTCGAACTCTTCGTCGAATGCGTCTCCTCCACTCTCGGCGACCGATCGATTGTTCTTCTCATCTTCCTCCTTTATCTTCCGCAGAATCTTCACGGCGCGCTTTCCCAGCTCGCGAATTTCGCCCACTTCCTCCGTCCCCAGCTGTCCGACATCGCGACATCTGCTCAGTAAGCCCCAGGCCCAGGCCCCGATTCGTCGGATCCGCTCTGCATCGCCGCTGCGTACATTTTCAGACATCAGACGTGCCATGATCCCCAGCACTCTTAGGACACTATCCATATCCATACACGCCAGCTGCACCGTCTGTGGATCCACCGCTAGCAATAAACGCCGCCATTCCCTGCACGCGTTCTTCGAATGTCGCGGCAGGCTGATCGGGTGGGATTCGTCCAACGCGGCAATCGCAGTCGACGGGGGTGAACATTTCAGAATGGATCGAAGGAGAAGAAATCGATGGCGCAGAAGATTGTAATAGCTAGCTTGCGCATCCGAGTATGTCGTTTGGGCGATGTCTAGGTGCCCTGGCGCACCCGTCGTGATCGATGCAGATGCGGCATAGATACCATCAGCGTAAACACCCTCGACGATAGTCTCTGTTTTTTCCACGATTTCCTCGCTTTCCTTTGGCTCTTCTTCGGTTCCGTCGTTCGTTATCGTTGGTTCGTCGGCCGGCTCTGTAGGCTTAGGGGCGTTGAATAGGAAAGGTAATGAGTTGGCTTCGGATCTATGCTCGCAAGCCCGAGGCAGCAGTCATCAGTTCTCATATTCAAAGTAGACGATCGGGTTTCGTCGTGGACTAAAAGGGGATAAAATAGAGGCGCGCGCAGGCATTTAGCAAGCGGGAAAAAAGAAGAAAACCCCAGGCAGGCAGGTGGCATAAGCACCGGGGGGAACAAAGCTTACCGGACCATGCGAAGATACTCCAGTCCATCTTCTGCGGGACCGTAGAATAATTCATCGTATCCGGCGGTGTCGAGACCCGGAAAGGCGCTCTTCTGCCCGTATACCGGGTTGTTGCGCGGGCGCTCGTACGGAGTCACGGCGGGAGGCATTTCGTCCTCGTCATAATCAGCGTAGGAGGTGCGGGGGCGTTTTGCATGCGGCGACGAGCCAGATAGAGAAGCGGGTGGTTTTCGCTTGTCGGGCATGCTGGACATGGGGGGGGTTAAGAAAAGAAAGAGAAGATCAGGGTTGATTCAGATTTACGGCGGATGATTTTCACTCTCCGGGGAGCTTGGGCCACCGGAGGTACTGGCGCCAGCCAACCTTTTCACTCCTCTTCTGAAAGGTGAACTGGAAAGTAGTGATGTATTGTAATACTCCTCTTGATTTAATTTTACTTTCTCCTCTCGGCCCAGAGTCCATCCTATTCCTGTCTTTCTTTCAATTCTACATATCTAAGGGCGCAAACGCTGGGGGTCACGAGGAAACAAGGAGGTCAACCGCACGTTCGGCAAGCCCAGGAAGAACATGACAATCCGGTTCAGACCCAGACCACCACCGGCGTGGGGAGGGCAACCTTGGCGGAAAGCGTTCAGGTAGTCCTCGAAGCCCTCCTGGTGGGGGTTAAGACCCTTGGCAATCATGGAGGCCTCCAGTTCCTTGATGTCGTGGATACGCTGGGCACCCGACATGATCTCCTCTCCACGCATGAAGAAGTCATACGAGTTGGAGAACTTGGGGTCCTTGGGGCACGCCTTGGTGTAGAAAGGTCGCACGGCCATGGGGAATTTGTCGAGAACGTAGAAGTCGGTGTCGTACTTGTCGCGGATGATCTGACCCAGTTGCTTCTCCATCGCCGTGCTGAAATCGTTCTCGAACCGCTCCTGCTCGGAAACATCGACTCCAGCCTCCTTCAGCAGGGCAACTCCATCCATGTAGTTCATGCGCAGCGCCTTGCCGTCCTTGGGAAGCTTGAAGTCACCCGCCTTGGGGTACGACTTCTGGATGGTGGCGATCTGGTCCTTGTATCGCTCCTTGAGCTGGGTGAGGATAAAGACGAGAAGGTCCTCAGCGAATTCGAGCACCTCGTGGTAGTGGCCGTGGAAAGTCTTCTCGAAATCGAGACCGGCGAACTAAGAGACTGGTTGTCAGTACGTGCGCACAGAATCAATGAACATGCACTTTGAGAACTAGATCCCGTACCTCGGTCAAATGCCTGTGAGTGTTGCTGTCCTCGGCACGGAAAACGGGGGCGATTTCAAAGACATTCTCCATGTCACCGGCGATACACATCTGCTTGTAGAGCTGCGGGCTCTGGGCCAGGTATGCGTTCCTCTTGAAGTACTTGACCTCGAAAACGCCGCTGCCACCCTCGGTAGCAGCACCCACCAGCTTGGGCGTGAAGATCCACCGCGAACCACTCCTCAGCATGTACTCCGAAAACAGCTCAGCGACTCCGCTGGAGATCCAGGTAATCGCCTGGCTGGTCTCCGTTTGTAGGTCGATCACACGGTTGTCGAGGCGAGTCTTGAGCGTCACGATAGGGGCTCCGTCCGCATCAACCAGGTTACCCTCCTCGGTAGTCTCGGGAGGCGGACGCTCGGCATCCTTAACTTGCATGGGCAGTTGTTGTTGCGCTTCGGCGATGATGTAGACTTTGCGGATGTGGACTTCAAGGTTGCTGAGGGAGGCGGAGTTGATCGGGATCTCGGGCTTCTTGACGATACCGGTGACCTGGACAATGGAGTTGACGTTCAAGCCGCCGGTGAACTTCACCATCTGCCGGGAGATGGGCTCCGCGGCGGCAATGACCGCCTGCACCTTCAGACCCTGCTGTCTCAGCATCAGGAATGCCAGCTTAGCACTCTGCACACGAGCATTATCCACCCGCGCCACAACGGTGATCTCCTTCTCGTAGTGATCGTCGGTGATCTCGGTGAACCGCGTCGAGGGCAGCACGTCTTCGGACTCGGGCATCTTGCCGTACAGATCCTTCGCAGTATCGTTGGCATCGGCGGCGGCGGCCTGGGCCTTCTCCTGAGCAGCTCGAGCAGCAGCCTTTTCGGCCTTGGCCTTGTCCTTCGCGGCCTTCTTCAACGCACTCTTGCTCATCTTACCGTCGGCACCCTCCTCAGCGGGGGCAGCGGCATCCTGAGTCTCTTCGGGCTTAGGACGAGAGGGCAATTCGGAGTCCGCCATAGTTGTAGAACTAGTGGGGGTAGGTCAGGGAGTAAGATCAATGGAAGGGCGGGGAGTAGAAAGCTAAAAAGCGACGATAAGCACCGGATGACGAGGAAGCAGCTTCGAGTCACCGATTGACTCCCCCGCCGGACGCTGTCAAGCCCTAAGCCCTAAGAGGGGCTGCGGCCTGGATGCCTGGGGCCGCCACTGTCCCCGGATAGGATTAGTCTGGCGCCAAACCAATAGTATTGTGGTTGTTACTACATCTCGATACTACTAACTAAACATTGACGTGGATGGAAACATGTGTGAGGTACATCTCACTGAAAACGGTCCCACGGGTCGCTCACAATAGCTTGACCTGCCAAAGGATCGTCGGGGGGAACGGGGTGTATTCCAACAGGCATAGCGCCGAACTCGGCCTGCATTATTTCCAAGAGCATACCGTATACTAGTCGTTCGCAGCCTAGTTTAGCATGCTCCATTACGAGATCTTTCCCCCTTGTGCATTCATCAGCAAAGCCATGAAAAATCTCGGGGAGGGGATCTGCATACAAGTACTTGGTATTATCGGCGAGGCAATCCCCATGTGTTCGAGCATGACCCAGTGTAGCAGCATGCACGACTCGAGCCGCCTTTTTTGAACTCCGACCCAGCAGGGCGCGCGCCTCTTCTATGGCCTGGTGGACCCCTGGTCCCCAATCTCGATAGAGGCTCGAACGTCTCAGAGTGCCTGGCCAAACCGTGTTGACGATAACGCGGGTGTCATTTACGGAAGCCAAATGGGCATAATAATAGATCCAAAAGGTCGTGAGCAGCTTGGTGAGATGAAAATGACGACCATTCTTGAAATGGGCTGGATTGGCAAGGTGGGCACGCAGACGATCGAATGTGACGGGGAGGCTTTTTCCATACTCGTTGCGCAACCAGCGGCAGGTGACGAAGGTGGCATGAGAGGGCGAGTTCGATGACACTCCAGCGTTTCGAAGGGCTGGCCTAAGTGCCATGAATATCAAGAATTGCGAGTAGCAATTCACTGTTTTATTGTGAGTTCACTGGCAAGGGTATTTATTGGACGCATGTAGAGTATAGACAGACATACCCTGCATCATCCGCTCAGACGCGTGACTTTGGGGATCAGGACCAGCGCATGCTTGGAAATTTTGGCAGAACGTTGCTGCATTGAAAAGAAGCACATGGAGGCTGGTGCAACTCCTTACGATGATATCCACGAAGTTCCTTGTCATCGTCCTATTGCTGAGATCGAGCTGGCACAATTCGAGTGTGTAGTTGGAATTGTAATACTGCAGGACTGGATGATTTCGGAGATAGTTCTTAAGATGGACCAGCTCATTGAGACGATCACCGGTGAGATAGATATGTTCAGCACCATGACGAACGAATTGATAGGCTACTGCATGTCCCAGTGCACCAACGGCTCCGATAATCATAATTGTCTGCCCAGCGTACGGGTTCCCCACGGGAGGACCATACACTCGTCTCATTCCTTCCGGTTTATGAGCTTCTACCCATTCAGGTAAATCAGGAATGGGAATGTTCGCAAATGTACGCCCCAAATGGGCGAACCCTTTCTTTATCCTGCTCATAGTTATGTTGAAAGCAAAGAGGATTTCCTGGGGAAATCAATGACGAAAAAAAGGGGAGTGAACGCAGTAGGAATAGAAGATAACAGGAGGTGATGATATGAGTTAGTGGGATAAATCTGGAGATCTGAATGTTTGTTGATCTCTTGTATTCTCAATTGCTGTTCTCGGGGTAGACCATGGTCTGTCGAGCACCTTCCCCCGGGACCTTGCTGCCATGGTTGGCAGGGTTAAGCCACCGCGGTCATTGTTTCCTCTGGAAAAGCATCTGCGAGTGAAGAAAGAAGCGCTCCAGCCAGGCGACAACGTGAAGTGTATGTGCTGAAGATGCTCCGGAACTCGTGCTGGTAGAGAGGCAGAGAAGGAAGAGGGCCTAGGTCTAGGGAGTTGTCTGATCGAACCGATGATGTCGCACACATTGTTCCATCAAGAGCGTTGTTCATTCAGTATCGATGCAAGAGACGGTCAATCAGTAAACTCAAGAAACGGATAGATTTGGTATCCTAGATCTTAGCGTATATGGTCTCCAGTAACAGACAGGTGCAAAAATCATGACCTTGTATAAAACACACTCGCCAGCCCATGCACATTCATAGCCCGCACAAATGCTTACCATTGAGACGTCTTCAGACCATACTCAACAGCCTTCTGCACATCATCTACGATAGTCTTGGGGGTCCATGTCGGCTCCCCTCCACTATAGACGCCAGTTCGCACAAGAAGCGAGTGCCACTGGCTACCATATACACTTCGATACGTGTTGGCTCCCTGAATATCTGATTCCGGGTTATCGCCCACCATATAAACATTCCGTAGCGGCTGCTGGATGTTCGCGCCGAACACCCGCGAGCGGTTCCGTAGTAGCTGGTTCTCCGCGAACTCATACGTCCCCTGGTGCGGTTTCCCGATGACTGTCTTCTTCAGCTCGGCGCCTTTGCTGGGCCCACCCGTGATAGCGGCCCAGGTGCCGTCCAGCGCCTCGCGGAACCCGCCCTGGCCGAGACGCGGGAGGTGGTACGCCGCAGCCCACACTAGGTCCGGGTTGGAGTAGTATAGATGCGGCTGGCCGTCCTGCAGGTATCCTCTGTTCGGAAGATCCGTTCGGCCGTTCTTCTCGGAAACCGTGCCGATCACGCCTTGAGACGAGAGCAGGACATCCAGGATAACCTGTGTATCGAGGGCCCAGTCGCGCGGGTCGTTGAAGACGAAGACGGCGTCGATCTTGAGACCCTTGGTTGGGTCTTTAGGGTCGCGGGGGCTGAATGGTGGGAGGGGCCGCGCGAATCCTTCGTAGTAGTTTCGGAATGCCTTGGAAAATGGCCAGATGGTCGGGTTGGCCATGAAGATGTCGCCGGGGGTGACCACGTTCTTGAATCCGTATCTAGATTCGATATTTAGCGGGTGGTGTGTGCATCGTCAGGGTGAGATCTATGTACTTCTCTGCGACTTGGCGACAGCCATCGCCTTCACCTCCCACTACTAGCACGCATTTGTGCTCCAGGGCGCTCTGCTCATCCGGTCCCCGCACGAGCTCCGCAAAGGGAGAATGGCTCTGGATGATCACCGAGGGATCCAATGGCACTTGGAGCTTCTCGCTAATCTCTGCCACTCGTTCTGTTTCGTGTTTCCCTCCTCCGTTGGTCAGGAGAATGAAAGGGATCCCTTGGTCCTTGAGAAGTGCCAACGACTCGGCCGCTCCGGGAATGGGTTTTGAAGATCGCAACAGCACGCCGTCAATGCTAGAAGACACGATTAGCCATTCATCATTTAAGATTTGAATCGATTGTACCCAGTCAATTTCCTTATTGTACTCACTCGAAGGCAAACGCGAAGTCGGGGACTCGTGGCGATGAACTGGCTGTTTGGAAGGTTCGGCGACCCGAGCCGGTCTCTAGAAAGGAGCGATTGCATGCGCGCTGGACGAGGCCGAAAGACCTCCAAAGCCCTTGAGGTCTCATAATTATGTACAAGAAAGAAAAGTGCTTAAATTGGGTTGGGGAGAATGAATAAAAGGTAATTAGTGAAAGGTGAGGAGAGGCCAGATAAGTTGGGGAAGACCAGGAAAACCGGGGAGCTTCCCAGGGAGATATAAATAATCGGGCAGCCACATGATATCACTTCATCCTTGATTCCTTCGTTCCTTTTCTTATCCACCCACTTTGCTCCGCGGCCTCACCCACTTCTCCCCTCCCCCCATAAATTTTCGATCATCCTATCATGGCATTCGACAGCTCAAACCCCAATGATGTACGCCTCTCGAGAAATATACCTCCCTACTGAGATCGTCCTCCATATTATCGACATCATCGCGGCAGATGAATCCCGCCGCCAGGAGACCCTACATGCCTGCTGCTTGGTATCACGACAGTGGTACTCGGTGGCGATAGCTCCGCTGTACGAAAAGCCCCATGTCGGCACTGGATTTGCTTTTGGGAGGTTCACGGACACCATCAGTCCGCCGATCGGAGTGCGTAAAAGCAAATTGAACTTGGGCAGTCTGGTACACCGACTTGATCTGAGCGGTCTCGTGCATCACAGTTCGCCCAGTCTGACCGCGAGGCTGCTAGGTCGCGTCAAGGAGAATCTAGAAGTCTTCATTGCGCCCAAAGTGTCCTTCTCGTATGCCCTCCTCCCCCCTTGCAAGCTGCCCTCTTGCAATTAATCCCGCTAACCAAATCTTCCCTCTATCCAGAACGAACAGTCTCCCCGCATTATCCAAATGCACCAACCTCCGATCCCTCGATCTCGCACTCGTCAACGACCCCATCCCCTTCACGAACCTCAAACAAGCCCTCAGCCCACTCCACAAACTCAACACCCTGCGCCTCCCCAACTCAACCAACCTCACATCCGCAGAATCCACCTCCCCCTCGACCGCCGTCGCATGGCCTCCGCAAATCACCCGCCTCCAACTCAGCGGACGCTTCAACCCCCTCACAATCCCGTCCTTCGCCTGGCCCGCCTCCCTCACCAGCCTCAGCATCAAGAACTGCGCCGACCTCTCCGTCAGCAACCTCGGCAGCCTGCTGAGCAGCCCGCACCTCAACAATAGCCTCCGGCGACTGAGCATCTCCGGCGCAAACCGCGGTCTGCAACCGGAGTCCATCAACGCGATCCTCGCCTTCCTACCGGGCCTAGCCATCCTCAGCGTCCCCGGCGATATGGTTGATGATACCTTCTTCGATATCCTGTGTCATATGGCGCCACCGGTGGCGCTGGAGGAGTTGGAGTTTGGGTTTCCGAGCCAAGACCCGAGTTTGGTATTTTCGACCGAGGCGTTGATCCGCGCCCTAGGGTGTGGGTTGAGGGATCTGCGGGCTGTCGGGTTCGCGGATATTTTCTGTACAGAGGAGCGCATTAACGAGGACGAGGAGCTCGAGGAGATTTTGTTGAAGAGAGTGGCGGAAAGACCAGACCCGCCGGAACATTGGAAAGAAGTTGATGATCTTCTGGTGGGTGTATATTACCTTTGATATGACGCTTGTTTGGTGTCTCGACCATGATCTAGATATAGACGTTGTCAAAGTTATTCGAAGAACGCAGTTATGATTAATGAAGCCATGTCATTGAAGATCGATTTGCTTTATTCTCCTTTTCTGCCCTCCTGCATATACCCCCTCTCACTATACCTCAACCGTCCTACAATTTCCATGTCATATACCAGAACAATCCATCTCCCTGTCCTAAAACAAACAAGAAACTACCAATTACTTTCCTACCAGAAGTTTTTACAATGTTCTTCAACTAGAGCATATCCCTACTCAAGCAGGCCAAAGATGAAAATATAAAATAGCATCAGCGCTTTTGACAACTACATGAACCCAACCCCCTAAGCCCACGGACAAAGACCCATCCTACTAGCCTCCTGGGACAGCAGCGACGAGTAAGCCAGATAAAGCGAGGGAAAAGGGCAATGGGTAAGACAGAATAACAAGGAGGAAGATAGAAAAAATGCAATCATGAAGACAAGCAAGAGGAAGGAGAAGAAGAGACCGACATGATCAACCAAGACCAAGTATTCATGGAGGAAAAAAGAAAAAGAAATGAATAAATAATGAGTTTGGACGCCTACAAAAGATATTCATCGCATCTAGCTCGACACCTGCATTATAAACGGGAAAGGAAGAAGGGGGAAGAAAAAGGGCGAGAAAAAAGTGGGAACAGGAAGAGGGTTTAGAATAAACGAGGACGGGGAAAAAAGCAAAAGGAAACAACAAGTCCGAATCTCTCATAATGCAGGACTCATCATATGTGAAATGCGCCTCCAAGAAACACGGTCCTCCCTTTCTCATTACAATTTACAACTTGCAAACACATCCAAAATGGAGCGGCGTTCTATCAAGTCAGGGATGCGATCACGGCGGGCGCGACGCCTTCTTCCTCGGCCCGGACGGTGATCTTCGTTGTCACGCCGGTCTTGCTGGAGAATGCCATCTTGATCAGAGCTGCCACACGGCCGCCAGACACGGTCTTGCCGAACAGCTTGAGAGTGTGGGTGCTGTTGCTCAGTGCCACATCGGTGCCTTCAAGGGGCTGCAGGGAGAGCGTGGAGATGAGTTGTTCCGTAGCATCTAGGGGTTGGGTCAATATCGAACGTACTTCGCAATGCATATTTTAGGGGTTTGAATTGACATACCTGAAATACCCTTCATGTTGCTGAGTTGCAGGGTTTCGCTCTCTTCCTCCCCATTGGCACCGGTCTGTTCCCAAACATGGTCAAAGCTGCCGGCGAATGTAGGAATGACATAGTCGCTGCCTGTAAGTTCCAGGTCTTCCACCTGGTATTCGTCCTCGTATCCACTCTCCTCGGGCTCGCCAGTCGTGGGGTCGATCTCCTTGCTGGTGAATTTCAAGACGTTTGTAAACGAGGCTATCGCAACACTGTTCTCGCCGGCAAGCTTCTTGAACGTAACATACACGATGCCAGGTTCGTTGGCAGGAAGCTTGGGTGCAGGGACGATGAATTCCTCTTCCAGGACGTCCTCCTCGGATGGCGCCGCGACGATAGTTACGTCTTCCAGCACAGTATCGGGAAGGGTGTTTTTGATATCGTACTGAATGACAATGTGCTCCTTGAAGACATGCTTGACCGCCGTGACAACGTATTCCGTCTCGCTTTCGGTGAGTTCCACGGGGACAGAGGACTTGAGCAGCGTTCCGTATTCCTTGAGCTCGGGGATCTGCATGAGCTGCTCGGCGTACTTCTGAGTGGCAGCGGCGGTAGCGGCCTCGGCCACACCGTTGGCCTTGCCCTTGGGAGGTCCAGTCGACGGGGCTTTGAGCGTGGGCGTGGCGGTCGTGAGCTTCTTGGTCCGCTCTTCGGCTAGGGCCTGTTCCTGCGTAACGACGGGGACCGTAGCCACGTCGAATGCGGCGGCGAATGTTGACTTGTCGCCTGACGTCACGTACATGACGAGCTGGTGTTCGAAGGTTGAGAGCGAGTACATAGAATCTGCCCAGATCAGTAAACAATGCCGATGATTGCGTATGAAAACATGGATATCTTACCGTTCTTGATGAACGCCGACGCGGCCTCATCCTCCTCGGACATCAACCGGAGGTTGAGAGCAGCACGGTCACGAACTTCGTCATCGGTGTCATCCAGGCAGCGAGTGAGAAGAACAGAGACACTCGATTTGACTTCGGGGTCCTTCTGTCCCACACCAAACTTAGCCAAGGCCGTGACAGCGGCAGCCCGAACAATAGCGTTTTCCAAAACCACACGGTTATAGATATAACGGATATACTTGGTAGGATGCGAGGTCTTGGGGCCTTCCACACCGAGAAGATGCAGGACTCGGACGGACAATTTCGTGAACTCGCAGTCCTCGATGAACTCGCAGAGGTGGGCAAGCGCTGATTTTGGGTTAGTGAAATTTACAGGTGGTTTGCAGGATGAAAGAGAAAAAGAAAGCTTACCATCCTCCTTGCTGTCGGGAACAAACTTGATCAGGTCGAACATGCTCTCAACAACGCTACGCTTGAACTCGTAGCCACCTTCATCCCGCAGGATTCCACTCAGGAAAGCCAGCATACCAGCCTGCTTGCTGGGGAACTTCAAGCAGAGCGTCCGGATAGCCTCAACAATGGTGATCTTGAACTCGTCCGTGATGTCGGCCATGAAGCCAGAGATCTGCTTCATCAGGCGGTCGACGCTGGCCTCGTTGCCCGTCTTGAGCAGGGTGGTGATGGCAAAGGTGGCAATGGAGCGGTTGGAATTCGAGATCAGCGACTCGATGTCAGGGTTGCAAACATTCACCACGTGCGGCTTGAAGCTGGCAAAGTTGTGGAGGATACGGATCGCCGCGAACTTGGTGATCGACCGGGGAGAGGACAGGAACAGCTGCAGGACATGAACGGCCTGGGAGGCCTCGGCGTCGCTAACATCGCGCATGTCGCAGATAGCCTTGGCCGCTTCAAAGTTGACCATCTCGTGCTTGTGTCGGAGCCAGCCATCAAGCATCTGCATCATGGGCTTTCTCAGGCCCTGGTCTTCCTCAGCCAGCTTGGCCGCTAACCGCACCAGCAGGACCAGCGCAGCGGGGCTCTTCACAACACCGGCAGCGCCATACTGCTGGACCATCTTCACCAAAGCCATCCGGTCGTGCGAGCGCATCTGGTACAGGAGACCAATAGCATGGTACTGGGTCATGAAGTTCGACTGGGAGATGGCGTGGGCCTGGGAGCTGCCGCCGAATCCAAGGAAGCCAGTCGACTGCTTCGAAGACGAAGCGGCTTCCTGCGTCTCACTCTGCCATCTGCGGACAACATCGCGGGCGATCGGAAGGAGGTGGTAGGAGGAGACCAGGGCGGCGGAGGAAACAGACGGGGTCTTGTCGACAATGGCGGTCTTGATCAATCGCTCAATTCCTTGTACCGTAGTACCCTATTCAATCAACAGTCGCCATGATTAGTCCTTCTCCTCAACACAGTATACAATAGGTCAATGGAGGCGCTTACGTCGATGATGCGGCACAGGGCACGGATGGCATTCGCACGGTAGACAACATCACTACCGACCGCGGTGTCCTTCATGATGATACTGGTCGACATGATCACATCCTCTGCGGTGTTTGCCAGCTCCTTCAGGATAAGATAGACCATCTGTCGCAGCGAGGGATCCTTGTTCTGGAACAATTTCGAGATACCGAAGAAAAGGGTGGTGGCCTCGTTCGTCGGGAATTGCTCCCCGGTGAACAGGAGCACCGCAATCTTGGTCAGGAGGGTACGGCATTGTCGAGGGGAGATCGGTGAGGTATTGAACAATCGTGCTATACAGGTAGAAAGAAAGACACGACCAAGTCAGCGGGCCATTCCGAGGATCAGGGAGGGTGGGAGGAAATAATTCTTTGGGCCGGGTTCCTTACCATCTTGGAATACGGAGGTGCGATCCAGCTTGATCATAGTCTGGTCGGCGTCCTCATCTTTCTTCATATAACTCATGGTGACGGGCTGCGGGAATTGCAGCAGGCAGAGACTCTCTCTATCTCAGCGTCTAAACGAGGAAAAGGGAGACCCCGAACAGGTGACGTCGGAGTCAATGGGCGAATAAGGGCGGGTCAAGTATTATGGTTTAGTCGAAGTAGGCAAGTCGATTGTGCAGGCGGTGTGTGTATAGGCAAGCAAATGAATTACCGCGCCCTCATTATCCTCAGAGGAAAGAGTGGGAAGGGAGGTAGAGGAGGGGATGACCGGAGACGGCGGGAGCGGGCGAAGAGGGAGGGGGGGGATAACACTGGGAGCCCCGAAGACGCAGAATGAATGGATGTTTTGCCAGGGCGTCGGAGGAGCAGCTCCATCCATCATGGAATCTCCAGGTGGCCTCAGGTTAGTCTATGCCGTCTTGGGCGGTGGGCGGCACCGCCACGGGGGTTGCACGTGAGTCTGTGGCTGGAGACTCAGGCAAATGCTGCAAACACGCGGGCATCTCGCGCGGCTGTACGTAATGGCCGTTATTATTGTGGTTGACTGCTTATCTTTTGGTAGTTGACTATTATTGATTGTCCGGTCATTGTACACTTCTTGCAATTGCAATTGAATCAAAGCCTTCATCATGCAGGTCGAAGTCAACCCCAACGAGGACACCGAATGGTTTGTCTCCCCTCATCCCCTCTGGTCTTTATACATCCAATATACTCACATCACCCCCCACCATTACAGGAACGACATTCTGCGCAAGCACGGCGTAATTCCGGAAAAGCCTCAGGACCCCGAACCCTTGATCCAGGAAGCCCTCGTCGAGGCTGAGAAGAAAGCATACGAAAACCGCCTCGAAGATAAAGACCTAGACGAACTCGACGAGCTCGAGGACGAAGAAGACGAGGCATTCCTTGCACAATATCGGTACGAACACCCCTGCCAACCACACTCCAGACCAATAGCTCACCTCCACCCAGCAACAAGCGTCTAGCAGAGCTCTCGACTCTCCAACAAACCAGCATCCACAACCAAGTATACCCCATCCAGAAGGTCGACTACGGGCGTGAAGTGACCGATGCGTCGGCCAAATATTTCGTCCTGGTGCATCTGACCTCGTCGTCGGACGGAAATGTCGAATCGCGGGTGTTGACGGAGCTGTGGCGTCAGCTGGCCGTCAAGTACGGGGATGTCAAGTTCTGTCAGATCCGTGGAAACATGTGTATCGAAGGATATCCGGATAAGAACACGCCGACGATCTTGGTATACAAGGACGGTGAGATTCGGAGGCAGATCATCACGCTGAGGGAATTCAATGGTCCTAGGACCAAACTCGAAGGTAGGTTCTTCCCCCCTTGCTCACTTTGTCAAACCTAAAAGGTTACGTACGAATTGTGCTCACTATGTCTTCTGTAGATCTCGAGAGAATGCTTCTGGACCTCGGTGCCATCAAAGAGAGCGACATTCGATTGAAAAAGCGGTCGGATTCGTCAGATGAGGGACGACCGGCCAAGAATAAACCCCAGGTGGAGGATGACGATGACGACTGGGACTAAAGAAATATATATTCTAAAATAATTCAATACATGAAATGTCACGACTGCCTGATCCTGGAGATCGGTGACTTGTCGAAGAAAAATTCTAGCTGCTATACTCGATTTGCGCTATCTCGACAGTATTCTGGGTAATTTGCTAGATATAGGAATTATCCCGCAGTATCTGCGCTGCTAGAGCACTCATTTTTGCATGTATTGTAACCATTGTTAGGGATGCATACACGTTACGGCGATATCAACCTGCACGTTTAGCAAGAAAGAACCGTTGTTTGAGGGAAGCCAAGGACTACTATAAAGCATCGAATACAGCTCTTCAGCAATGCAGGAAGGTATGATCATATATAAACATAGGACATATGGCGTCCACAAAAGAAATGGAACAATATCTCTCAATGAAACAGCAGACATAAACAGTCATGTTGGCAATACATACTCCTATATCTCCAATGACTCCAAGGCCAGTCGAAAGACCCGTTATAGTTTACCCAATAACTCAACGACCCAAAGGCGTCGACCTCCAAAAACAATGCCAAAAGTATATCCATCAATCCTAATATATCCATCGGGGAAGCGCCTCGCAACCAGAACAATTCGCGTATAGAAAGAAAAAAGAAAGGGAGTGAAAAGGGGTAGACGTCACATCGTAGAACTATGCAAATCCTGATAGATGTCTCATAGCAGCCCATCATTGTCGTCTGCGGCACTCTCCTCAATCGCCGTGCGTACTTGGCTTTCTCGGAAAGCCGGCCCCTGTCCGTCGCATTGGGCCCGGCCCTTGAGTTTCTCGGCGACCTGCGCGATGTCGACAAGGCCATGCTTGAACAGCTCATGGTTCTGAATGTATTCCCAGGTCGTGCTGACATCAAGCAACTTCTCGCCCGTTTCGCTACAGACCAAGACGCGATGGCGACGAACAGGTTCGCCGTTGGGGACGATATTGGAGTAGAAATCCGTAGGCGAGTACCTCAGGGGTCCCGTCGTGATGGGCCCTGAGTCAGGTGGGTTGTTTGATCGACTGGCCGAGCCGGACGTTGCGCGAAGAATCTCATTTTCGGTCGTGAATTTCGCCAGTTCCCGTCTCAGGCGCTCGTTGTCGGCTAGTAGGGTGTTGGACTCCTCTTCTAAACTGTTGAGTTTGTCCTCCAGATCTCGCACATGTCGTTCCTTTCGCTCCCGAAATGCACGCTGGCTATAATGGAGTCGACGAGTCAGAATACCACCCCAGTAAAGCGCCAAACCAACCTTTTCACCTCACGAAAGAATAGAAGGTCAGAGGAGGGGTAGGAGGGAGAGAACGTACGCAGCGCGGTTTTGCGCCTTCCGCTTCGTTTGCGCCGGCGTTGTGCCCTCTTTCTCTTCACTGCTGCTCCTCCCTAATGACGGGTCCCCCAGGCGGTCATCTCCACCATCCACCGAGGTTGGCTCTGTGTGATTAAGAACCTCATTACTGGAAACCGAATGTTTGGAGAAAGACTCGGGTGGGGAATGTGGCGGTGGGACAAAGGACTGGCCGGCGGGGTTTTGGAAGCGAAAGGAAGGGTCGAAGGATTGATAGTTTTGCTGTTCCATGATTGCGTTAGTGAGCGACGCTACGGCAGATGCTGCGAGAGAGTATACCAGAGATGTGAAGGTGTCCTGAAGGTTGTCCTGACGGGGCGCGGATTGATGGTGCTCGGGCGTGGGCAGCCCGGCGGGGAGGCCGTAGAAGGGAAAAGGCTGGGGCTGAGGACCGGAGTAGTACGAATAATCCATCTGAATTTGTCGTCTGTGTGGTTAGGAGAAAAAAGCAAGCGGAAGAGGTAAAGGTAGCGGAATGGTGGAGAGAAGGGAAAGAAAGTCTGACAAGCGGGATGCTAAAAGATGGCGGGATTTAATTTAAGGTCGGATCTACTGACTTACAGACACGGGCGGAGGGGCCGTTGGTTGGTCCCTCGCGACGGCTGTTAGTCAGACCCGACGCCGCTTTTGCGGGCAGATCCGCCAATTTGTCGAAGAGTCTAGACGTCCGTGCCGTGACTCCACTTGGATGCAAGTCGGGTTTTATTTTTTATCATGTCAGATATGGGGTGCAGACTGACTACAGGCAGACCTACAAAGGGCTACACACCTAGGGTATGCGTACAGATCCATCGACGGTGGCGAGCCATCAGTGGCGGCTCGTGAAGCGGTCCCGGTTCAAGATGTCCTCAATTCACTTGGCTTTACATGTAGAGCTGAGAATGTCGATTTAAACGAGCAGGCAGTGCAGAAGAATGAGAATAGAACAAGACACAACTTTAATTGACGCAATACCACCCCGGAAGCGACCCTAGCCATAGTCCGTCGCCAAATACCCACTCGAGACGTATCTTCTCTTTGCCCAATCCACCGCGTGCTGTCCCATAGTCCTGTATCGTCCGTCCATCATACGACAACGTCTTGCAAGACAACAGCCAGATTTTTGACCGCGTGAAGATATTATCGTCTCCAACCCCATCACAAATCATCCCGTCATACTCGTCTTCCCCTATGATGCGTCCATAAAAAGAAGAATGCCAGTCTGAGAACAATGACAAAAACAAAAGGAATGAGAGAAAAACAAAACATCCATGTGAAAGCAACGGGGGAGAAACATCAGTTAAAACAAAACAAATGGAGAGGAAAGGGAAGGATTTTTGTGAAAGATTTGCCGATGCGACATTCGAGGATCTTCTGGGACCGTAGTCAACAGTAAGATAACAACTCGACCGATGCTTTCATTCTGCATCTCCTTCCGTCTGGCCTTCCCGGTCGAAATAGGAAAAAATCGAGGCATCACTTCGAATGATAATCCGAAGAACCATTAGAACACGGGAGGTCGAGACATAAGATAGCCAGTTGGTGCGTTTTGAGGTTGCTACCCAAAAACCCTTCCTAAAGGAAGGGTCGAATGATCAAGCAACTTCCCCCATGGGAAAGAGGCCGGATTGATCGAGGGGCATGCAGGATAAACGTAGACAACAAAACGCAGCAGATCGAAACGGCTGAGACCGAAAAACGATCGAAAACGGGGGTAACGGGCTAACAGAGAGTGCGAGAAACGGAAATAAAGGAAATAAAAGAAAGAGTGGAGACCCAAGGCGAGATAAAAGTCCGAAAGGTTGTGCTGCAGGTAGCAGAAGGTTCACCAGTATCACGATGTTCCTGGGGTTCCTTAGATAAAGTGATGCCAACACGCAGGAAGCTCAACTTGAAATCAATGAAAAGACGAAAGCCAAGCTCCACTGCCATGCTGCAAGATTAGTACCACTGAGCACCGTACCCATCGTCCCGCTTCGCGCGGCTACCGACAGGGCCATAAGCACCTGAAGCAACCTTGGAAGCAGAACGCAGCCTAACGCCGAAGACTATGAGATTAGTCAGATTCTATACCTAAATTTGACCTCTACGTGCGGGGGAATCACGGTAAAGTACCAAACGCAGAGGAAAGGGGTTCCCTACACGGAACCTAGGTTTCAGATACTCACATCCTATCACTCCCTCCCACGGCACGGTTGGTGTCCGGAGTGTTGTCAAGGTTGCGGTCGAGGACCTTGCGGCGCTGGCTCGAGATACCACCGGGCTTGGCGGCAGCGCCGGGGGTGCCCATGGGGGCACCGGCAACCTGACGGCGCTGTTGTTCCTCGGTCTCCTTGTCCTTCTTGTTGCTGGCATCCACGATCATGGCGGCGTTCTTCTGGTACTTGTAAACAGTCCAGTCGAACACGTAGTCGTACTGGAAGGACTCGCGGACAAACAGGTCACGGAAGATCTTGCGTAGGTACGAGTAGTCGGGCTTGTCGTCGAAACGTAGGGAGCGGGTGTAGTTCAGGTAGATGGAGAATTCGTTGGGGAATCCACGGCAGAGAACCTCGGTAGGCGTGGTCATCTTCTTCTCCATGATACGGTCGTACTTCTGCTTCTTAGTAGCCGCCTTCAGTCCCTGCCAGGGAAGAGTGCCGCGGCAGAAATAGAGCATGACATAGCCCAAAGACTCCATATCGTCACGGCGAGACTGCTCCACACCCAAGTGAGTGTTGATACTGGCATAACGGGCAGTACCAGTAAGGTTCTTGTTCTCGCGGTAAGGAATGTGGAAGTGAGTCTTGGGGTCCCGGTACTTCTTGGCGAGACCGAAATCAATCACGTTGACTTGGTTTCCACGCTTACCGATACCCATCAGGAAGTTGTCCGGCTTGATATCACGGTGAATGAAGGATTTGGCATGAATGTACTCGATGCGAGAGATGAGCTGGTCGGCCAGAAGGAGGACGGTTTTCAGCGAGAATTTGCGGTTGCAGAAGTTGAACAGATCTTCCAAACTGGGACCCAGAAGATCAATCACCATGGCGTTGTAATCACATTCGGTACCGAACCAGCGAACGAATGGGATACCAACACCACCGGCAAGAGACTTGTAGACACGAGCCTCATACTCGAGCTGGGGGTGCTTGGCCTTGACACTCTCGAGCTTGATGGCGATTTCCTCGCCAGAGATGATGTTGGTGCCTATGTGTGATTAGAATATTGCCTGCCTCCAGGATCTTGCCACCGAGAATCATTACATACCAAGGTAGATGTCACCGAAACTACCACTTCCAATCTTGCGGCCAATCCGGTACTTGTTACCAACACGCAAATCCTGGATGATATTTGTTAGTCACGTCGTGTCGTTTGATAGTCCTGGGACATGAACATACCATAGTCGTCATCTTGATCGAAGAGTCACAGCTAACGTGCCGTGAGCCGATTACTATTCAGACTATTATGATAAGGCTTATCAGTGACTGAATCAAGCAATGAAAAAAGGATTTGAATCCAGAATAGAAGCCTGGTCTTTATAGTAACGAAGCAGAAGATCACGAGGGTCCTGGGTGAGGTTGGGTGAAGAGGTAAAAGCCACACAGATCACCGTGCAGTCTCAGCCTTCAAGCGCGTAGTCGGGCTTACTTGGCAGAGTGAAGAGCCTGGTGAGGCTGGGGGGTAGGTTGCAGCAGGGAGCCTCAACCGAGTAACCAGAGTAACACGCAGATCCAGCCAGGCAGTCACGATGAAGTGTAAAAGAGGTCCAGAAAAGGCATAAAAGGGGGAAGATGCAGTACAATGAGGACAATAGCGAAACTAACCTTGTCGAGGAGGGGTGGATATGGTGAGATAGCGGTGATGTCGACTGTTGGGGACTCCGACCGACCGTAAGGGCCCGACCGGCAAGGCAAAAAAGGCGGAGAGAAAATGAAGGGAAGCGACCGACCTAGAAACATACGACTGTCAGAGGGGGAACACAGCGGTTGGGGGGCAGAACAAGGGAGACGTACGAACAGAGAGGATGAGGGAGAGATAAAATCAAGGAAAATCAAGGGCAGAGCCTTGATTATCTGGAAGGTGAGATATGAAGGAGGAGAGGAAGAGGGAAGGAGAGAAGAAAGAGAAGGATCGAAAAGAGAAAGGAAGAGGGCGAAGGGGGGGGGGAGGCGGCGGGTAAAGAAACGGGAAAGGCCAGTGATCGGGTTCGCTGCGGTTGGCGGTCAAGAAGGTATTGGTTGATCTTACCTGGTATTTTTATCTGGTATATGAGGTATTATTATTTTTAATTATTATGATTATTATTATTACTGTATTCTTCTTGGTGGTTTGATGAGTTTGGCTCTGGGATTTGTTTACTTTTTTTATTCTTCTCTGTCGGAAGGATAGGTTCGAATTTACTTGATTATTTTTAAAATGAGGATTTGATGATCTTCAAGGAATTTTCCCTCTTTATTTTGATTTCTTTATGCTGGCGGCAATTGCAATCAAAGGGGCGACATGCGAAAAGAAATTAAAGGTAAAGGAAGAACCAATTAGGAAGTTGCCTGAAAGGCTAGAAGTCGGTGAGAAGACAGAAAGGGGACAGACGTCCTGGTCAGTGAAAGGGCGCGTCTGGTAATTCCCTTTGAGGCAGCGATGAATGAATGGGAATTCCCACACCTTAATAGGCAATCTTATCTGGTATTCATGAAGGCCGTGACCACCTGGTCCAGTCCGGGTCCATTTAGGATCACTCTTTCAATTAATGGCTTGGACCGTGTGGGATGACATGAATGAATATGGGGGTGGTAATATAGCCATAATGGAAACCAATGTATGGATGGGTTATTATTAGTAGTCGACTCTGGACGTCTTAGCATCCCGACTGGCAGACTAAACCCAGGTAAGTAAAGACCATGAGACTGGGGCGATGGGAATCCATTACGGAGTAGTTATTGATTTCCGTCCACAGATTGTTGACAGGTATCTTGTAAGTTGTAAGGTATCCTTGGTCCTCAGACTGACATCCCGAAGGAGATGAATAATACCTCGGGATCTGCATCCAGAACCTTACTTGAGGGGACCGGGAGACACAAATTCAACAATTTGGGTATGCATTTAAGCCAGTATGGACAGATCGGAGGATGTAACGTTGGGCGAACAAGCCACCCGAAGGGTGATGGCCATGTTCAAAGGCAATAGGAGTCCACATGGACGGCAGTACGTGGATGGGGGAATCACGGTGGATGATGCCATGGGCCACATGCACCGGCATTGTCTTCCAGATGCCCCATGGAACATCTTGATGATGTATGATGTATGATGTATCGCTGCCTGAGGTCACCCCCGGCCTCAGATGACCCGTCACGACGGTAACGCCGCCGTAAATTACAGTCCGAGTCGCAACGGGAACCCTTTTTGGGCAGAAATCGCGTTCTCATCAAACCGCCGGCGCCTGACAACTTGCCCCGTTCATCGCACTGCAGTATCCTATAATCCTACGGCATAGCAGTCACCGAGGGACTTGAATCTACTCGGCCTTCAACTTGAATAAAACAGCCTTCAAGCCATTCGGTCATACGGTTCACACATCAGATAGATCGTTACAGAACTGTACATCCCTCTGGTCATCTTCCGACTTGGAAAGCAGATCCTGGTCAATCTAAATGCCTCAATTTTGCCCCCCGCTCACTCTATTCACGGTCCGGGTTGCTTGATACGGTTTCACCGCCGGGGTGATCATAGGGCATCCCGGTATATTTTCTTGTGATAGTACTGTACAGTACCATACTATGATTATCTTGTACACACTGTCATCCTTCACGTTTACAAGTGACCGTGTAGGTGGCTCTTGCATCCACCTGACTAGTTAATGGTCTCCAGTAGCGACACGACAGAGAAACCCGTTGAGCAGGCAAGGGAAGAACATAACAAACAATTCACTCGATCTTGCAAGGATCGTACACTCCTGCATCAACGACCGATGGCCCGAGAGTCAAACCCCCTTACCTCTATATGCAAACAGGCCCTTGTTTACGACGGGGTGCAATGAAATTAAACCACCAGCGAATTAGCCATCATCTCCCGGGGTAACCCGACAGGACTTCGAAAGCTGCAAGAAAAAGAAGTAACACTCCCAATGGGTTCATGAATATAACAATTGACTAGATCTAGACAGAGGCTTCATGAAATAAAATTGTAGAGTAATAGTACAGTTCGGATGAAGGAAAGTCAAACAAAGTAAGACGATAAAATGTGAAGGGGTATAAAAGAAGACAAGAAGGTGAAGAGAATGAAAGAGGGGAAGAAAAGAAAGGAAAAACAAGAACTGGAAACAGCGCATATAATGACAACGAGGCTCTCTCTTGGTAATGCAATCGAGGCGGTCGGGAGAGATGGTTGACAAGTGCGGATGGCAGATCCAACCAACCCCGTTCAGGGAGTCAAGAATAAGAAATGGGAAGTTCAAGTAACACAGATTCCAACTGGGAGAGCAAAATCAACAGTGGAGACAGGAGAACGCCGGGGTCGTCCAACAGTAGATTCCGATCACCGTCAACGGGTACCGAAACCTATTGCTTGGTATATTCAGGCTTTCGTGGCACGTCTTCCAATAAAATCCAGACAAGTCATACCGTTCGAGCTGTTCATATCATGTTTGCCGTTGCGTGTGCCTCGCCAGCATTCCGAGGCTTGCTCTTTTCTGGGGTACTCGCTCTCGCTTCCTCTTCATCCAATCGTCGCCTCCATTCGGCCAAGCTATCGCTGAGCCCGGTCTCTTTGGTGGGCGTCCGATCGAAGTCGGACTGAGTGCTGAGCCGATAGTTCCGATTGGTGCTCTCCCAGTGGCTCCGCAGAGTCTCTAGCTCGTTGGCTAGGGAGTCCAGGGCCATGGATCCACGGTTGTCCGGGAAGGGCTCTTCCTGCGACACGGCGCTATTGGCTCTAGACCGATTCCCGGCACCGCTGATGGTGTTGCTCGAGGCATTGCTGTGAGTGCGGGAGATACCGTTGATGCCTTGAACGGGCTGCGACTGTCGGCGGTAATGCCCGACGGACGCCTCAACCTGGTCCAGAAGCATGTTGACCTTGTGTTCAGCATCGGATGCGCGAGTTTCCAGCAGAGAGTTCTCCTGCTTGAGCTGCTCCAATTCCGCATGGCTCTTGTCCGCAGCGGCGACGAGCTCTTGCCGCATACTCTCAAACTCGCTGCGAGATTCGTTCTTGTCGGCTTCGGCGGCCGAAAGGTCTGTCCTCAACCGGGTGATTTGGTCCTCAAGGATCGTAATGGAAGATGTTGTCTCCTCGTGCAGATCGTCGATGGTCTGCTGGAGATGCGAGCGCTCGGCCTCCCAGTCGGCTGGCACTTCTGAACCTCCGTTTGAAAGTTCCTTCTGCGCGGCTTCCACTTCCGACTGCAATTTGGCGTTTTGGACCTTGTACCGGCTGAGTTCATCCTTCATGCGCTTCAGCATCTTCTCAGTACCCTTCACGTAGTGAACAGCCGATTGGTAGTCGTTCTCGAGCTGCTCCAGCTTCTCTCTGTAGGCACGATCGGCTTCCTGCTCACGAGATTCAAACGACGACTTCAGCTCCTCGTGTGCCTTCATACTGGTCGAGAGCTGTTGCTCCAGTTCACGTAACCGGCCTTGTTCGGGTGTTCCAAACCGGGATCCAGGGGAGTCGAGCCGAGGAGAGCGTCTGTTATCCGGATAGCCAACGCCGCGCTCACCCAGAAGGTCCTTGAGAGCAGCGTGTTGGATAGCCAATGCGCCGGACTCTCGCTGGTGATTCTCCAGCTGAGCCTTGAGGTCTCTGTTCTCGGCGGCATGTGACTGGCTTTCCTTCATCGCGGTCTGGAGCTGCCTACGGAGCTGCAAGCCCTCTCTGCTGGCCTGCTCCTGGTATGCCTCTAAGCCGGCAATTCTCTCTTCCGCACGTCGAAGCTTATCTGCTGCATCATCAGCAGCTGCGTGGCTAGCCTTCGCCAAATTGTTGGCCCGTTCCACTTGAGCCTCGAGAGCAGACACGCGTTGGTCCGCAAGCGAGCGCATAGATACTTCTGAATCAAAGGACGAGGCGCGGTCGAGGCCGGACAAGAAGGCGTTCTTATGCGTCTCGGCCTCTCTCGCGCTGGTCTCCGCCAGCTCCTCCGCGTCTCGCAGGCGACGGTTCACATTCTCTAGCTCGGAGGTCCGTTCATCATGTTCCGACCTCAGCTGCAGCAACTTCTTTTCCAGTCCTCCCCGGCGCTCCCGTTCTTCTTCTAATTGCCTTTCAAGAAGAGTCGATTTGTCGGTCGAAGCATGCACTGCCTCCCGAAGAGTTCCGAGGTTATTGCCCAAGTCACCCAGGCGAATAGAAGATTCCTCGAGGTTCTTCGACAACTCCTCCTTGTCCAGAGTCAGTTGCTTCAAAGCGGAGTCGGCATCTGCTCGTAACAAGGACTCTTCCCTGACGGCAGCCTCCGCTTGGTGGAGTTGGGCGCGCAAACTTTCCATTTCTATGGCATTATTCTGCATTTCGAGTTCGGCAAGTCTTCGCCGTGTGGCCTCACACGTTTCTTCCGCCAATTCCCTGCCACGTTTCTCCTGATCGAGTTCGTTGGTGAGAACCTCGAGTTTAGATTTGGCCTCGTTATGAGAGGCGAGAGCCAGGGCAAGTCTTCTGCTGATCTCGGTGCTTCGGTCGGTGATGGTATCCTCGTGGTCTTGGGAGCGTCTGTCTGGCTGGGGAGTACCGCGCTGGCTGCCGCCATGGGCAGCGAGCTTAGCTCGTGAATAAGCAGCCTCGTTGACAGCAACATCTCTTTGGTGTTCAACTTCGGCAACGCGTTTAGAAGCGATCGCTGCTTGTCGGTCCACAGTTGCTTGCATCTTCGCCAACTCTGCCCTCATGGCGAGGAATGCCTCGATCAAAGGCCGGTCCTCGTCAGCAAACGTATCCACCGCCTGCTCATCCAGGTTGGTACCGTTGGCCAGATTAGGTGAGTAGCCGGCCTTCTTGGCCAACGCCAGCTCCGATGCGTACCACGCATTACGGTTTTTCACCAGTTCGAGCTCCTTAATTAACGCCTCTTGGTGAGCAGTTAACCGAGGCGATCGCGGCTCATCTCCAAGGGTCCTGGAGTTCCGTTGACCCCGAGATTCCACCGACCCATCAATGCTAGCGTGCCGGCCTAGAACAGACTCGTCGGCACTGTCCATAGAGCTTCGCTGTCGTTGCTGACGGAGAGATCGTTGCCTAGTCGGCGCACTCATGAGGGGTGCAGCCTCGCCAGCCTCCATCGCCTTGGCAGACATCCTCTGAGGTTGGGTTTGGGGTTGAGACTGCTGAGTAGGGGTACGCTGGCCCGTGGGGTAGGAGCCAGCTTCGGAGACCGATCGGGGGTCTTTGGGGGACTCTCTCGGCGACTCCCTGTCGCGTTCGGCGGTCACTGCCCGAACCGTGTCCACGGGCGGACCTCCGTATGCACGGTCGAGCTTTGTCGGCGTTTTGCTGCGGGGGTTCATGACAGGCTGAGGGGTGTTACCTCGAGGGCCGGGTGTGGGTGCCTGACCCGGCGGAGGGGGTCCGGACGGAGCCTGTGCGATGGATGCCCGGGGCAGCCTTGAACCAGGTCCGGGGCTGAGCCCGAATTCTGCCGGTCGACCGGTTGGGCTTATCATACTCTCGCGTGACGGTCCCGGCCGTCGTTGCTGCACATCTGCAGGTTGGTTTTGAGCTTCGCGAGAGGTGCGACCGGTTAGGGGACCAGGTCTATCGGCACTTCCTTTCCTCACTCCGGGGGGCGGGCCTCCGTTTTGAGAGTCGGTGGGATAACGGATTTTCGAGGTGTCAAGAATGTAGGCCATGCTGAGCTCCACGGGGTCTCTGGGTGCCGAACTCGGCTCTCCAGCCATAACGATAACTTGCTTTCCGAATGCCGTCATACTATGGCCGGACCTCGGAGACGGCGCGGGTCCCATGTTCTGGAAGGAATACCATCTCCGAGTGGTGATGCGAAAGGCCGCCAGATCCCCAAGGTCAACGCCCTCGTCCGTGCGCCCACCAAATATGTACATGACATCGCTCACTAGAGCCGCCGCATGACCCTCCCGAGGAGTTGGAATGAACCCAACGCAATCTAACTGAGACCACTGGTTGGCACGCGGGTCATAGGTCCAGACGTCGTTAAACCACTGCAAGCCGTTCGTTCCTCCGAACCTGTGTTTATGAGCAAAATGGAATCACCGAGGAAATAATCCGTGTACTTACAGATACAGTCGATCGTTGAAGCTGACGATGCTATGATTGGTTCTGGCCGGAGGAATCTGACCGGGGGGTGGCCCGCCCTGATGGCTGTTCCGAATCAAAAACTCCCATTTATTGTTCGGGTTTGAGAGTTGATTTAGATCGAAGGCAATCAGATCGTTGAAAAAGTAACCCTCCACCTGACCACCGAAGACGTAGAGTCTAGAGCCGAGGATATTCAAGGTATGGCCATACCGTCCTGCAGGTCGGGGGCCGGGGGGTATTGAGCGGGACCACTGGCGGGAAGCTGATACAGAAGATGGTTAGGAGCTTCGACCAAAGGGTGGAGCAGACATCTGGGATACTCACAAGTATTCAGGAGATAGAGGGTGTCGTCCAACATGTCATTCTCATCAACTTTCGTATCTCCGCCAAACACAATAAAAGCATTTCCCACCAACAAACTCGCGTGGCCAACTCGAGGACCGGGGCCCTCTGACACAGTCGCAATTGGGACACAGGACAGATTTCCGCCGCTGCTCTCGATCATCCACAGATCCCCCTTAACCGTAGACCCGTCTATCAAGCCACCCATCATGTAAACATCGCCCTCCTTCGAGGCGACCGCATTGATCGCCGCCCCATATCGCGGGAAGGGGTTTGCCTGCGGCGAGGAAAAATTTATGCGACGTTGTGACCAAGGGTAGAGGGAGGTGCCGGGGCTAGTGTTGGGGGAATTGCTAGTCGGGCCCTGTAGCGAGCGCTGCATTGGCAAGCATCAGTGAGGATTCGTAGAGGAAGCCAGTTGCGACCAATAGTTGAAGGGACTAGAAAGATAGGCAAGGGGCACCAACCTGCGATTCTGACTCGGCTCTCTGTCGCATCCGTTGGGTCTCCGGGCTGTTTGTGCTGTTCACCGAGTTCAAGGAGTTGTTGTAACTGCTACTGGGAGTCGGCGTCTGAGGGTTCCCTCCCTCCCGTTCCTTCGGGGCCGGGGGCGCCGCTGCCGGAGCAGCGGCTGGCGGTGCATTTGGCGGCGCTCCCTCAGAACTTGGGGCATTTCTCGATGCCGGGGGCAGGGTAGTATTTTGCTGATTCTTCTTCGATTTAAAGAGGAAGGCCATCGTGACAATTGGATCGTAAACGGTCGTTCAAAGCGCAAAACTTTCAATTAAGCGTATCAGGGATTAGAAAAAGGTTAAACCCAACAGCGCAAATCCGTGTCGAGTGTGGGAATTATAAAAGCCTCCTTCACCAGCTGAGACCCGAAGGGCCACGATCGCTTCAAACGAAGGCGTGGTGAGGAGAGAAGAAGAAAATCGGTTACAGGCGCCAGGCTGTAAAAGAAGGGTAAATGAGCGAGCGGAGGCGGAAACCCGCTGGGAAAGGCTGAAAATCAGCGTCCGAATAGATGGAGGACGGTTGAAGCCGTTCGGAGGAGAGGAAAACAACGGCGGACTCCCATGCACGAAAACCGTGGCCCGGAGTAGGGAGCGACCAACCGGGGGGGCGGCCTCGTCTACTTCCACTGGAACCTCACAAAACCTCGACTGCAACGCCGAAGGAGCATGGGCGAGTTAATAAATTAACTTGACCGCTGAGATGCCAGGAATTAAGAAAGGGGATAAGCAAGAATTAAGAGCAAACACTGAAAACCGAAAACCAATGCAAATGCGCAAAACAGCCCCCAAGACAAGAAGGAAAAATAAGATTAAAAAAAAGGGAAGGGGAAAAACAGACACACAGTCGGAGAATAAAGAGAGGGAAGAGGAAGAAGCAACAGCAGCAGAGGTATGGGGCTTGTGCATGAAAACTGGAGAGGGAAGGGAAGAAAGAGGGAGAGAGGGCAAATGCGAGGCTCCGGCGTTTCAAAGGTTCCTGGCCAGCATTAATTAGATAATTATTATTGATGTTGTTATGTGATTTGACCCGACTTTCTCTCAAGAGCTAAAGTCGTTAGGGGGAGGGGAAAAGGAAAAGCGACACCGCCTATTGAAATGCTGCAATGGTTGGTTTTTCCATCTGATTCACTCTCGTCTCCAAGGGGGCGGGCGTTTAGTGTTTACCTGATAATCAATTTACGGGGGAAAAGGTATAAACACCGGGAATCCAATCCCATGAGCCACGAGGGTTTAACGTCTTTTCTTTTTCTGGTTCTGGTTCTTCTCTTCTCCCTCGCCAGGTTCATACTTCAGATGCGGCAGTGTCCAGATGCTTCGATACATTCGCCTACCGAACATACATCCACTCTGTTCCCTATAATAATTTAAATCATGCCCAAAATAGCCCATCTTCTCCATCGTGCTTCCATCGACATCATCGGGCAGGAGGAAAACCCCCCTAGCCCTACCCAAAACGAACCTATCTACGGATAATATCGATAGGTAATTTCCTACTTACGGTTTTGTCTATTAAATATTAATGTTGGCGCCGGTTCGCCCTGACAGATGGCACTAGCCGGGTCTTCCTAGTAGATTAAGTAGGTAATAGTAAATGCCATCTTTAAATATTCAACAGTCTATCCGAACGTCTAGAATCGACGGCTACCTAGAATTTTTTTTGGCTTTCAGTGTTAACGACCTACTGTGCGTGATCATGAGGCCGTCCACTCTTTGCCGCCCGCTAGGAGGGAAGATGGAGCCGGCGTTCCTTACAGTCCAGTCACGGGCTTTCCATGGGTTTGTCCATGCAGGAACCATCTGCTGGAGACAGAGAATGACTATGTACACCAAGTACTGTGTACTCCGTAGTGTGTCCCTCTCGGTCGCTACCAACGGGAGCAACCACAGTCAAAGCGATCATCGCAGGAATCATGCTGGATGACCGGTTGGAGTGGGTGATGATGATGTGGTGACTGGATAACTGAGTGTGGTTAGCGTTCCAGAGCTAGTGAGGTCTCTCTTCCAGTCAGGGACGGGTTCCGCGGATCCAGGGGCAAAGACTTTTTTTCCGTCTGTTCCAATTTCCATCCGCGAAAGGGGGAGGTGGTTGATCTGGTCCAACCCGTCAACCCAAGCCATCCATCGTCGGCAAGCGGGTCAGGCTGTGGTTCGGCAGGGATGAAGTCCCCTGTCGCCTCGCGAATCACGATGGAATGTCGCCGCTTGCTTTCCTCACTTTTTTTTTTTTCCATACAGAAAACCAGTCCCGGCTCCACTCTACCTATCCCCCTTTTCCTCTCTTCTGTCGTCTCTTTGTTCTTACCTTCTTTCATCCTGGTTTTTTACTTTCTAGTTTTCTACCTACTTTCGGTACTTGTTCTCCCGCCCCCCAACCACGATGGGGAAGCCACCACTTCGTATTATGCGGTTTCATATCCCGTCCCTTTAGTTATCCATAGACCTACCAGCCACCGGTGTCTTAATTTAGTTCGTCTGAGCTAGAGGTTGGTCATCTGTGGGGACTGGGAACAGTGAAGAGTACACCGAGTAAGAGTGAACAATACGGTGTGCTTATCCTCTCCCTCTGTCTGTAGTCCGTCGTAGGTACCGAGTACCTGTTGTATGCCGCATCTCGGTCTAAACTCTAATGCTGACAAGCTAGCCATGGCCTTGCAACAAAAACATCCCATAATTGCCCATGTTGTACTCCGTACTCTGTACAAGCTACACTCCCGTTAACATGTTGCAGTTATATGTACAATTCTTATCACCGGTCCTGACCGGGATACGTGACGATCTCAATTCCCAGCAAGATAGAGAACTGGCCGTGGTTCTATTTATAAGCTACCCCGCAAATGTGATATGCAAATTTTTGAGATTGCAGCGCAAAAATGATGAAATGCACATGCTCAAGTGGATGGGCCATCAATTCCGATTCAATCTTGTTTTTTGTTTTCTCATTTGGGGCCCGCCTTTTCGAAAAGATCCCGTCCCTGTCAATTGGCTCGCCGGCGTGTCTACTCCATAAATATATAACCTACAAAACCAACAACTACTAGTTATACTCTAGGATCATTACCAATCCCCCCAAAGTCGAGGGTAAGAGAGGCTATCCTAGTGCAATCTAGTTATATAATACTCGATATTTCCCATGTAGATGATCCTACGGTTAGTGCCTACGGTGATTGCTTGCTCACCCAGCAAATAGTCATGTGTATCAAAGCAGCCTCCAGTAAGTATCAATGCGCAGAGCTTAACCGAACAGCAAGCATTACCTAGCATCCGAACTACAGAACTATGTATCTCAGCAGCCTAACTGTCTATTCCATTTAACCAGGTATCTTTAAGGCACGAATGTTCTGTCGGTTGGCAGTGAATTGCAGTCGATAAAAGAACTACTGTGTAGATCGTTGAAGGCTCATAGCAAATTGGGCCAACCCTAGCCCTCTTAGGAGCTTATGGTTAACACCGCAATCAACTAATGGGCATTGATGCTGAAAAGAGATGACGGCCCTTTTTCCGTTAGCTCAGAGTTCTGACGCGACCTGCGCCGTAGAGAAAGTACCAAGGGTTGAGGTTGGACTGAGTATTCTAGGTCTTCTTCACCACTACTTCTACTCCCTCGCCGAGTTGACCGTCAAGAGGATGAAACAGATCTATAAGATATACCGCACGATAAGAGCTACACATGAATCGGAACTCTGTTGGGTTGCATTCGCCTCGAATATGCAGGTGTTGGTAGAATACGCTATTCCGATTGTTATGAAACATCAGAAAACGGATGATATTACCTGTTCTGGAGTTCGGGATAGCTTCATCACCGTCGACCAGGCTGGTCACGAGGGGACTGGAGGTGAAGACTGATGTAATGGCACAAGACGTGGAGATTCCGGAACCCGGAGCTACCAATATCCCGGCGTTCCATGCCAAGACATCACCGGCCAAAGCTCCTGGACGACGCTTTTACTATCGGAAGACATCGACAATTCCCGCGCTTTGAGACTGCGGGGTTGAGTCAGACAGTTAGAACTCTTCTCGTGTTGATAGTTCTCTGATAATCTCTTATTTGATCTCATTTATCGCAAAGACAGACATTTCTGGAACCTCGAAAGGCCCCGAGATCACGGACGGCAGAGCCTCATGATTGGGTATGCTGGTCAGGCTTGTTCTCACTGCACGCACGCTGTGATATGATTCTTGATTAGGTGAGAACATACAGGTGGATGTGCATCCGCCCCACAACATGAGCCTTTTCTATAGTCTATCGTGACTACAGATTCTCTCTTGCAGCTTGAATGAGGGACCATCTAATCCATTTACCTTAGACATCCGTTCTTTTCCCATGACGACACTCTTCCTCTCCTGCATGAATATGACGGTCTCTGTACAATGAAGGACCCCAGAGTTACCATGAACGAGAATTCCACAATGAAACCACAGGCTTCCAGTGCTCAGGCCGAGCCCCATTCTGAACCTAGAAGGAATCCGACCAAGTCCGTTCGCGTTGCTTTCGGCCCGGACCTGGAAACCCATATCCCTCCGCGCGATAGATCCCCCGCTCCCACGACGTCCCATCACCGATCATTTACCACCGTCGAACACAAACCACCCCCGTTGACTACTCCGCCCGGCAGACCAACCAGCTCGTCGGGCGAGAATTCAGCCATCATCGATTCCGCTCCTCGATTGACTTCGGATCGGGCCTCAGATTCCGCTCGGCCAACAGCTGCCTTGAAAAGAGCAAAGAGTGACTATGGACCTAGGGTGGGCTTCGAAAGATCCGCTTTTGGGGATGACGAGGAGGATTTTGCTATGAGACACGGATGGCAGGAGGAGTATACGTCGAGCGAATATCTCAAAATACTCCACTCGGTGAGTGAAATCACCATTTGACTAGCTGCCTCTGCGCATTCTTTGCTGATGAACCTGGGACTCTACAGAATTTCTACATGTATTTCACCGAGAAGCGCCACGAGACTGATGGTATTCCAAGGGACCCCGTCGGTAGCTGGCCAAGTCAAGACTGGCGTATGAAGGACCGGCTGAAAACAGTTTCTGCTGCGTTGGCTATATGCTTAAACATCGGCGTTGACCCCCCTGATGTGGTAAAGACGAACCCGACAGCGAAACTGGAATGCTGGGTTGACCCAACGTCCACTACCGGTGGCGGCCAGACTAAGATCATGGAGCAGATAGGGAAGAAGCTGCAGGAGCAGTATGAGACTCTCAGTTTGCGGACAAGGTACAAACAGTATTTGGATCCTTCCGTCGATGAGACCAAGAAGTTCTGCATATCGCTGCGACGAAATGCTAAGGACGAGAGAGTCCTCTTTCACTACAACGGCCATGGTGTTCCTCTTCCTACCCAATCGGGCGAGATCTGGGTGTTCAACAAGAATTACACGCAGTATATTCCCGTGTCTTTGTACGATTTGCAATCCTGGCTTGCTGGTCCTAGCCTTTTTGTTTTCGACGTATCGCATGCAGGGAACATCGTCCAAAATTTCCACACTTTCGTCGAAAAGCATGAGAAGGAGAACACCGAAGCCAAGAAGCGAGATCCCAACGTCATTGTTCAAAGCTACGGCGATTGTATAATTCTCGCGGCCTGCCAAAAGAGCGAGTCCTTGCCGACCAACCCAGATCTTCCCGCTGATCTCTTCACATGTTGCTTGACTACACCGATCGATATCGCTCTACGGTTCTTCATCCTCCAAAATCCCTTGCAATCCAATTTCTCTATCGATGACTTTAGAGTCCCAGGCCGTCTACAGGATCGCAGAAGTCCTCTTGGAGAGCTTAATTGGATTTTTACAGCAATCACCGACACCATTGCATGGAATACCCTTCCGCGAACCCTGTTCAAGAAGCTGTTCCGCCAGGACTTGATGGTCGCTGCTCTCTTTCGGAATTTCTTGCTCAGTGAACGGATCATGCGTACATACAAGTGCCATCCGATCTCATCTCCAGAACTTCCAGAGACGCACCATCATCCTCTGTGGAAAAGCTGGGATCTGGCTGTCGAGATGGTCTTGTCCCAACTTCCGGCCTTGATTGAAAACGACGAAGGTCGCAAGCACTATGACTACCAGCATTCGTCTTTCTTTGCTGAACAACTCACTGCCTTTGAGGTCTATCTATCGTCGGGACCGACGGAAAAGAACCCCCCGGATCAGCTGCCTATTGTCTTGCAGGTTCTTCTGAGCCAGGCCCACAGACTAAGAGCATTGATCTTGCTCAGCAAATTCCTCGATCTGGGTCCTTGGGCGGTTCATCTGGCGTTAAGCATTGGTATCTTCCCTTACGTCGTTAAGCTTTTACAGTCTGCAGCCCAGGAACTCAAGCCTGTGATGGTGTTCATCTGGGCTAGGATCATGGCGGTTGACCATACCGTCCAAAACGACCTATTGAAGGACAATGGAATTCATTATTTCATTTCTATTCTCAACCCCTCTTCACCGATCCCAGTGGGCAATGCCAGCGAACACCGAGCAATGTGCGCGTTCATCGTGTCGATCTTCTGCAAAAACTATCCCCAGGGACAGAATGTGTGTCTCTCCGCCGAACTGTTTGATTCTTGTCTGAGGCACTTGATGGACGTTGAGAATCCTTTGCTGCGGCAGTGGTCCTGTCTATGCATAAGTATGCTCTGGTCCGATTTCCCCGAGGCCAAATGGATGGGAATCCGATGCGCTGCCCCTGCGCGGCTCTGCGAGCTTAATTTCGACCCTGTGCCGGAGGTCCGAGCTGCGATGTTACACGCCGTCACTACGTTTTTGGGCATCCCAGATTTGACGGACCAGGTCGCCCAAATTGAAGAGTCCTTAGCCATGGCGGTCCTCCCTATGTCATCGGATGGCAGCGTTCTTGTTCGAAAGGAGCTGTTGGTGTTCTTCTCAACCTTTGTTAGACGTTATCAGAACAAGTTTCTGGTTGCTGCTTATGAAGAATTCCAAGATGAGAAGAAAAATCTCATTTCGAAATTGGAACAAGCAGGTATCGGGGCCTACTACCCGGAAGAACCCATCAATGGGTCGACTGATGACTCGTCGAAATCGAAATCGAAATCGCAGACTTTGTCTCGCAACACCACGTTTGGCACAATTTGGAAGCAGTTACTCATTCTTTCCGTTGATCCCCACCCAGACATAGCCCAGGATGGCAGCATGATTATTGATTACATTCATATAGCTCTCTTGCAGTCCCCTATGGCTTCCATAACTGATAAGCTTCGAACCGAAATAATGGAGCTATCAAGCCGAGTGCCACAGAAGCAGCATGTTCGAGAACGACCTGAGTCAAAGGCCGCACCGCCCCCCACACCACAGTCTCATGCCCCTCCCAAGCCGGAAGGCTATCTCTCACTTAGTCTCAGACGGACGGCCAGCGTTGCTGCCTCGCTCAAGAATCTTGCCTTCGGTGGATCTTCCCAAACTGAACCGCAGTCATCACAGCCCCCGACGTCACCTAAAAGCCGCATGCCTATCACTCCTCGAGGAAGGGCGCCCCCAGAATGGACCCGACCACCGGAAGTGAACGATCAAGTCGCCCCTGCTACAGCGTATCATCAAGCCCCTACTCCCACGTCCCGAGGGTTCGAGTCTAAAGATCTTACGACTGCCCCAACTATTCCCCTGATGAGCAGATTCCTAGATTGGTCCACAGAGGTAATCCCAGAATCACTCCACCTAATCAGCGAGCAATACAACGAAATATATGAGCGTTTTCTCACCCATATCCAGTACTTCCGGGAACCCCAAATGAAACCCAATGAGCCCGACGAGCCCGGTAGCGCGGATTACAACGAGCGACTCTGGAGACGGAGCCGCAACGAGAAGATCATCACGGAAACCCAACCACTCAAGGGCAAAGCAGGAACAAGCCGATGGGATAGCTCCATGGCTCTTCTCACGAACAACAGCCAACCCCTGAAGATGTGTTTTCACCAGTTCGAGGATCATATCGCAGTCGCGGATGATAGGGACACGATTGCGTAAGTGGGATGATTTGCAAACTAATGGTACTTACTAACACCTTTGAACAGTATTTGGGACTGGCAGAGACATAAGCGCCTGAATTGGTTCTCTAATCGCAACCCCCCAGGGTCGAAGATCAACGAAGTTCGCTACATCAATGAGGACGACCAAGCACTTCTGATGACAGGTTCTTCCGACGGTGTCCTCAAAGTATTCCGCAACTACGAATCTTCACAGGATGTTGAGATCGTGACGGCATTTAGAGCGTTGCCTGAGCTTATTCCAAGCAATCGGAATGCCGGCCTTGTCCTTGACTGGCAACAGGGTCAAGGTAAAGCATTGGTTGCCGGCGATGTGAAAGTAATTCGTGTGTGGAACGCCGCCACGGAAGTGTGCACCAACGTACGTTTCCTCCCTTTCCCCTCAATGAATTGCGTTTAACAGCCCCTAACATTCTTTATAGGATATCCCAGCTCGTTCAGGTTCCTGCATCACGTCCTTGACTTCAGATCAAGTGGCAGGTAACATTTTCGTTGCAGGATTTGGTGACGGTGCCGTCCGAGTTTTCGACCAGCGTCTGAAACCCACGACTTCTATGGTCAAGGTGTGGCGCGAACACAAGCAATGGATCACCAATGTCCACATGCAACGGGGTGGCTTAAGGGAGTTGGTGTCCGGCAGTCGTAACGGTGAGATCCGACTCTGGGATCTCCGAATGGACGATCCCATCTCTACCATCTATGCTACTCGAGATACTCTCCGCACGTTAAGCGTCCACGAACATGCCCCGGTCTTCATGGTGTAAGTTATGTCATTCATCCTCATGCATAACTCCCCCTCCTGAGCGAACATTTTGATTAATCATGACCGAACCACAGAGGCACAAACCGCCACGAAGTCAGAACATTCAACAATCACGGTTCCCACCTCTCCTCCTTCGAGCCCTACTCGAGCTTCCTGCATCATAATCGCTCATCCCCCATCGCCAGCACCGCATTCCACCCTCACCGCACCATCCTCGCCTGCTCCGCTCTTAATGATAATCATATAAACCTGGTGCATTGTTAGGTTAGACTGGAGGTGCCATTACCCTTTTTTTTTCTCCCTTTAATGCTGTCTCGCCCTTTTCCTTCCTTGTTCTTGTTTCTTGTTTCCCCAAACTTATTCCCTCGATATCGCAAGACTGTGAGATATGATCATTCTGGCAGATATTTGCTTCGCACGGCGCTTTGGGTAATTCGAGCCTGCTCTCATGTAACCTTTTCTATTTTTTTTTCCCTCCCCCTTCTGATGACGATATCAAATTTATTTTACCTTATATTTTTTGTTTCTTGGCGCAGGATAAATTTTAACTTCGCCCTGTTTGTGTTAGCACGCTGGCGCTACATGTGGCCCTTTTTCTTTCTTTTTGCTGTGTTACTGCTGAGTTGTGGCTTGTGTATGGTAGGGTAAGTGCGATGTTGTTATTGCGTGCGGTCAGACAGATAGGATTTAATTGATCGTTTATACAAATTTGGCGGGGGTAAATTGTTGAGTAGGTGTATGACAGTGGATGGGATTGAGTGCCTATCTACTGGTAATCGATACTTGGACAGCACGGGTCAGGAGCTCAGATTCACGAACTGAATTTATGTACCTAGCAGGCTTTCACCATGGGGAGAAATTGAAAGTAAAACATATCAAGCAGGTAAATTATTATTTATCTGGAATGCACCCTCAACGCCCCAATCGGTGTTCCATAGTCCCACGCCTATTTAGCTTCTGCTAGTACCGTTGTAGCTTGCTCTCTATGCCTTGTAACCTGGAGACACTAGTCCTGTGGTTTTATCCGACTGTCTGCTCCCGTCAGACAAGACACGTCCTAGAGGAAACCTCCAATAGCTAACGGAGGGGTCTCGATCGAAATAACTGCGCCGTCTGGCGAAACTAGTAGCCCTGTCAAAGGTATTTTCTCCCTCGAAAGCTGGTAAATTCATCGAATGATTCTGGTTACACTCTGAGAAGTGTGAATGGAGATTCACAATCACGTTCCCCAAAAGCAGGTTCATTTGCTTTGCGGTGGTGCCATCGGCTCCCGTGAGCCGTTCGATTCTTTCAGCGTGGTTTTGGGCAATGACGGCGACTTGCTGGCGAAGATATTCCTCTCCTCGAGGGTCTGTGTGAAACCAAGCGGTTGTCTCGTCAGCTCGGGTTCCCGTCAGAATAGGATTTTCTGTATACATCAATTCTCCGGCTATGAAATGGTTCACGGTTGGCTTGGGAAGCCCGGGAGGAGGTTGCAAGACTTTGCCCGTGTCTGTGGTTTGGAGTCCCGTATGAGGTTGATCATAGTTCTTTTTCAGCTTATCACCGGTGTACTCGATGGGGGTAATCGTTCTCAACAGTGGAACTTCGGTAACTGTCGACTCGCAGAGTGATTGCAATGTCCCGTGTTCTGAATGGGAGCGACGGTCTGTTGACAACTTTCTGTGTGAGTCACTGGCATACTCGCCCAGTTTAGCTGCAAGCAAGGCCAAATCATCAGATTGAACACGCGATCCCGAAGTCTCGCATGGCAGAGACTCCTTTGGTTCGACGAAAGGATCAGGGAGTGCCGTTTGTTTGATACGCGATAAAGGAATTTGGGTATTTTTATCGAGAAACCGGGCAGCTTCTACGTTTGCTTTATCTTTCTCTGATAGCCCGAGGGCGCTTGCTCCTGAGAGCCCGGTGCCCGATGCAATTGAAGCCAAGGCACGTGTCGGTAGCTGGGCCCGAGATGTGGACTTATGAGGTCGAAATTCCGTGGAGCACCTATATGTGTCTGAAAGAGACTCCTCCTGCGGAACGGCCGTCGGCATAGTCCCTGACCGTATGACGGCATAATCCTTATAGCGCTCCTGTGGTGACTTCTCGGCCGATGGTGCCTCGCAAGATCCGGCGCTCTCGTAGGCAGAGCGTTGAAGACGCACCGAGCCGTAAGGGGATTGGTTTTCAGGCCGATCAAAACTAGCTCGATAAAGATGAAGCGACGATTCTGGAACGTGTTCACTTCGGGACATAACATTGTGACTGGCTGCCCTGAGCTGCTGTGCACTCAAAGAAGATTCTTTGGCGATGGGATGCGCCTCCACTGACAACACATCCTGTTCTGAGAGGCGATGGCTGTTATTCTTCAAGAATGGGCTCTCAGAGACATAGCTGCGTTCCTGGGACCGCGATAAGTAATAAGAGCCAACGTCCTCAGCGTAGTTGAGAGGGTTCTGCTGATGATGCCCTTCTGCCCTTCTTTGCCATTCCTGTTCGCCGATCTCTTCTGCCGAATGATAGCTACGCTCCTGTGAAAAGATGCGAGAAGGTACCGGATCTTCTCTGCAGGGAGCCAAGCTATACTTTCCGTTGCTTATGCGATGAGCGACTGGGAACTGAGTGTCATATGTGTCCTGGCCAGTTTCACACAAGCCTGTGGCTAGTGAAGGTGCTTCTGGTTTGCTTTCGGAAGCCATCTGTTCCATGAAAGCCTTCACGGCTCGGCCAGATTTAGTTCGTGAGTTTGCTTTCGTATAAAGTTGACTCAAGGCGATTGGTCTGGATGACGCGAGTTCTCCAAAGTCTCCTAGCTCATTATGCGCCGTATGACTTATAGAGGGGTTGGGTGTCTCAGACTGGCTCTTACTCATCGAATAGAAGCTGTTCCTCATTGTGACTGGTTCACTTCGACCTTCGCTTATTTGAGGCACAGACGAAGAGTCTCTGGGCGAGCGGACCTTGTCGTGATGAAAGCTATTGAGTTTTAGGGGGGGTTCAGTTGGAGTCAGGCAGATTGGAGTATCAAGCACAATAGGAGGAGATCCGGCCTGGGAAGAGGGGCTGTTGGCGTTAAACTGCGCTGCTCCAATCGATGAAAGGGGCCTAGGAGAGGACAGAAAATAAGGACTAGGGGGCTGGGCAAGGAATGATATAGATTAGAGCTTTGCAGAGCGGAATGGGCCATGGAGAGGCAGAAACAAGGTTTCTTTGAGGGAACTGACCTGAAAGGTATTTTCCTTATCTGGCCGTTCACTGGGAGATTCCGTCACAATGGGCACATCGTGATGAAGCAGACTGAGCGATGGTTGGTACCCCAGTGGAGCTCGTCCTGGATGAAGGCTCTCAATGGTCACGGTGGTTTTCTTCTTTCGAGTTCTCCTTCCTGGTGATATGAAGAAGAATGAACCCACAATTCACTTTTACTCACAGAAGAACTACAGGAGAGGGGAGTACTCACGGCGGCGATGATATCTTTTTGGCTCCACCTCATCCGACATGGCAATGCTGCACGGACATCAACCCTGGTAGGAGAGCAACCATGGAGGGGGAGAGACAAACAGATATACAGAGAAGAGAGAGAGAGAGAGAGAGAGAGAGACGGAGAGAGAGAGAGAGGAAGGAAGCAGGAGACATCGCGTGACAGTCTGGTCGCGCCTTCCCAATTTGTTGTACTGTTCAGCACAGGAGTCCCCGCTAATCTTCTTACGGCGATAGAACGAAGTGCAGGCGAAGATTTTAGAAAAGAAAGTCAATTCAGAACAATTTACCCTGCCCATTAAGTCCCCAAAGTTCCCAGTCATCAAGCCATATCACCACATCAATCACGTATTAAACAGTCACCCCGAGAGGAAAGATACAGTGCAAAAACTCATTGACGACCATTTACCATTGGGTCCGCTGCTGTTGCGTACCTCCGGCGATATGGCGAGGATTCGGCTCCATTTGGGATCCCAGTTTGGAGGCGTCGTGGTATTGACCCGAGCCCGGCTGAGGGTTGTAGCTGCTGCCCCCCGGTTCGCTGCCACTAAAGCCTTGTCTATAATTGCCGGCGCCAGGTTGGGAAGCATAGTCCGCGGTGTCCGAACGGCTTCCAGAGGGATTGGATCTTCCATAGTCGCCCGTGCCGGAGCCGTACTGACCGGCAGCCGGCTGAGATCCATACTCAGTCGGGCCCTGGTGGCCGGCATCACCAGTTCCGAAGGCATGTTCCTTTGAGCCGTAGTTACCGGCGCTTGGGTTCGATCCAGAGGCGCCAGTAACCGAGCTATCGCCTTGCTGACGCTTGCCTAGAGGATATTATTAAGAATCCCAGAGTTGACGACGACACGCAGGTGAGATCGTACTGGAATCCTTGGACTCCTTGCCGTGATGATGACCGGTCACGGCATCCTTGACCTTGTGCAAGAGGTTAGACATGGTCCGGCGTTAGTAGTAGTGGTAGTAATAGATCAAGATACAGATGGAACAGAAGCGACGGAAGATGCGTAGCAACGACACAGGTCAATTGAGCTGTTATGGCGTTCTATGGGTTTTATCTGATCTTGGGCCCATCAGCTCTGTGCAAGGGGGAGTCATGACGTGTGGGTGTCATAATGCAAGAGCTACTCTGTACGTTGACCGTTCCCACGGCACCAGCCACATTAGACTTGCCGCCAACAAGCTGCCCCGCCGAGCTCCATTTATTGCCCCATCATCCCATGGATCCTCAAGGGCCACCGCGGTTGAGCGATTGAACGTGGTGCGATCAACCGATGATCGGGACAACACCCACTGGTGCCAAGGGGATCACCCCTAAGATCGACCTTCCAAGAGGGGATGCTTCGTATAGGATAATAGGATTAGGGAGAGTGGGATCGGATCATCAAACCGAGGGAAGCATCTACGGAGTATACCGTAATCATAGTGGGACTTATCAGTTTGAGCGAAGCATGACGGATCGGTTGATGTAGTGCACACTGAGTATGTATATTGTATACACAGCATGTGGTGCTTCCATGCATGCAGCCCGCTGTAATGATGTATAGAAAATCAAACAAAAGAATTAACAGACAAAAACAAAAACAGGGGTGGGGCCGATGACAGCATGATCGGTGGGGGTCATACGGACCATTACCCTTGATAACTTTTGAACAGGTTGTGCTTCCAGCGAAGCACGATAGTATTCATCAACCGGACAGTTTGGCCGAGTGGTTATACTCTGGTACGGAAGGTAGTTATCCTCACAGGAATGACTTGCAAGGATGGAATGGAAAGTCTGTTATATTTCAGGAAGTAGAGAGAAATCCATCTGATGACTTGACCATCGCAGGGAATGTGATCCCCTGATTTCGTTGCCTGAGCGTCATCCGGCCAATCCTGAGGCCGCCCCGGATCCCGTGACTCCCCGGGGCGAGGCAGGCAGGCAGCTGCTGGGTTCTTGGCTGCTCGTTAACTCATCCTTCTTGGTCCCTCTCTCCGTCTCTCCGTCTCCCCGTCTCCCTCTCAACTTCCTTCCCCTCCCACTCCATATGACTCTCTTCGATCTCTTTCCCCTCCTCATTCCCCGTCTTGGGCGGTGTCCCCAGTTCTCGTTTTAGTCGAGTACTTTTTCTTCTCGTTTCTTTTTCTTTCCTCTCTCATCTCGGGTTTTTGGCTCTCCTCTCGATGAGCGCCCGCCCCCCAATTCCCTCGACTCGGCCGTTTGATTGGTCATAAGACACCGATTTTGAGACTCGCTGGAATCCCTCCTTTGTGTTGGGCAGGGCCGTCCTGATTCTCATATTTCATCTCGCCTTAATTATGCGATTCCCACGCTTGATCCTCATTGTTTTCTGTTTCATCTTCTTCCCCATCTTCGTCACCTTCTTTTCGGCTCTGACATCATCACCGAGCCTGGCCACGCCTAGTTCGTTCGCCGGCCGAGCGACTGGCTTGCACGCCCTCTTCTCCTTCAACGTCCCTTCCTCCCTTTTTCCTCCCTCCGCCATCATCAGCCTCACCGATGACAATTCTACTTTCTTCCTGGCCAGACCCGCCGCGTTTGGCCCCCTCCTGCCCGAGAAGGGCCTCAGCGGCCAACTATGGGTCGGCAGTGGTTTCGGTGAGAGGACCGCGGCTGGAGCCGAAGGTGAACTAGGCTGTTCGGATATCCCTGGGTGGGGCGAGGGTGAAACCCATCACAAGCAAGATAAGACGATGACGACGAACCCCGATAGCCCGATCGGGAAATCTGTGCCTGCCGCGGGAACCGAACCCGCGACCGCGCAGGACTCGCCGCAGGACTCCGATCCTCAACGGGATCCCCATGACGAAGGTTCTCCGGCGACGAATGACGGCACCGACGATCATCTTCACCACCCTCTCCCGGAATCTCGGGTGGTGGGCGCAGGCGCGCCGAAGCAGCACGGAGACAACCGCCAGACTCGACAAACGGCTCATGCCGACATTCAGTCCCTGCAGGAGAGTGCGGAAATTACCGGCAAGGTGGTCCTGTTGAGTCGGGGTGGATGCGGTTTCTTGGAGAAGGTCAAGTGGGTGCAACGGCGTGGAGGTATCGCTTTGATCGTTGGGGATGACACCCGGGGAGGCAGTCTCGTCACAATGTACGCGCGCGGAGATACTTCGAATGTGACCATTCCTGCCTTATTCACCTCGCACACCACAGCCCAGCTACTGTCGTCTTTGATTCCTTCCCAGACTGGGGAAGATTTGGCCCTCGAGGACGGTGCGGGAGCGTCGCGCACGCGACTGACCGGCCATTACGCTGAAAAGCAGCGACCACCAACGACTACCACTTCGACCGCTATCACATCCCCTACGTCCACACCTCATGTCATGCCCCAAGAGTCCCAGGCTCCTACGGTACACCAACCGGGGGTCTTCCACGGCCTGATGTCCTTATTTGGCCTCGGAAACAACCATGCTGGCAGTGTATCGGAGAACAGTCGACGTCCACCCAGTAGTGGAAACATTAACTGGATTTCCGTGGACCATTTCGATGATCAGGAGCCGCCCCAGGATGACGTTGACTATGGCCATGGTCGCACGAGCGTCGCCGATGACCGCAGACGATCCGAGACCGGTTCCGATGCCATGGATGGCGATGGGTTTGTCATCGGCGTGCAGGACTGGCGAGATCCCGATCTGATGTCACCGCGGAGCAGTTCTATTCCGTCACCGAGCGGCATCCCGGAGTCGGAGCGCACGAAATTGCAGTCTGCTGCCGATGGTAGCTCACGCTCTGTAGCGGCCACCCTGAAAGGCGGCAGCATCACGCCAGGAAGCGGCGAGTACCGCACCTTCGAACGATCCACCGTGGACAGGGCGACATATGTCCAAGACAACCAGAAACCGGGCTCTGGTAAGACAGGGAGCTCGGTACAGAGCAGAGGCTGGTTTGCGAGACACTTCTCGTGGGCGAAGAACAGGGAGCAGGACTCCAGTCGATCTTCGACGCATAACAGCCGAGAAACCCGAAAATTGCGTGAGCGGGATGCAGGGGCTACTTCGCATCCCCAGGGCATGTCGACCCTCGAGCATGAGGGCTTGTGGATTACATTGACGCCAACGAGCATGTCTACGAGCCCGTTTTTCGATACCCTGCTCGTTCTTGTCGTCAGCCCGTTGCTAACGTTGACAATCGTCTATGCTCTTCTTTTGCTGCGATCTCGCATTCGACGAAGACGTTGGAGAGCCCCGAAATCGCTTGTCGATCGACTTCCCGTGAGAACCTACCACACCATTAGCTCTTCTTCTTCCCCGGCGAGCTCCCGCAGGTCTGCTAGCCCGGGTCCCGTCTCGCCAACATCTCCCCTGTTAGGTACGAAGGCTCGCTCGGAGATTGCAAGGGCCTCGGACAATAATGCGTCATCGAATGTGGAAACCCCGCTTCGGAAAGAACCGCAGTCTTCGTCTACCTTGTGGCGCCGCAAATACACTGGACGACAGGTTGAGTGTGTTGTCTGCCTGGAGGAATATGTCGACGGACAAAGCAGGGTTATGAGCCTGCCTTGCGGGCATGAATTCCATGCCGAGTGCATGTAAGTTGCGATGCCCCAGCATTGATCGGCAATTTACGGATTCGCTAACGGCTTGACTACTAGCACCCCTTGGCTGACTACTCGCCGACGTACGTGTCCCATTTGTAAGGGTGATGTCGTTCGGTCCATGTCTCAGAACAAAGGCACCGAACAAGCGGACGAGCATGATCAGCACCAACTTGGATCCCACCAAAGTGCTTCATCTGCTCCCGTTTTGATCACTGCGATCAGCGAAGACGAGATGTCGGACCCTGAGCGCCACGCCGGGTCAGACACCGGACTTGTCGAAGAGCATGCTTCGTCGGCGCCCCCGCCAGGCTGGAGAAATTATGCCGCTCTCAGCTTTTCCGCCCTCAGTGGCGATACGATCTGGCATCCAAACCGGAATGAAAACGATAGATAGCCTCTCTTTTCCCTTCTCATTTGTGTCTCTCTGTTTTCTTTTCATATCGTTGCCTCTAAGGCATGGGGTTCTTGTGTTGCTTTAGGGACTTGTTCTTAGTGGTTTGAAAATGGCCTGCATTAGCGATTTTTTTTTTTTTGAAGACATCATCATATCGAATTTGGCTGGCGTTCAGGTAGGAATCGTGGGTGTGCAGGCGCAGGACAAGACCAGTGAAGTGAATTGGCTATGCGAGGCGGGGGTCAATTGACTCTGTGATCATTTCGAATTGTCTTCGATCTAGCGAGCGCTCATGAAGCCCATCACTTCACTTCTTACTTGTTTTCTTCTTTTTATATCCTCATGGAAGACGCTGTATATTAATTAAAACTGCCAAATGGACCGACGGCCACCACGGGTTGTGACGTCATTGTGCATCGTGTATGGGCCTTATCGATTAGGAGAAAAAAGAGATCGCCAACTGTCCATCTCTAGACCTCTCGACCTCCACTGCGTACTCTACCCATCAGCATCTACTAACCGTGTAGTGCGTACACACACGGCCCTCCAAACCATGGCCACCCAACTCTGGAATTTCATCCTCGCGGAGATCCAGAAATTCCGCAGCACAGCCAAAGATGTCGTCTTATCGCGCACCTGGTGGTACCCATTCCAAGGGCTGATCTACCTCTCAACCCACGAGCCCCTCCGCCGTCCCTTTCTCTCTCGACTCGGCCAAACCGTCACCCTGGGCGTCGGCATCACCACCGGCATGTTCTTCTTCACCTACCTACCCCAAACGGCACTCCTGAGCCTGACCAACGGCCCCTGGGCCCCTATCTCCGCCGCCCTGCTCGTGATCTCCGAATCCGCGTCCCTAACCACCTTCGTCGCCCGCTCGTGGTCCCTCCGCGACGACCTCACGGATACCTTCGACGCGACGCTTCTGGAAAAAGGTTCCGACGATCTCGTCGCGGAGGGACGACATGTCCAGCCCCGTGCGAGCGGGAGGGATGTGGTGAGACGGCTTGGGAAGATGGTGAAGGAGCCCGCTGAGAGGTTGAGGCCGCAGGCGCTGCTCAATGCGGTGATCTTGTTGCCGTTGAATCTTGTGCCGGTGGTTGGGACGGCGGTTTATGTGTGGTTGCAGGGTCAGAGGGCGGGGCCGTTGGTTCATAAAAGGTTTTTCCAGTTGAAGGGGTGGGATGATCGCAGGGTTGAGGAGTGGGTGAGGAGGAATAGGGCTGGGTATACCGGGTATGTTTTCTTTCTTTCCCCTCCTTCCTTGCTGGGAGCTCGTTCTGGCGCAGTATGATGGGTCTTTTCTGGATGGGTTGTCTCCAAAGCGAGCTTCTTTGCTAATGAGTGTCTCTGAATGATGTAGGTTCGGTATCGCTGCTATTTCGCTCGAGATGGTACCGTTCTTGTCGCTGGTGTTCGCGTTCAGTAACACCGTTGGGGCGGCGCTGTGGGCTGCGGATTTGGAGAGGGAAGGGGAGAATAAATCCTCGGGTATCTGATGGAGTGGTGAAGTGTGATAATTTGTACTTATATCATATCAAAGGTATAGAGTTGGGATCGCTATATGCGGATATTGATACTGACTTGCCCGCTAATTATCAGCTGTATTCTAGTATTTCTTAATCGAAGCTTTGAATGCTATTGCTACTATTCAGGCATCTCAGGACAAGTGCTTGCTTGGTTTCATGAACGGCTGACACTCGGACATGTCATGATTAAATAAACAGCTAAATAATCTATATGCATGAATTGGTACTCATACAAGTCTTACTACATACATGCAAGTCAACAAAAACCAGTATGCCAATAAGATAATGGACGCGTATAATATATCCATGTAATGCATCTGTACAACGTACACCACCACGACTGTCATGTCGACCCCTTTACTACTCCGAATCCATTGATCGAGGGTCCACCTCGGCTGGCTGGATGTCCTCCGCCGCAGGGACGCACAGCGGGCTGCACCCCAATCGACGGAATGGGAGAGGCCGGAGTGTCTCGCCCGGGCACCGCGGCCCCTTCAGCCCGTTCTCGTACGTGCTGCAATCCCACCATTCTATCCACTCAGTGCGAGCGATCACAAAGCTCCGGTGACACACCGAGCAGGATCGTCCGCCGCCGTCCCGTACGGCTCTCGCCTGTCGGAGGAGCCGGAGGATGAGTTCCGGGTAGTCCTCCATTTCCGAGTCGGGGATCTGGTCGAAGAACGGGGATTTGTTGAAAGAAAGTAGAGACACTTCGCGCAGGGAAGGTACCCGGGACTCGGACTCCGGCTCGGTTGGTCTGTTCATGTACAGGTTGTTGGTTTGACCCTCTCCGACCGGCAGGCCCTCCATGTTAAATCGACGCACGCGGCCGGTAGCCACATGGATTGGGGCCCAGGCTTCTTCCGGCGCGGGCCCTTGATACTCACAGAGCTTCAGAGCTCCCTGGGGAGAGTCTGGGTCTGTTCCCTCGGGCGAATGCCATTGGGCAATGTCGGCCTCCTCGATCTGCAGCAAAGGATTTGGCCGGACTGTCAAGTGCTTCAAGTCGCCTTTCTTGATCAGCCATAGGAATTCCCAGGGAAGACACTTGAGGCGGTTGACCGAAAGATTTACTTCTTGTAGCATGGTCAATCTCCTGACCGCCGGAGGAATTTCAGTCAGCTTGTTATTCCGCAGACTGAGCACTCTAAGCGAGTCTAGCTCGAACAGCTCGCCGGATACGGCCGTGAGCGAGTTTCCCGCCAGAAAAAGGCGCAGAAACGGCTCGAGTGAGCTATAAACCTCTTCGGAGATCGGAGGCTCCTTTATAGTAGGCAGCTTTGTAAGATGTTGCAAGGGTCGCAACAAGCCCCAAGGGATTGTGCGCAAATAGCCACTACTGCAAAGGCCCGTTCGTTAGCTTTGCTCAAGTAGAAAGAACCAACTGATCCTCACGCGGAAATCCCTACCTTAGATCAACACTGTCTTGCCCCTTTTCCAGACAATCATTAACAATGGCCCGCGCCAGTTGATGCTCCCTCGACTCTTCCGACCTGAGGAAGGGAGCACGTTGCTGCGTCGTCATCATCTGCGCCAGAGGCGTCAGACCTAATCCCGAAGTCTTCGTATCTTTCAACAAATCCTCCCCCCAAGCCGACGCATCTTCCGAGGGCAGCAGCGAATCGGCACCGGATTCATCGCTACCCATCCACACTCCACTATCGACCATGCGCTTGTCTTTGAAATCCGCCCGCTTTCGCTTCGGATCCTTCACCATCTCCCCCCACCACGTGCCTCGGTATCGTCGTTTCCGACTCCCCGAAGCCACGGGCGCATTGTAGTTCTCTAGCCCGGAGGCGGGAATGTCGTCGCTCGAAAAGAACGCGGGGTCACTGGAGGGTTGACTGGAACGGTCATCGAAGCGCGATAGCTGGTATGTTTTGCGAAAGGAGCCGGCACCGGAGGAGGCGGGGGGCGCCTTCGTTGGAGAGCGGTGGCGGATGCGAGGCGGGGGAGGTAGAGGGATCTCGTTCTCCATGGTGGAATTAGTGTCGCGAAGACCTGGGCTAAAGACAATGAACGCGGAATACTGTGATTTCGAAGGGGTAGAGAGGGTGCGGTGAGAAGCACGAGAGAAAAAACGAGGGAGGAGGGAGGAGGGAAACGGCGCGTGGTGGGGAAGGCGATGGGTTCGCGGCTGTCAACAGCTGCAAAGAGATAGAATTGGCGAACGGATCACATCACCGGTCGCTGGTCGGATGCATGACGTCCGAAAGAATGAAGATCGGCTGAGGACGAGACCGAGAAGAGTTGCAGAAAGATCAAAGCTCGAGTCAACCCCTCAGGCATCCAGGCAGGACTGTTTACTCGGCTGCGCGTCCACACGCCGCGCCTATCAGCGGTCGCGCTGATAACGGTATCGCCGCTTTCGGCAATCCGTTTAGATCTGTAGATCTTGATTTTTCTACTACGTCTGCAAATTTAATCACGTCTACTTGTTCAAACATATACGGGATTGATGGTAGGTAGAGAAATATATGGTTTTAATTTTAATTTTGTTTTCTAAGACCGAGCTGGCAATATATCGCGGCGTCGACCAAGGACATAACTCGTCTATCAGAATCGTCATCAAATGGGGTATATCAAAGGGTATATAGCCATAACACCAGGAACTCCCCGGTGATGTCTTGATAGTGTCATCAGGACTCCCCGGAGAAGACAAAAGCGAATGGGAGAAGAAAGATGAAAATGAAAAATATGTTGAAAAAGAAGCGAAGAGTAGTGACCGTCACAAGGCAGTCATTTTCATAAAGTTGATCGTAAAAAGGTAGATCCCAAGACAACAGAGCCCGTAGTGAGCTTTAGTGCCAAATTATGGCGAGGGGCAGCGTCATCACCAGCAGCCCATGAAGAGAGCAAAAGATCCGGCGATAAGAGCAGCCGACATGTTGGCATCGGAAATGCTGGCTCCTCCCGTGCTCAACGGAACGGAGGGAGTGGCCGAAGCGGTTGAGGTGGCGGACGAAGCGCTGGACGAGCGCACATGAGTGCTTGTAGCGGCGCTAGAGACAAAGCCGCTGCTGGAGCTGGAGGGAACAGTCACAGCGGTGGTGGAGATGACATGGGAGTTGACAGTAGTCGACGCAGCGTCGTCCGCAGACGTCACAGTGCTGACACGGACAAGCGTCTTGGTGATAGTGTTGGTCACCGTCGAGGTGGAAGAGGTCTCTGCAGCGACAAGCTGGGTCGCAGCCAGGCAGAGAACAGAGGAAGTAAGAGCGCCGAATTTCATATTTGCGGCGGTAGTGGAGTAGACAAGGAAGTTCAAGTAGCGATATGGTTATCCGGCAGTTCAAAGAGGATGATGAGCCAATATAGACAGCAAGAATGGCAAGGAAAGGATCGAATAGGGTGCTGCGATGTCGAACCGGCGCAGTGTGTCGCAAAGGCGAAATGAGTGACTGGTGAATTTCAGGTGTCGAGGCAAAGTAGGAGGCGCAAAGGAGAGAGCGTCTCGCCGGAAGGGCAGAAGGTACTGATGTTATAAAGAACGTGGGGGGAGTGCCGTGCTCCAGTCCTGAGGGAGGGAATGCGACAGGGAAACAATAATGCAATGCAGAATGTGCGACAGGGACTGTCGGGCTAAATAGGAACTACACACGATGCGACAGAAATTGTCAACACGAGAGACGGTGGGCACCCTTCGGACCCGATCCTTCAATCGCACCCCTTCCAACGGGCCCCGGGAAAATTCCTCGTCCAATCGCAAGGGGTTTCCCCTGGCCCATAAGTTCGTGGAGCGATTGGACCAGATGGAATGTCCTTTGAGGACTGGCATTTTGCAGTCCCCTTCTCGCACGTCAACATTGGCGGTCAAGTATACGAGGAGTAAACATATCACGGGCAGCCCTGCCCAAGCATTGATGCTTTGAATAGACCGGAACCCTGCCAGGAACCAGCTCAGCAGCGACTGAGTTGGCAAGTGGCATTGATGCTGTTGATTCTGGATCGCCGATCTTTTTTCTTAGTGGCGGTTGGATCGGGTTTTAGGTTCGGTTCCTGAACGACTTGGTCAGGCACGCTTTTTATTAGTCTGATCAAGGAAGATCCACCCGGAAATTGGTATGATTCAGTCCCTTTCATGCCAGATGAAGTGCTCTGCTGTCAACAACAATCTGATGATGGTAAGACATTCCTCTTCTACAATTATTCTTTGAGTGTTTTGCAACTGGCCGGGAGGGCGTTTCTTGTCACTTTCGTTGTCTCTGGACCGCTTCACACTAATTCCTCAAGGCTCGCCCTGGACAATCCCTGGAAAACTAGGTTAAATTAATTTCAAAGAAAAATTCGGTCTCGACCCTCACCCAATTCACGCTAATAAAATGTGACGCAGCGGAGGCAAAAAGATAAAAAAGGAAGAAAAGAAAAGAAAAGGAACTTTTTACACTACCCACAGACCTCCCAGTGAGACACAACAAAGGTCGGCTAATTTCCATCAAAGACCGTTGCTTGGGCCGTCGCGAGGCGAACAAGTGGGACTGTCGAGGCCCTTGACTCGCTTTCGCTTGGCCTGATTGAAAATTCACTTAGTTACCCTTCCCAACACGAGTGCACGGGGATTCAACGAAGGAAGAGGGGATTATTGATGCATCCGCCGTTTCCTCCCGGAGAAATCACGCACTGAGGGGTCAAGTCACCTGACACCAGGGTCTCGGTCTCTATAGCCTCAGGTCTGACTAAATATCCTGGTCCCCTACAGCTACTAGTACTGTGATTTATATCGTGATAGGCTGCTTGCTCGAGGCATTGGGCTAGAACCTCTGCGACCTGCTTTGAACCCCCACGGACCTACAATTCCTGAATGGTATTGCTGACATGCTGACAATTGATGCGCCTCGTACCTGCTGTACGCCTTCGGAATGGGACATCGCTAGCTATGTCACTCATAAACAAAGCTATATGCCACTACTAACATGCTAGCATGCGCAAGGCAAGGGCAAACCCAATGAATGAAAAATTGATCCTAGCAACCAGGCGGCTAAATATGTTAACCACCGGCTTCCATAGCCAGTCATTACCACTTACATCTGCAGGGCTGAAACAACGCCCTCGTTAGCACAAACGCCTCAGGGCTTTAATTATTCAACCCCAGCTCAAAGATGAGCTAAGTTCTCGTGGTGCTTGAAACGTTTCGTAGGCATCTTCATAAAGAAACAGAGTTCCCAACTTGTCTAGACCTCTATGAATTGCTATCAGTACTACCATCGGCAATGCAAGCGCCAAACAAGGTCGAACTGCTCCGGGCAAAAGTCTACGAAGGTGAAAGTTTCTTCCGTCTCCTGGGAAGCGGGCGCTTCGTCAAATACATCACGATTGAACCGAGCCTCTACGGAGTATAGCGTCGAAGGAATGCGTTTCGGTCCCTCTTCCATAGAGAACCTTCCTGGTTTCTCTCGTGGTAATTTGGAGCGATAGATTGATCGCACAATATACAAAGACCGACCAACCACATTTTGACCGCATGGCTCGGACTCAATTCTTAGTCGTCCAGAATCTGTGACATGATGTCTATTCTGACTATCGCGAGCTAGTCATAGAAGGGAAACTTCAAACCAGAATTTGCGTCCCCGAAATTTACAAAAAAGGTCGTTGTCAAACTTTCTCGCTTTGACTAGGAGATTTAATACCTCGAAAGGCACACCGATGAATTGAAGGCCATGGGGTTGGACCTCGATTCCTGGGACGTTTGACGGAGCATGACCGGGTGATCGGGATCTTGGTGGTACGTATTGCCGGTGCACAACATGAAGGTTCACAAGATACAGAGGCATATTTGCAAGCTCTGTCTTGACTGCACAGTTCAGACATCCGACATCGAGACATATATCGATTCAACTTCCTAGTCCGCGATTTAAAACCGGTCATTATCGATTTCGATAGTGCCGGAAAATGTGTTGATGCAAATGCAATTAGCAAAGAACTTTGCGATTTGCTGGATACCATTCAAGATTTATCTACATTAGACGGAGGACTCATCTTAAATGAGCAATGTATGATTGTAAGACTGTTCCTTGACGCTTAATGTTGAAGAATCTTCGGTAGAAGGGTAGATATATACAGAAGAGTTAATGACTGAAAATGAGCTACTGTCAAATTATATAAAAAACTATCAGACAAATAGAAGATTCAACGAGCTGGTTTCATTTTGTCCAATTTGTGACAAATTAACAAGGACCATCGCCATTCATTTACAGGTCTCAGCGAGAATCACAAGAACCTAGATATACAAACATTTAAGCCATCCTTTTGAAGCCGGAAACTGACTACAATTTAGAAGCCCTAGCCAATTCCCCCTATAGCGAAGGTACTCTTACAAATCTAAATCTATATCTTCAGAAATCTAGTGATTTCAAGCTCGATTCAGACTCTTCCAATTCTCACAATCAAGCTATATCCTTAACAAGACCCGCATAATAAATTCTTAGCGTCTTTAATATAAGGTATAGATCCTGATTACGCCTCTTAAAATTATCAACATATAAGATATCACTTCCAACCCCTTCGTCAGATTTTCAAGTTATAAATGAACATCAGATTCATCTCCCTGAAGGTTCACAGACTTATCAAAACGACAGCCCTAATAAACGTTCAGACGTGGCCCATTCCTGGGTTTATGAAGCCTACCTCATCACCGAGGTAGTGCATTTCTTGGAGGTTGGGAGAATCATGGTTATGTCTTTTGAAGAACGTCTTCCTAATGTCGATGCACCATAATGTATATAGTGGACACGGCAGTATTCAGAGTTAAACCTTTGTACCGTGACCAATGTACTGAATGCCCTTGACCGAGCCGCTCTCCATTTCTCTGGGTTGGCCGTATAAAATTCCCTACGTCCTTGCCCGACAATTGGATCGTCATTCTTCATTAAGTGATTAGCTTGTCGAGACGCCGAGAGACGTCACATAACCAAGCTTGATCACCCCCACGCCTCGCTGCTTCATATATGTACATTATATAGGCCCCTATATGGTCCTATCCTCTCAGCGCCTCCATGGGTCAATCCCCATCGCCCGCGTTCTCCCTCTCATCTATCCTGAAGCTGTATGAAAATACAAGCCGAGATAGATACTATTGTACAAAAGCCCGCCACTGTATATCGACTGCTGATCCCAGCATGCAAAGAGCATAGAATCGATCGTTTAGTCGCGTCGCAGGGGGCTCTGGCGGGGGAGCATCATCGGGGGTCCCCTAGCGCGGAGCCAGGCATCGTTGTGAGGTCCTTCGGTACGGATGACACTGCCAATGGACATGAAGAGACTACTGGAGTCAGCATAGAACAAAGAAGAGCAAATTCAATCAGGGCCAATGTTTCATCACTAGTTCATTCGCCCGTCAAGGGAAGCCAAATATGGTAGAGCTTACCCAAAGGTGGCTCCAGATCCAACCATGTATTTACCCAGAGTTCGCATAACTCCGTTAGGTCCAGCACCGTACTGGAAGATGGTGACGGTTCCTGAGATTTATGAGCAACTGCCGAAGAGCGGACTTGAATGCCTGTAGCAGCATACCGATGATGAAGCCCATGATACCACCAACGGCTAAGTAGGAAAGAAAATTAGAATTTCCCCAATGTCGAGCGGATATGTAAACTTACTCGACCCCATCATAGCACCCATCTTCACTGCGGAGGGGTTAGTCAGTTCCATTTTTAATATTCAGAGCAGACATAGCAGAGTGTTGATGTCCATGGCTTGCGCGCAACATGCACCGTCACGCTATCGAATAGCTCTCAAGCATGTTTCGGGAAACTGAAACTCACTCTTCTCGATGGTCGAGGGACCATGCGCTTGAGGAGGACCCGCAACGACAGGCATATTGGAAAGTTTATAAACTTGAAGTAGGAAAAGGTTCTAGAAGGATAATTTTAAAAGGCAGGAGAGTCAGCGGCGAAAAAGGGACCCGCAGATGACTGCTTGTTTCTTGACTTCCGTTCTTCAACGAGCTACAGAGACAGACAAGAAAGCTCCAGCGTCTGCGGCCCCGTCGAACGGTTGAAGGTCCGAGGCCATTCCGAGGACCACGTGACACCGCCTGCCCGATCGGGGATCGTTCCCTCATTACATAAGCCCACACGTGCCGCTCCTCCTCCTCCCCAAGTCGGGGGACTCACGTGAGTGTGAGCCTGAGGCTAGTGAGAGCGAAGTGAGCTGATCCTCTTTCCCGCCTGCAGTGGCCACCCATGCGATTGTGTCCTGGAACAGTTGAGACCCCCGAGTGTCGTGTTATTGCTGTTCTGGCGGCTTACCAAGCCCGTGCAAGGGGGTAAGGTCATTTCTTGCCTCAGTTTCGTCTTAGTTGTCCGGCGGACAGCCTGTCGGTCGCTAGTTTCTTAGGTTGAGTCTGCATACCTCCTTGATCCCGAGGACTGCCACATATTATCATTTCGTCATCCCTTTGATTTCGATCGCCTGTATCTGTGCTTCGGAGGTATGTCTACTGCATCGTCCCGGGTCTTGCGATGAGTGCCATCCACTGCGTCGTCCTTCCCACCAACCCCCTCTCTCGGAGGTCTCCTGTTTATCTGGCGGCAACGGGAAAATGCTAACGTGACTTGCCGCAATAAGTTGGTAGACCTGCGGGAAAAGTGTGCTTGGGCGCACCAGACGCTGCATTTCGCGCCCCTTTTCGAGACTCCTTCCGATCGAAATCCTGAGGCGACCTTTCCTTGGACGATTGTATTTTCTTCAGATACCCGACCGCGCTGTTTATTTACGGGATTTATTCACTCGCGCTTGCTTGGATGAGATAGGACTGCCCTGCAACGGCTGTCGAACATACAAACAAACAAACGGTTTCCAGTGCCCCTTCTCCATGACTGCTGTGGCATCACCACCTAGTGTGCAATCGGGGCCTCGCTTGGGATGGTACGACTCTAACAACGGAGGACAAGGTGCCCTGTCTTCGATGAACGCGGACGAAGTCTCTCGAATGTTTATGCCACGGAAGACCGTTCAGCGATCGAATTCCTCCTCTTCTTTGGGATCGAATTCCTCTACGTCTACAGTCACCACAAATAACCAGAGTACTAATGCCGGACAATCGACGAACCCTGAATCTGCTACCTGGTCGTCGAAAAAGAAACCATCGAGGAACATTTGGCCCAACTCCAAATCAGAACCAGTCTCTGGTGTGAGTAACGCGCGTCCTCAGGTGATGCCGGCCTTCTCTTCGGGGCCTGTCGCCGCCTCTACTATGTCTGCGATGCAACAGCCTTCTATTGTTCCGTCTCAGCATATGCTTCAGTCTTCTCAGCAAAATGGCGTCCGCGCTGGGAGCGCGCCATCTGGAGAGCCCCCCGCAATCCTAACGCTGCTGCCCATGAACGGCACTTTTGAAAAGAAACAGATCAACGTCCCTTATTTCCCCGAAGTTCTGCGAATCGGCCGCCAAACGAATGCGAAGACCGTGCCTACCCCTGTCAACGGATATTTTGACTCGAAGGTTCTTTCTCGGCAGCATGCCGAAATATGGGCCGATAAATCCGGGAAAATCTGGATCAGAGATGTGAAGTCGTCGAACGGCACCTTTGTTAATACTCAGCGACTGTCTCCGGAGAACCGCGAGTCAGAGCCCCACGAGCTCCGCGAAAATGATTCGCTCGAGCTGGGTATCGATATCGTCAGTGAAGACCAGAAAACTATCGTTCACCACAAAGTCTCCGCCAAAGTGGAGCATGCCGGGGTTTACGGCACGATACCGAACATCCTTGATCTCACGCTTGGTGACTTAGATCCTGCGTCTGGGGGTGGACTTCTCCCCTCTCCCCTGAGCCAGCCACTATCACATCTCCGAGGTCGCTCGGGGAGTACTATGAGCAACCGGAGTGCGCAGAGTGCCGCTAGTAGTCAGTTCAATGCGCTGCAACAGCAGCGCCAGATGAACTACTGGAACTCTCCGATATCTATTGAACAAGTTGTTAAAAGACTTACTGTATAAGACCCACCCTTCTTTCCTCAATGTCCACTTTCTAACATGACTACTTTTCAGAGCGAGATGAAACAAGCCAAACAACAATCCCAGGAACTTCGCCAAACCGACGAATTCTTGACTACAATCATGAAGCCCGGTCACATCGAAAAAGAGAAACCCAAACCTTCGCCTGAGAGCACCTCTTCTCGACAGGTCAACGGAAGGCCAAAAATGCCTCGTGTCGACTCCTTTTCACGATTCTCCGATCCTCCGGCGCCCCCACCTCAACAGCCGCTACCCGAGAAGCCTGATGCGCTGCCGCGAAATGGCACCGATTCTCTGTCACCCCTCAAGCGAATGGAGACCGAGAAGCCCAAGTTGGGAGCTGGAAACTCGCCCGTTTCGCGCGACTCGAGTCAGATTATATCTCTCATCGAAACCCTTGCGTCTACTAGAAAAGAGCTTGATAGCCAAGGTACTCGTGTCAAAGAACTCGAGGCGCTGCTGCTCCAGGAGCGCAGTGCTCGGGAATCTGCAGAAGAGAGGGCGCGGAACTTGGAGATTCAAGGAAAGGGGGGTCAAGAATCTGATCGCGCGGCATCGTCTGATGATCAGCCCGATGGCACCCCACATGACTTGACGGACAAGCAAGGTTCCGGAGAGCCTGAAGTCGATCAGACGTCAACCGCACCGAGTCCACAGGAACCCGTGGAGGGCGAAGGCTTGGCTGATGATCAGGCGACCAAATTGCAATATCGCCTCGAGGCGATGATGGCTGAGATGGAGGAGATGAGAAAGCAAGTCTCCATGTTCAAAGATCGTGCGGATAAAGCGGAGATCGAGACGGTTGAAACGCGCAAGTCCTTGGGCGAAATGATCGAGACGCTCCGACGAGAACACGCAGAGTCCGCAGCTGGCAACAAGCCTGTGGCTCAGCAAGAAGATCCTACCGATACTGTTGAGGCTTCGCCCATCAGGGAAGATGCGAATGGCCATGAAGCAAAGGACTCCGATCCACAACCGGAGGATTCCGTGCCTTTGTCCCCAAAGAAGGATATTGAATCTCCTCCAAATTTTGCCCCACAAATGCATCGGCATGATGTCCTCGTACAGTCAAGTCCGTACGCGTCGATGCTTGGAGTGGTGCTATTCGGGGTAGGCCTAATGGCCTACCTGAATGGGTGGCAAAAGATGGACAAATGAGTTGGCCGTCCTTCAGTCATTGCGCTCGAGCAGCGTCTTTTTTGGGCAATAGATGCTCCCTGACGACATTTTCCAAATACCTTCGATCCTTCTCTATTTTCATTTTTGGACTTTATCTTCTGTATTTTGTTACATGCCCAAACTCGGAGTTTATACTGGATTTCCTGGGGTTTTACCTTCTGTTTATTATTCTCGCTGAGACTGTTTTTACCTTTGCAGTTATGATTGTCCATAACTTGCCCGACTCTCCCTCATCCTTCTTTTTTTCTCTTCTGTTTGTTCTCAAGTATCATTTTCCGCAGATGTCATGTTGTTCCAGTTACGATTTCCTGGCAGCAGAGGCCCGTTCTTTTTTTCCTTTCTATGTTCATGTCTCTTTCTCATTGGCAGATCAAGGTCATCTAGGCTCACCCGCCTTTGTGTATTAGTTTTATCATAGCAGCATCACTTCCCTTGGCAGTTCCAAAGCGATGAATGACTATTTCTATGATCTTCTTTTCATCACTGACGACGGTTTTCGTTTGGGATTTCCTTCTTTGTTCATCCAACATGGATTGATTGGGCTGTGCTTTTCAAGAAATACCCGGATAGTGGGATGTGGTTCAGGGGTTAGAAGGGTTGATATCGGTTGAGCAGCTTTTGACACACGCTTTTGTTTTTTTGTGCTTTTCTAATTCGCTTTGGATTTATCTCTAATATTTGTACATAGTTCAGCTTCATCGCATGAATGTTTTTGCATTTCCTGCAGTCTGCAAGTCATTTTCTCATTCAGCTCTAAATATACTGTCTCTTGCAGTGATGGCTTCGGCTTTGTTCATATCGCATTAGCATATAAAAGATACATTGTTTCGAATGTTACCTGATGTTCCCGTCGGCCAAGACACCAGACCTTTCGCTCAGAGTCACGACTGAAGAGCTTTCGGTCCTTGTGTTATAGTTGGACGGCGGATACAGATAGTCTTGTAGACATCAATCATCGGATGCGTGGTGCCTTCTCCTAGTCCACGACTTCTAAAAAGTGCATATCTTTAGTGCACACCGATGCCGAGTCCGTTGAGACCCGACGCATCGAGACCCGACGCATCGAGTCCCGACGCATCGAGTCCCGGACGACAGAGCATAAACCCGGGATTTTACCGCTTGATGCCAGAAATGAGCGCTTTCATCGCTGTATAAAACTTTCCGTCTCGAGAAAGCAGCGCCGCAGCGGTATATCAGGTAGACGTTCTGCATAGCCCCAGTGCGAGCATTGCGAGATCCTTAATCTTGCCTTCATACCGTTCATTTCAAAGCCACGGCGACCTCAACCATATTGACCCATCGAGTCCTCGTCTCCGGCAACTCCTCCTCGTCCATCTTCACCGCCGCATTCGCCGCGCGCTTTCGTTTCTTCGCCGCCGTCTTCGACCGCGGTTTCGCAGCGTCCCCACCCGTAGTGTCCGTCATCTCCTCATCCCCAGTATTCTTCGTCCCCTCCTTACCCCCCTGGCTCTTCACCCCCTCCTCCCCCTCTTCAACAACCGCCTTCCTCACCTCCTCATCCTCAACAACATCGTCCACAACCAACACACTCCCCGTCTTCACTCGCACCGTATACTCCCCCCCGCGCTCCTCAAACCACCGCCCCACACTAAGCGCCTTCTCCATCGCCCGCCCCGTCGCCTTCACAAATACCTCCTCCTTGGAGATCTGCTCCCAGCTTTGCGCCAGCTGCGCTAGACGCTGTCGATCGCGCAATTTGCTGTTCGACAGGTCCACGGATGCCGTAGCGCGCTTCTCCGCCTGGCGGAGCAGTTTCTGGACGCGTTTGACGGCGCTCATGAAGGGGGATTTTGTAGATACGTAGACCGTCTTGGGGACGTTGGAGCCGGCGTAGGGGGATGCGATCGGGGCGTGTGGGATGGGGCGTTTTTGGACGCGCGCGTCTAGGTTTAGTTGTTAGATTGGTTTTTTTTTTGTGTTTCAGGGAGTTGGGCATGCGTGAGATAGGGTAGAGTAGAAGGGTGGGGAGAGGAAAGCTTACATTTGGGGAGTTTGATCATGTCTTGGTTCTTTTTCTCGAAGGTGAGGGAGTGGGTTTTGGATTGGGGATTTGGTTGTTTCGGTGTCCCCATTTTGGGTGGTCGGGACATGGTGAGGAGGTGATGGATCGACGATTAGGTAGCGAAGTATGTATGTAGAGAATAACCACTTGTAGATGATCGCAGGTTGGTTGTAAAGTTGTTTGTTGGATCGTCGGGGAATTTCTGTGGTTTGCGCTTCTCCGGAGATCTTACGATGGAGTTGCCTTGTTCGGATGTGTTTGGCTGGTTTGCATCGGGTGTCCTCGGTGCCCTAAAGACCGGGCTTTGGGCTTTGTCTTGGGTTTACATTATTTGTAAGATGGACTCTTGAGGTAATGATTTGCCACGAAATAAGACTTTATCTGGAACTCTATGGTCATTGACAATTTGGTTCTATTTGTCACTGGCATGGGTCGCCGTTCTGCTGTATACTCTCGTCTACTGCCACTAGTCCTACATGGGAAGATAATGCAAAACTCTACTAAAAAGCCATGATTGGTACATGTGATGTGAAATAGGATGCATTCATCGAGGACATGCTGTGGCAAATGCCCCGGAAATGGAATGTACATGAAACTATATAAGTCATTAAATATCGTAAATCGCAACCGTCCCATCATCCGTCATCATGTCGTAGAAAGATCGTCTAAAGTTGGTCGTCGTCGTAGTGATAACATTAAAAAGATATCAAGTGGAATATGTATAGCGAGTATTGAACAGTGGGACATTTCAGTTCTCAACCCGCAGCGTTCGGTGGTATCAGTTGATTCGACTGCGCCAGATTCTTGCGCCCTGGTAGAAACCAGGATGCGTGACGACGACTTCTTTTGCTCACTGTCACCATTCTCGGTGACCCTTCAGCTACTACCGGAATTGCTTGCACTTTGAATTCTTGCGGCTTGGCCTCTTGTAGTTTGGGCACGTGTAGTTTGGGCTCTGGTGTTTCCGGAGCACCGGTGTGATAACGGCGCCGAACCATAGCCTTGACGGCATTGGTGATCTGGGAGCGGAAATGAGGCATGAGGGTTTCATCTCTAGAGACGTTGCTGGGTGTTTCGCCCGAGACGGCTTCTTCTTCGCCGCTCATAGCATCGATGCGTTGCCGGGCATTCTCTTGTGCTGCTTTCACGGATTTGCGATAGACATCGTGATGACCGAGACATCGGCGAAGGTCTGGCGAGTGGGACATGGATTCTCGCTGGAGTTTGCTTTGGGAGATAGCGGCCAGTTTGCCGGGGCCGGAGGCTTTGCTGATGGGAGGGATGCGAGGGTTTAAACGAGGTAGCCCGCGGCGGACTATTGCCGGAAATTGAGAGGCCTCTGGACCAAGGGACATTGTGACTGAGAAAGGATATTCATGTGCCTGGATGGCTTGTAATCTGAACTTCTGAGGAAGGAGACTAGAACGAGCCAGGGGTGTCCTGTATGCTATATAGGCGCCGAGAAGGGACCCCCACGGAGGCTATCAGATCGCAGCCTTTTACCAAAAACGGAAGTACCTAAGGGTCTGGGTCGTCCAGGATCAAAGCTCTAAAGTCCCAAGCTTCCAGACCGAGGGGAACATCGCTGTCAATCACCGACCGGACCTTCTTGCGGGGTCGAGCGTGGCAAATCCCGATGTCTGATTCGCATTGTCGTCGTCTGCTTGGTCGACGGCTTTGCTCGGGCTGGACTATGGTGGCGTGCAGAGGGGATTATCCCAGGATTTGGCGTCCCAATGCCACGGAATCGATCGATTCGACCCGCTTTATACGGTCTTACAGAAGGCCGAGCACGACACACGTCCCTGGGGAAGCTTAATTTGAGGCCGATGATTTGTGGAAAGTGATCCTCGACCAGTCGTAACTCATAGGCAAAGAGAGACCACACGAGAGAAAAAGGCAACAGTGTCTACTGACAAACCTTGCGTCCCTGGACTGGACCATGTGTATCTCGTCGGGTGCCAGAGGCCTGAGACGCCTTTGTCAAGCCACAGGTGTTCCTAGACGCTTTGTTAGAATCGAGAGGGGTCGAGGCCTTTGCGGGAAAAATTTGACATTCCAGAGCATCTAGTCGAGGCGACAGTCCCAAAGCATCTGGAAAATGGTAAAAGCACCATATCAAGGCTGCCTGGCGGTAAAGTCCGACGCTCGTTGAGAGATGAGGCGGGGAGAGAAGATCTCGACGTCATTGACTACGACGACAAGCGCCCCCCCCCCCCCAGGTCTACTCCGTACTCTGTACAGTCGGTCCTCCCCGGGCGCCACCGTCGTAACCTCTAAGCTGCATGAAGAGCAAAGTCAAAAGTCACCGCATTTGAGTCAGTTGTTTTCACTTGGTCAATCGGTGAACGTGGAGCCTCGACTTAGTCTGTGCACCGGAAGAACCAGCGCGATGGTGCGAAAGTTCGCTAAGAAGCTTATTCTCTTCTCGACACTCTGACTAGCTGGTCCCTGCCCAACTATGTCATGACTCCTCAGTGCCATGCATAATTTTGCATTCACTGGAAGTCAATGCCTATCCCATTGGGGCATGAGACGACGGAGACCTTTTGCAGTTTACTTCAACATGGGCAGCAAAACCGGAGAAAGCAAACCCCTACTACATACGCAAACACACGTCCATGCTTTTCGGACAAGAAGCTAGAGGTCTTGTCCGAGTCCGTTGGTCTATAACATTCTCGGAATTGCGAGCCTGAAGCTGTTGCTGTGGTTGTCCAGACGCCGCCATTCCAGCAAAGCTCCACACTTCCAGCCAACGAGAGCATCCCAGCAATCGGTAGAGGGAGTCTGTTATCAGCCCCGGCTTGGATCTTGATTGGTTATGCTCTCGCAGCCAATGGCCTCGTAAGCGTGGCTTACAGGTGCTGCCTCTTGAGGAAGGACTGGCGTCGGTGTTTGATGGTGAGCGAGATGTATCTTCCCCCCCAGACGGGATATGCTTGAGGGTTTGGTTCGATGAAATGGAATCCGATGAATGGAAGCTAGAAGCTTCTATTATCTATCTCAATGCCCTAGATAGCTGCCAAACCCCGTAGTCTGGAGTGGACCGTGCAATTAAGCAGCTGGGATAGACGTCTCACTAAATTAGCTGCATTAGTCTTCCCGAGCGCTAGAGTGTTAGACGGTCTAAAACTCAGTCCCCAGTCCTCTCATTATGATATAAGAATAACCGACGCAGCAGAGAACAAGTGGCGAACGTACGAGACCTCATGTTCCTCGGATAGGAAACTCTGAAGTCATCGTGAGTGGGAGGAAACTCTCAGAAGACCGAAATCCCGACAACAAACGAGTCCGACCAACTAGAATTGTAATTGAACCAAGTCGGCTTCCACGTCCTGCAAATCCATTACTCCATCTTCATCCTCCGAGTGCTTCACATGGATCTTTTCTCTCCTGGGCTCGGGGTTTCTATTGCCGTCATAGTTGGCTCACGAACTCCTCCCCCGATCTGTTCCATATCCCGACGATCAAAATGTCCCCAGCAACTGCCCTGATTCCCATGTGACAATGATGAGTCCTAGTCCTGTAAACTCCTCGGTTAGTTGCATCATAGCTAATACATGTGGCCAGGACATTCTTTGTTCCGATTGGGACCAGCGTACGAGATTCCGTGGGAATTGTCGCTAAAATGTGTGTACAACTATATTGTACATAATTAATATCCTATAATAATCTTAGCCAGGAACAGGAGGATCCTCACAGGTCTTTACGTACCGGAAGAAATCTCCAGATTCCCTTGACAGTCAGTCCCCTTATCGGGTTGTACAGGCTTACTTATAACTGTGCACCTAATTCGTGGTGCTTTCAGACCTGTGAATTAACATATTGTGCATGGTGTTACCGATATGCATTCTAGATAAAGGAACGTCTATCTAGAAAGACATACACGCTACCGGATAGTCCCGTGATGTACCTTGATATTGGGTGTACATACATTGGTATATAACAAAGGACCAGGTTGCTCTCTGTCCTGCTGACATTTCTTGCACAACCCTGAGATGACATGCTTGGTAGCTACAAGGCAAGTGTAGGCAACTAACCGAAGCACACAAACAGACGTTCCCCAAAGATCCAGACTGTGTGAAGAAAACCCCAAGAGTCGCTAGGGCGTGCATCGGGCGCTGATTGGACAGTCGCCGGTTGTATACCTAGTACCCAAAGAACAGGGCGCTCTCTTCACTGTCCATCTCTTCAATATCTTACAAAATGTGTGTTCTTTCTATCATCCTCATCGCACTTCTGATCTCACTCCTCGTGTTCTCCATGGAGATGACCCAAAGCACCATGGGTCCGCTCAGCGCTATGGAGGGATTGCTTGGCCCCATCCTTTACCTCTGGGCGCTCCTATTTGGCGTAAGCTACCTGTATGCATGGCTTACCTCTTCAAAAAGCAAGACGACTCTTGTGAAAGATCCCAAGGAATGTCGCTCCGTCATCTCTGCCACGAACTTCAGGAAGAGCGACAACAAGCTCACGCCCTTTGAGTCCCGCGCAAAATACAACAAGAAGCTTCGTATTGTATTTGGTGTCGAGAACGCCTTCACTACCACCGATCCAGAATTTTCCCAGCTCTTTACCAACATGTCTGGAGGACTTATGCTTTTACAGCCAGCCAAGTGGAAGGACCTGGCGGAAGTTATCGGCCAGAATACCAGGCGATGGTTAGATACACCCACACCATCTAGCTCCTACCGGCTCTTCGTGCCTCTGACAACAATGGTTCAATCGTTGACATTGCGGTTCATTTTCCTGAGCATCTTCAGCTCGGCTCATCATGTGCTCGAAGTCCCCGACGACGCACTCGTCAAGCTGGCAGATGCGATCAACTGCACTTGGGGTGCCGCCAAAAAAGGATGCGACGTCCCTGTCTTCAAGGATAACGCGTACTTGCAGGAGGCGCTATCGGCCATATTTGAATACAACCTGTCGGATGAGAGAAACAACCCTCTGAGTTTGATCCTGCCGGGATTCGAGACACTGTGGCGAGTGGTTCTGCGGATGGTGCTCGAGTTGGGCTTCCGTCCCGAGGCAGACCACGATGGTTGGACAAAGACCTTGGTAGATTTTTCCAAAAGCCCAAATAGGTACAAGATCATGAGTCCGGGATTGAGCTTTCTCGTGTCGGCGGAGGGTCTTGTCAACGAAACCTTGCGCCTCTACCCGCCTACTCGACGGATCTATCGTGACTTTCAGCAGGGTAAGCAGAGCGACAAAACCACCACCTACGCTGCCGATGTCGAGGCATGTCATTTGAATACTGAGATCTGGGGGCCTGATGCTGCCGTCTTCAACCCGTTGCGTTGGAGTAACTTGACAAAGGACCAGGAGGCGGCTTTTTTCCCGTTCGGCGCCGTCCCCTTCCAGTGCCCTGCTCGACCATCATTTGGGCCAAGGGCTATTGGGTTGCTGGCTGGTGTGATACTTCGTGAGCTTAAAAATGAATGGACACTCAGTGAGGGAAGTGATACCGTCAAAGTTCCGGAGTTTAAGGGAAGGCTGAGCAATGAGAGGAGCGCATACAATGGTCTGTTCTTGGTGAGAGATGATGATCTTTCATGCTTTCCTGACTTCAAATAAATTCGTCTGTTGCTGAAGGACTAGAGCTTTCACTTCGATCGTGTTTCTGACCTTGTTTACAATAAGATCTGATTACAACTTCTGACCTTACCTACTTAGTAGAGTGCCTTATTCGACTGCACTCAGGCTTCTATAGTGAGTAGCCAAATCGACATGCTCAGAAGAAAACAGCTGAGCTCATGTGAGTGACGTGCTCCCTCTACATGTGATGTCGATGGGCCTGTTCATAGATTGCAATCTCAAGTTCAGCCTTTGCTGTATCCTTCACCAACAACACCTGTAAGAACTTAAAGATACAGATTGACGCCTATCCCATCGAGCCCCTTGCAACGCGGATGTTCTTGCATTGCCCTTGCATTAGCATTCTTGTCTGGTGTTCCTTGCGTCCTAGATGAGACAAATATTGAGTTTAAGACATGCTTCGGGGAAGCGATATGATTCTTGCGGCTTGATGTCACTTTGTCCCCCTCTTATCCCTTTATTTCTTATTCTCCGGTTCTACATTCATTCATGCATCAAATCTTCTGCTTAGTACCTGCAGTGCGGTTCCTGCAGTATGGATCATATATCCCCGAATATCTCCGACTAGAACGTGCCTTACTTCCTCTTCTAGTCCCGAGTGACTTGACTAAGCGATTAGCAGCAACATCACCCTATAAACCTAGAATAACCCCGGCTAACCATGGTAACCAATTGGCCCAGCCTTCTACCAAATGTCCTCACGACTTCGAATGGATTATTAGATATAGATGACGACATACACACGTTCATTATATACTGGAGCTGACCCCGACAGGCTCTTCTGGCCAAGCAGTCAACACTCTGCGTGGTTCTGGACCCGAGTCATCTATGGTAAAGGTCTGCTTTTTTGTCCTTAGTATTCGACGTAGACTCAAGTTCTAGATAGTGAAATCTCGCCCCAGCTATCTATCTGTAAGTATTATACAAATCAAATTAACTCTACATGAGATATATTGAACAGAGTCTAGAGTCGAAAAAAAATCATGACAGTAGCTCACTGCTCCGCCCGAGGCTGCACCAAACCCGGCAGCCTGCCCTGCACGGACTGCCTCATCCCTAATAAAGCAGCAATATACTGCTCCACAGCATGCCAACTAAAGCACGGATTTGAGCATCATCGAACCTGCGGCGGCTCCCCTTTATCGGTCTGTTTCTTGATCCGCGCCAGGCCTGCTACTTGGGATCAGGAAGCCGACGCCGACGCCGACGCCGACGAGCCCGAAAAGATGGGGAGGTATTATGACGCGGCCACGCAGACCTGGAAGCTTGGATTCAGACAGGACTGGGGATTATGGGAAGGGGTGGGCATGTTCTATACGCACCGCGAGGACCAGAATTGGCGTTAGGAGGTCTACGGACAGTTCCCAGGAGGTGTGCGTGGCAAGGAACCGCCGGCGGATCTGTTACCAATGAACTGGCTGGCGACTCGCTGCCTTGGATGGACTGTGTATGATGATGTGGTGGTGATGAGGTCGGAGAGCGAGCCTTGGAATGGCAACTGTGAAATTTTCTGGAAGGAGGAGTTATTGAGGACAATTGCGTTCTATCGAAGGGTGGTTGCTCGTGATTGGTTCTTGAAGAATGACGCGCAGGTATCTAGGGGTTTGTAGGATGATACAATGGCTTATGCGAGAAAAGGAAGTAATGGTTTATGGTCCCTCGTGTTTACTACCATTTGGGTGATCTCTGCATTTCCCAAGTAAATCGATACGTAAAGAATACTACGTAGTACTTTTTTCTCTCTTCTTTTATCGAAATCCAGAACTATTATCTGGATTGACGATTATCTCGCGTTTGTTCTTTACCAGTAAACCCACCGGAAAGAGTCCGGGGATTCTGTATCGCGGGCTCGTAGTAGGCATCCCGCGTCTGAGATTGAGACCCCTAATGGCGGAAAGGATCCCCAAGCCCTGTCAGACACATCCGATAATCAACCCGAAACCCACCATCATGGCATGGGGAAATTGATGGCTGATTTGATTTGATCATAGAACAGGGTTCCGGTTGATTGCCCACTCGATGCCAATAGCTTATGATTGTACGGAGTACTCCGTAGATACATACTATGACGGAAGCCCCATCCCGAGACGCATATCGTTTCCGACCGATCAGATAGAGAGTGTCCTTTCTCGTCAGGGTGTCCAGGAAAATTCTCCCGTTGGGAGTTGATTGCCCCAAATAAAACTTCGGATCGATCGCTGGATTCCGATTTGCTTGAAGGACTCCGTAATTCGTAGAGGGTTCTATGACTTGACGTAGAGCCACCGACGTCAGGAAGGTCATTCGTCAAAGAAGCCAAAGCCACGGGCTGCTGTTCGAAATCTGGACTTCTTGATCTGCAGTTGATCAATATTAGGGGGTGGATGTTGCGTCATGAGGCACACCCCCAATCATGAACGCGGCTCAAGAGTTGACGTTACCAACGATCTTGCGTAGACTATTGGCATAGTCTAAATGAATGTCTGTCTTATCGTGCCACGAATACGGAGATAGCGACAGGTCTCTCAATTTAGTGGATCTATTGGAACATTGGTTCTAATTTTGTCATGCTTGGGCGACTTCCCGCTGGGCCACTTTGGGGCTTGGCCGGATCACCCTCGTGGGCAGTGTGAGATGCACCGAGCTTTTCATTTATTTCTCGGAATTTGGCTGCCCGGTGGCAGCGAGTGTGGATTGGAGTGAGGTAAAATCGACCTGTCAGCTATTATACTTGACCCAAGGGCTTCCTTGTTCGTCATGCATAAGCCCGAAAATTTTTTCATTGATGTTGCTTACTGCATTCAGAGAGATGCATATCAATGCAGTGATATTCAACAGGCACTGCGTGGTGATTGGATCATCTGTGGAGCATTGCAGAGAGATTCGAGGGAGATGCCGGATGGGGATTGTTGATTGGACCATGCCGTGCACCATCAGACTGGATAGCTAGGCACGGAAATACGATCGATTCCTTTCCTTCGCTAAGCCGTTCGTTTAAATCAACCAGCTTCAAACGGCCCAGAAAAGGATTCCGTATGGCCGACGCCGTGTGGAACAAAGGTACCGAAGACGCCGAAGGACCAAAGGCCGAGTCAGGAACGGGCTACTAGTTTAGACTGTTTCACTTACAACGGTGCCGGACGGAACCCCTCTCAGGGTTGCACTGATGACTCCATTTTATACGGAGTGGGGGTACCTGGCTTGGGTATCCTCGTTCTCCCTTCGCACGGCTTCACTTGTGTCCATTTGCCCCCAAAAATGAGGAAAACGTCGGGATTCAAACACTGATGGAACAGGTGTTTGAATCTATCACCTTCGACCAGTGTCTAGGAGTCCAATTGCCTCGAACAATGTTTCAGGATCGCATGATCAATAGTAGGTCGTTAGTGTGTTCCGCAGATGTCAGTCAGGGATTGCGTGTCCCGACAGACCCACTGCGAGGGTTGACACAGAGTACCCAGACAACCCGGCATGTCGCTTTCAACCATGAACCATGGAATGGAAATCAACATCCCCAGTCGAGAGGAAGTACTCCGACTGGAGTCTGACGGATCAGATATGCTGGATCAACCATCCTGTGAGGAGAACGATGGAGGAGGGGGAGGGAGGAATATGTCCGGCGTGAACTGTATGTAAGTACTTCTGTCGAGCCACAGCCACCTGCACCACGCTGCATGAGCATGAACTCTCTTTAAAAATAAAAACAGCCGAGGGAATTGACTCAATTGAGAGGGGGAAACAGAAGACCGAAATAAAGAAAACCAAACAAGAAAAAGAAAAAAAAAAAAAATCTTCCCTTGCGTCCAGACTCCGTTGTCCGACCGTACTTAGTTTAGTTCTTAAACTAGAGACGGGGCTTGTCTTCCGAACGGTCCAACTGCTCCAGCCCACCGGGGCGCGATTTTAGTTGAATCAGTTAGCCTTTACGCGGAGGCCTGGAAGAAAATAAGAAGGATAACGGACTTTCGGCTGATCCTTCGTGTGGCAAACCCCATTTGCCATTGGGCACCGAAATTATGTTGTAACGGGGGGATTTAGGAGAGTTTATGCACGGGGGGAGGTTGAACCCCGAATGCAGGAGATACAGAGTACTCTATAGATACATAGTCAGTAGGATTATTGCATCTGGGAGGTTACAGCGCCGTCGCAGGGTGTCAAACCGGATTTAGTTGACTCGAGGTAAATAAACAAGAAGTGCATGGATGACGGTGATAGGCAGGAGGGCGAAAGACATCCATGGAACCGGAATCGCTGTCGATCGATCCTGGAGAGTGCGTGGACGTTGGGTGGATGTCGGGATTGAAGCTAACGAGAGCCTGGAATCGCCTTCGCTCCCCATTAAATCACTCGGGTCTAAGACCCTGTTCTCAGTTTCTGCCTCTTGTCTCCCCTCTTTTATCTCTACGCTGCTCCCTTTCTTAATCTCTTTCCCTCTCTTTCCCTCTCTCTCTCGCTCAACCCCCTTGGATAATTCAATCAATTCATATTTCATTCCTTCTCCCTTTCCTTCCCTAGGTCTCACTCCACACTCGTTCTTCTGAGTTTGATCTCGCTAGTCTTCCCCACTTGATCTCATTGGTTTCTTGGGAATTCGACGCGTCTAAAGTAACCACCAAAGAAACCTCTCCAGTCCCTCGGATTTAGTGCCACCGTGGATCGTCGGATCTGTTTGCTTTGACAGCAACTCGACTCCTCCGAGTACTATTGCTTCCCGTGCAACCCCAATTCCATACAGATCATAGCACTCCCTCGATCGGCCCTCCAATCATTTCATTTTGTTTCCTGTGTATCGTCATTCCCTGAATCTGGACCCTTCCCAATTCTTCGGAGAGAAAACAAACAAGAAAAAACGAGAGAATAAAGAAACGGGGTTCCCGCCACTATCGATAAACGAACAAACAAGACGAGGCCCGACCGTCTCTACGTTTGCCCCTCTCCTACCTCACTAGAAGACCGAAGGGATAGCAGCCCACCTCCTTGTCTCCCTAGTCAAGGAGTTAATTGAGCAGCTCTCGAGGTGCAGATTTGTGCTATGGAGACACACGTTACACGCCATTGAAGCCAGCCCTCTTTACAAGCATCTCTTATCAACTTTGAATTGTGCTGCACCTCCTATCACGTCACACGAAAATCTTCTGGGTCCTTCCCCCTTTCGCTCACTGCCAGCCCTCTTGAACCCGATCCTTATATCTTGTCTTCGTAGCTATTCTCTCATTCTATTCCGTCTCTTTCCTATCTCGCTCCCTTATTCGCTCTGAGGGAAGAAACATCAATTCCTCTTCTATCGCTACCAACATACGCACTTGAACCATGGCGCACGCTACAGAGGAGATTCTGGACAACCCAGATGGATCGTCCTTCCTCTGGATCTTCGAACACTGCCTTCGTTACCCCGAGACCTATGAAATGCCACTTCGCAACATGTATGCATTGAACTGCAATCCCACGAGACAACCACCAGCCGCGACCGGTCCACCCGAGACGGCGTTTGCCAACCGTACCTCCCACTCGTCGAAGTCCTCGGAGTCGTCACAGGAGGCTCCGTGGGGTCGTGACTCCGACTTTCGGGCCATGTTGACCCACGAGATCTCTCAGAAAGGATCGCAACCGTGCTCGCTTCCTCCTACTTTCCTGATTACGTTCCTTCGTCGCTGCTTTGCCACGGAGCTGGAATTCGTTGATTTCCCTCAGGCCCTTACTGGTCTCGATTACCTCAAGGACCTCGAGGTTCGTCGCAAGAAGGAAGTGGCGGCCGCATTGCAGCGGTTGGAAGTCCAACCCGCCGATCTCCGCGCGAACTCGGAGTTCCGAAAGAAATATCCCGGCGTGGTCGTTTGGATCGAAGAGATGAACCTGAAGAACCGCAAGATGGAAGCGCTGTATACCCAGATCTACATTGGTCTCCGTCGTTGGGTGAGTAGAGATTCTTTCCCCGACTGCTCTCGTGTGATGATTGCTAATCAAGATATTCCAGACTCTGATCAACGAAATGCTTATGGAGCCATTCAATAGAGCCAACTGCATCGCCATGCTTAACACCCTGTTTCCACCCGTGACCGAGGGAACCATCACTCCCACCTCGCAGTTGACACTCCAGATTCTCAAGTCTCAGAGAGATGGGTTCTTCCGGTATATTTCGGCCATTAACAACAACAACGCCAAAGTGATCCTTGACAAGGTGATCAGCCAGGGAGCGCCAGAAGGCTCGGACAACGGATGGCCGCTGGTGCGAGATGCCTTGGATAAATATGTTCGGGCAGCCAGTGAGGTCATCGACGAATGTTCGACGGTTAGTGGCCTGGCTAGCTTCGATAGCCTGGAAAGTTTCGACAGCTCCGAGGCCATTGAAGACATTTCGACCCGACACAAAGGCCGAAAGGTCGACTCGGGCATTAGCTTTGGCTCGTCCGAAGTGCTACCCTCCCCCTCCACAAGCAACGATAGCGGCAGCAGGGCAGAAGATATTTTTGATAAGCCTCTGCCCCCGTCGCCCACCATTGATACGCCTTCCAAAGTGGGTGGTTCTAAATTAGAGCGGCTGGCGCGCGAAATCCGCAAGCTCAGCGACAGCGGCAAAGTCAAGGGCCTGAAGAAAATGAGATCCACCAGTGCCCTTGGCGTTCGTCAGGAAAACATCCCCGGCAAAACAGTGGATCATGCGTCCTTCTTTGCCATTGACGAGCAGAAGCGCAAGAGGTTGATTTGGGAAGCGACAAGCCGTAGAAGGCCCCATTCCAAACAACCCAGCGCGGATTCTCTGCAGGAAGAGTGATTTGATTTGATTTGATTGACTTGATTGTATCTTCACCATGACGGTTTTTTCTTTTTTGACACAAAAGTACGGAAGACAAAAAAGCCTCACTTTAGACTGGAGTCTCTCGGAGTTGGCTACCTGGGCTCGATCTTTAATTTTTCGCTTACCTCTTGGGGCGTTTATTTTGTTAATTGTTTTTTTGCTGTTGGGTCTCGCTTGCCCGTCGCAGCGCGAAAGGAAAACGCAGAGTTTCAACAACCACCACCACTACTGACTGGACTGGGTTGTAAAGCAACAAGGAAAAGAGCCTGAGCGGCTTCTGAACGAACCACTTTATGATAATGATGATGTCTAATGAACAAAATATGATTCAATTAACATTAAAAATCCATATCCACTTGTATAACTAGGTCTTATATAACTGGCGTAAAATATGTGTCGTAGCGCAAGTAGAGAGATGAAGCCTTGAAGGTGTACGGAGTATATCGCTGCCTTCGATCCTCAGGCACACTCCGTCCAACAACCGGAGCGGCCAATCAGGGCCCGCCGTAGAAGACACGGAAGTCTTGCGCGTTTGGCCGCTGCGCCCGCCGTAGCAGCAGGGCCTCGACCAGGTGGCCGGAAGCCTTATCAATGCTCTCCACGCAGTCATCTTGCTCTCTTACGACTATTCGGCTGGTCGACGGGAATTCGTCCGTCTCTCAATGTCTACCTGGTGGCCGATTGTTGCATGAATCTCAGCTCGTGCCCATCGTTTGCGGAGCGACTCAGCTAGCTCGTCTTCACTTGGAGTACGGTACTAGCTAGCTAGGAAATAACGTCATCTGAACCCATAATCATTGCCCTATCTGCAGTGGAGCCTCCATTGGCAAGCAGAGATGGGATCTACATCGAAAAAGGTCGCCTCATGGCGACTCACTGCACTTGTGGCTTCTGGATTGGCCTGCCTAGTACGAGCAAGCCCGTCGGTCAATGTTGCCCTCCAAGCTTCATTTGATGCGCCGCCGTATCTCATAGAACTCTTGTAAGCTGGATCGCTCTGATCTTTCGGTTGACAGTTATACCAAGTCCGAGTTGCTAATGTTAACTTCGTAGAGAAACCGCTGCCGAAGAGAACTCGACCTCCTACTTCCCTTTGCTTGACCGCGTCGCCGATGGAGCCTTCGAGGATGCCGTGACCGACAAAGAAATCTATGACCGTTTTCTACAAGTTGTGGACGAGGATGGGCACCTGAAAACAACCGAAAGCCGGTCATCCTTCAAATTGTCTTTGGCAATTCGATCGGCGAGCCCCCGCATCACGGCGCATTACCAATACTACAATGCTTCCGTGCAACACTCGTTAATGGCGGCGCAGGATGCCGCCTGTCCAGTGTGGGTGCACTCGCAAGGCAAGCAGTACTGCTCTTCTACACTGGAGCGTGCCCAGCAGGATGTTTTGGGAGACATGTGAGCAGATAGCCTTTTCTCCCCTGTGGAATGCTTTGCTCGATACATGGCTAACGGATGTGACACAGGAACTCGAGAGAGCTTCCTTTCGACCGGGTGTTGGGAGACATCTCTCTTCCTCCGGCTATTCTGTACGCCGATGTCGCTTCTCCCATGTTTAGGGACTTCCACCACACGCTCAGCGCACTGGCAAAGCAAGGTCAGGTCTCCTACCGAGTCCGATACCGACCTCCCCAGCATTCGAGCCCACGCCCACTTTTTGTATCGGGATACGGGGTTGAACTCGCATTGAAGCGAACGGATTATATTGTCATCGACGATCGCGCCGCAGAACAACAAGATTCCAACAACGTGGAGCCCGGCGACGGTGACGCTCCGGACGACCTTAGACCCCTCTCGTCCTCCGAGGTGGCACGCCTGGGCGTAAATGCCGTGAGCTACGTGATGGACAGCGAGAATCCTTTGGATACCCTCGTCAAGCTTTCGCAAGATTTCCCTAAGTACTCGGCCAAAGTTGCAGCTCATAATGCTACTACCGAACTTCTAGAAGATATTCGCTCCACTCGACTGCAGATGCTTCCTGCTGGCGTCAACGTCATGTGGATCAATGGTGTCCAGATCGATTCTCGACAGATAGACGCGTTCTCCCTTCTGGAACACCTGCGCCGTGAGCGAAGACTGGTTGAGAAGTTCCGTGACATAGGAGTATCTGCCCAAGAAGCAGTGAGCCTTCTGTCGCACGAATTCCTCGGAGAGGCTCTGGCGCAGGAGGCACCCCAACGTTATGATTATCAAGATGATATCGAGGGTGGTCGCGTTCTCATATGGCTCAATGATCTTGAAAAGGATGCTAGGTACCAATCTTGGCCCGAGGAACTCCAAGCAGTGAGCCCTTCCCTAGATAGATTTTTCAATTTCAACATACTTACATGACCCAGCTACTCCAACGCACTTACCCCGGCCAACTTCCGGCCGTGCGCCGTAACGCGAACAACATTGTGGTCCCGGTTGACCTGAGCAGCCTCGAGGACCTGAACTTTGTGGTCAGAACCATGCAAGCGTTCGTGCAGAAGGGAATTCCGGCCAGATTCGCTATAGTCCCTATGGCATCCTCAGCCGGGCAAAAGTCCCAGGTGAAGGTTGCTCATTACCTGCAGGAGACCTACGGGTTGGCAAGCCTTATTCATTATTTGGACGAGGTAAGGATCAGCGCCTTGCTCTTTGGTTTTTACTTGCTCATTTTTATTAGTCCTTCGAGAAGAACAAGGCAGCATCCGCGGATAAAGGCTGTTTTGAGACTGCGACCAAGGAGCGACAGATCCGCTCTGGCAAGAAGGCGCTCTCATTCGACGAGGTTCTGAAGAGTGGTGATTTCGAAAACGTGGTCTCTCAAACAGTTCATTATCAGGATCGACTTGGTATCACCCCTGACGCTCCTCAAAGTTTCATCAACGGAGCACCAGTCCCCCGCAAGAGCAAGTGGATGCAGGAAGTGAGCGTAAGGATCAGTGGAGACTTGCAGGAACTTCAACAGGGGATTGCCGATGGAGCAATTGAGGAATCTACCTCGCTGCCAGGCGTGTTCCTTTCCAAGGCGTTCTCTCGACGCAGTCAATGGGTTATTCCCGAAGATCCCAAGGATATCCGGGTCGTGGATGTAGCTAAAGTGGCAGATTCACAGAAGGATGTTTTGAGTGAAACTCCACTGGTTGCCTCAACAAACGGCGATGCTCTTGACAGTGCCTACCTGATTGCAATCGGTGATTTTGATTCGGAAAGTGGTTTCCAATTGCTCACTGCAGTTCTGGAGCACCGAGAACAACATAATGAAGTGGAAGTTCTCTTCGTTCATAACTCGGAGAATCCGGCATCCGCCAAAGGTGGATCTACAACTCTATACCGCTCCATCAAGACAGGAAAGCAGGTCGAGCCCGCTCAAATTCTAGCGAATATCGGCTCCACTGCCATCTCTCCTCCCTCAAACGAAGAAGCCGAAGAGATTTCTCAATTCTGGGCACGCCAGCAGTCCTTGGTTCGGGAACTTGGGTTCCCGACAGGCGCAAATGGGCTTGTGATAAACGGAAGGGCAATCGGGCCCATTCAACATGACGTGACTTCTGATGATTTGGACCAGCTTTTGACCTATGAACAGGAGAAGCGAATCGGCCCGGTCGCAAGGGCTTGTAAGAATCTTGGATTTGGCTCAAACATTCCTGGCCCTCTCGCCTTTGCCAAGTTGACGTCTCTCACCACACTCTCAACCGTATCCGACGTACCGGAGGGCATCTTCGAGTCAACTTCCGACATTCGGATAAATCTGTTTGACAAATGGAATAACTCTCGCTCTGTGCTTACCGTCTCGAACTCCGAAGATCCAGCAATCACGATTTTGGCTTCGATTGATCCAAGCTCGGAGACCGCCCAAAGATGGCTCCCAATCCTGAAGGTGCTCTCCGAACTAGCAAGTGTACGAGTCAGGCTGTTTTTGAACCCGCATGAGCATATTAAGGAACTCCCCACCAAGCGATTCTACCGCTACGTTTTAGACTCAGAGCCTTCTTTCAACAATAAGGGGTCTATCTCACGGCCTACGGCCTCGTTCAGGGGTGTGCCAGTCGAGGCGCTTCTTACCCTGGGTATGGACGTACCATCGTCCTGGCTTGTAGCTCCCCAAGACTCCATTCATGACCTTGATAACATCAAGTTAAGCTCCTTGAATTCCGACTCCGACGTCGAAGCGGTGTACGCCTTGGAGCATATCTTGATAGAAGGTCATTCCCGGGATCTGACCACCAAGAGCCCTCCAAGGGGAGTTCAGCTGAACATTGGAACCGACAACAATCCCTCATACGCGGACACCATCATCATGGCTAACCTGGGATATTTCCAATTCAAAACACAGCCTGGACTATGGAAAATCAACCTGAAGCCCGGCTCCAGTGAGCGCATTTTCAACCTTGATAGCGTTGGTGGTCTGGGATACAGTCCCCAGCCCGGCGACGACAACAACGAAGTGGCGTTGCTTTCTTTCCAGGGCAAAACTTTGTTCCCTCGCTTGTCCCGTAAGAAGGGCTATGAAATGGAAGATGTCCTGGAAACAGGTCCTAAAGCGGGCACGGCCATGGACTACGTCTCCAAGGGATTCGGCTTTGCCTCCAGCGTTCTTTCGAGCGTCGGCGTCGGCTCAGGTGGCTTGTCCCAAAAACAGGCTGACATCAACATCTTCTCCGTTGCGAGCGGTCATCTCTACGAACGAATGCTCAACATCATGATGGTCTCGGTGATGAAGAACACCAAGCACACCGTCAAGTTCTGGTTTATCGAACAATTCCTCTCCCCCTCCTTCAAATCCTTCCTCCCGCACCTCGCCGCCGAACACGGCTTCCAATACGAAATGGTCACCTTCAAATGGCCGCACTGGCTGCGCGCCCAGCGCGAGAAACAGCGCGAGATCTGGGGCTACAAGATCCTCTTCCTGGACGTCCTGTTCCCGCTGAACCTCGACAAGGTGATCTTCGTCGACGCCGACCAGGTCGTCCGCACGGACATGTACGATCTCGTCACGCTGGACCTCGAGGGCGCCCCGTACGGCTTCACACCCATGTGCGACTCGCGCGAAGAGATCGAGGGCTTCCGTTTCTGGAAACAAGGGTACTGGAAGGGCTTCCTCCGCGGCCAACCCTACCACATCTCGGCGCTCTACGTCGTCGACCTGAACCGCTTCCGGGAGCTTGCTGCCGGAGACCGTCTCCGGGGCCAGTACCAGATGCTGTCGGCCGACCCGAACAGCTTGAGTAACCTGGACCAAGACCTCCCGAATCACATGCAGCATCAAATTCCGATTAAGAGCTTGCCGCAGGACTGGCTGTGGTGCGAGACCTGGTGCTCGGATGAATCGCTCGGCCAGGCGCGGACAATCGATCTGTGCAATAACCCGCAGACGAAGGAGCCGAAGTTAGATCGAGCCAAGCGACAGGTCCCCGAGTGGACGGAGTATGATGATGAGATCGCGGCGTTGGCGAAGAGAGTAGATCTGGACCGTGAGCAAAAGGAGCAAGAATTGCGGGCTGAACTTCAGGAGGATGATGAGGATAGTGACGATGTAGATGAGGATGAGCCTTCTGCGTGGAAGAAGGATGAGCTGTAGTTTAATTGCGACTTGCGAGTCTATATAGAAGTGTCTTTTCATGCATGCATTCTTAGGTTAGAACATGCGATACATAAGTTTAACAGAAGGATTATTAAATCTAAGGCAACAGATGTAAATTACTAGGAGTGCCCCGAGAGAAAGAGAGAGCCTCGAACAATTTACTGGCAATATTACAAGACATTATCCTAAAACATGGCAAGAAGACAGCAACAGCAAAGGCTGCTCTAAATCAAACAAGATTCAATCATTATTCGTCGTAAGTAAGCAATTCACTACTCCGTACTGGCTACCGGCCATGAAAAGAAACCTCTATCTATCCAATCCTCTTGCCTGTCTATGAGCTAGAAGGCCCATTGTCACTATCACTCGAGCGCTGCTCTTTCTTGACTGGAGTCTTCTTCTGCTTTCTCGGAGTCGGCGTCATGCTTTTCTTGACCTTGGTCTTCTTGACTGGGGGCTTGGTATCCGATTCGCTTGAACCGCTGGCCTCGGGCTTGATATTGCGGGAGGCGACAGCACGCGCCGAGGTTGGCGTTGAGGTTGAATTGGACGTGGGGGGGCGCTTTCTCTTGGAGCTTTGGTCTGTGGATCGCTTGGGTGGTGAGGATGATGGTTTAACCTTCGTTTTCGAGCTGGATTTAGGCTCAGGTTCGGAATCAGAAGCAGAGCTATCCGCAGATGCAGCAGAGTCGGACTCGGAAGTAGAGGCGTCAGATGCAGAAGCTGAAGTGGAAAGACCCTTGATCGGGCGGCCTTGGCTGTTAGGAATGGTTGGCTTGGGCTCATCCTTTTCACGTCCACTCTCGTCATCTGAGGATGAAGAGGAATCGGAGTCATCACTAGCGTTCGAAGCCGGTTTGGGGGTTGGCTTGCTTGTGGACTTAACAGGAGAAGCCTGGGTCTTTGGTTTGGTATCGGCCGGTGCACCCTGTTTCACAGGCTTCGCAGGCCCCTCATCTTCACTTGACTTGTCGCTGTCACTCTCACTGGAACTGTCATCAGGCGAGGACTTTCCTCTTTTTGCAACTGGTTCGGGTTTCTTAGGCGATGGGATCTGAGCAGGCCCCTTCGGTCGAACAGGAGAAGTCATCTTGGTTGGCTTTGCCAATTCATCCTCACTAGAGCTGTCGCTAGAACTGTCGCTTTCGCTAGAGCTAGAGCTCTCGGTTTCATCCGAGGACGAGGAGTCCTTTGCTGGTGCTGGTGTCTTGACAGGGGGATTTGACTTCCGTTTTATGAGGTCTTGTTTGAACTGCTTGAGTAGGGATAACCGAGGCTTGGGGTTCGCTTGCTCCTGGGAAGGCGGCATCGGTGTAGGTGTGGGCTTCTCTGGCTCACGTCTAGGTGGGAGGTCCAAATCCATGTCACTTTCATCATCGCTCTCACTTTCACTCTCCTGGGAAGGCGGCTTCGGTGCAGGTGTAGGCTTCTCTGGCTCACGTCTAAGCGGGAGGTCCAAATCCATATCGCTTTCATCATCGCCTTCACTTTCACTCTCGCTCTCGCTCTCGCTTCTGCCCTCATTTTCGTCACTGGATGAACGATTCGACCTTTCCTCAGCGTTTGATCTTGTGTCGGTATTGACATCAGACGGCTGGGGCTGGGGCTGGGGCTCCGCACTCTGTGCTTTATTCTGAGTTGAACCTTGGCTGTGAGCAGAAGACTCGGACTTATCATCTTCACTGTCATCATCCTCGCTTTCAGAAGAAGATTCAGGTGAGATCTCTCTCTTCTGCACAGACTTGTTCTTATTGGGAGTGGTTGTAGCATTGTTAGCCTTCTCTGCAGGTTTTTCCTTTTTGTTGTCTCCTTGCGAGTCATCGTTAGCCGGTGTAGATTTGCTTGCTACCGAAGGCTTGATAAATTCCTTCGTTTCCTGCCCATTCGATTGCTTATGCTTTGTAGACTGCACGGCGTTGGGCTCCATACTTGTATGGCTCTCCTCGTCCTCGTCTGAATCCGAGCCTGAATTATCGCTTTCCGATTCGGATTCAGAACTTGATCCACTAGTTTCCGAGCCCGAGTTTGCATCCGAATCGGCATTTGGCACTGAATTGGAGATGAAAGAAGCTGCGGGAGTCTTCCTCTCTTCTTTCTGAACAGGAGATTGGCGTTCATCGCTGTCTGACTGAGCTGTTTCAACCTTTCCGTCTTCAGGGTCCTCGTCGTCGTCATCCTCGTCAGAGGAAAAGACATATGGATTGCTCAGATATTTTCCAGTATCCTTGTCATCTTGATGTTGACCTGTCAACCTTTTGCCCATAGTATGCTGCTGCAGCTCTTTGGCAGCTCCATGAGAACCTCTATTCCTCTGCCCGCGTGCCATTAGAATCTTGCGTCTGATTTTGCGCCATTTATCCCCGCATTGCTGCCTTGAACGACGATTTTGGAGTTTGTCACTAACTGCACCCCAAGCGACCATTTTATCGTCCATCTCATAGATGTCCGTGCCAACATCGTTGTTGTTTGCTTTCAGACTGTTCCACGCTTCTTGTATAGCACTGCGTAAGGCATCGGTTTCTTCGTCCGTCCAAGGTCCCCTGTTCATGGTGCCCCGGTGCTGCAGTCGGTTCTTCCATCGCTGTACTACATCGTCATCGTTTCTTCCCAAGAGACTTGCTATGTAGGCGAATTTAGGGCCGTGTTCCTCAAAGAGCTCGACCAGTTCGTCGTCCTGTTCATGCGTCCAGACATGAGGTTTCTGCTCCGAAGACTGGAAATGGCGTCTCATGAATCGGTAAACCGATCGCCGGTCCCTGTTGGGAATGACATCGTAGATAGACTGCCAGAAATCCAATTTCGGCATGATATCAGCCCCAGGAAATGGGGTTTCCTTTTCTCGTACGGCGTGTTGGACCATCTCGTCGAAGTGGCTCCCAGTGATGCCATAGGAGTTACAGAATTCGATCTTAAACTTTTCGATCTGCTGGATTTCTTCCGGATGGAAGTGTCCCACTACCCGGCCCTTTTCAGAATACCGTTTGTCCTCTCGTCGCGTGATTCGCTGACGTCGTGCGCTAGGCATTGAAGACTGTTCTCTCTTTTCATCCTCTGAGCTCTGCTCAGACTCCGAATATGGTTCCTCCTCTTCTGTAGGACTAGGCGTCTTTTCGGACTTGCTAGCACGTTTCGAGGAGCCGTGGTGGTGCTTTCCTTCAGCGGGGGATCGGACAGTCGCAGGGGACCTGGGAGCTGGTTGCTCGTCCGTCTTCTCGTCCGTCTCCAGAGCCGTCTTGTCTGGCTTGAAATCATCGGAATTAGGCACTTCTATTTCCGTACTGTCCTCCTCGCGCGTCTTCTTGCGCTTCACAGGACGGGAGGTTTGATCAACGCGAACGGGAGGTGTAGTCGGCACCGGCGCGACAGAATCCTTGTCATGATCGTGAGATTTCCGTTTCCGCTTCGTTGCTGACTCGTCGGTCGATTTCGCGTGGGACTTTGCTTTCTTGGAAGATTTCGAAGATTTCTTATGCGATTTCTTCTCCTTGGGTTCTACGTGCGATCGAACGTTGTCAGTGCAATTCCGAGAGAAGTTTCGGGTTTGATCTCCGGGGTAAACACGTACTGAGATCGTCGGAGGACTCGATAGGGAGCCCCCCCTCATCTACAGGCTGAGACGCCCCTTGGCCCATCTGGTAGAAGCGATTTTCAGAGTGTTAATTTCACAGGAGGGAAACGAGAAGATTGGTGGATAAAGTGGTAGACAAAAGGTGGTTCTTATGGGGTTGACATCGGCAGAGCGCAAAAAAAGAAAGAGAAAAAAGCCGACGGCGTCGCCAGTTGAAGCTTTGGGCGCGGGCGGCGCGCGGTCTTTTCCGCACTCTTTTTTTTCCCATTTCTTTTTCAATGCAAACGCCAAAGTACTACACATGCATCATGCATTGGAGTGACATTTGGTTTATTATGAAATTGGTCTGTCGTATACATTCGTATTTACATTTAAAGAATAGAAATAATAGGATAACAACATGCAAAAAGACGTGAAAAACCGCTCGAGGAAATAGTATCCGCTGGGGACGCTTCAAGTTTCGACCTTCATTTCTCGCAATAGCTTCGAAACCAACTTCCTCTGCTCTGCCGGTTGCAGATTCTGCTCGTCGATCGCAGCGAGGCATCGTCCGATGGTCACCGTCGCTTTGACAGCCGACTCTCCCCCGTTGGCACAGTCCACCCACACCTTGCCATTCCGCCCGACCGCGATCTCGAATCCTCCGATTTTCTCCAGCTTCTTGCCCAGTTCGTCCAGCACCACCAACCCTTCGACACCATCTTCGTTATCTGACGAAGACGAGCTGGCTCGCATCAATCGCGCCGCCATACCAACGGAGAGATCGAAGACCATCCCGCCGGTCAACGGGCCCAGGCCCCCAGGTTCGGCCTTTCCAGTTGCAGGGTTGACGCAAGTGAGTTCGACTTCAGCTCCGGCACCCAGACCCATCGACAATACACGCGCATAAACCAAGTCTCCCTGTTTCAGCATCGGTCGCGTTTTCTTTGTGGCTCCTTCAAACGATAGCTGTCCCAGAACTGCCTGCGGAGTCTGAGGTGTGATCATGCAGTGGAAGTAATCCGGACTGGAGTGATGGATTTGCGCAATTACTAGGTCATTCGTAGTCGGGGTGTAGCGGCGATTAGGGAACGAGAGGATGGAGACTGCGTTCCTTCTGGGGTCTGTAGAAAGAATGCCGGCCTGGGTCGCGGCGAGAACATGCGTGGACGCATCGGTGGGCGCGGGCGATGTGGATGGTTGCGAAAGCAGACGGAGGCCGGGGCCCAGTCTCAGCGGTGCCGAATCGTTGGAGGGGAGATGTTCTGAGGGCACATCGTCACCGGGGAGAAGTATCAACGGGGAGGCCATGATGGACGCTGCGTTCAAGTGTTTGTTCAAGTGGGTGTGGATTGGCTTGTTCTGCGGTCGAGGCTTTTTGCCCGCCGAAAAGAAGCAGGCCGCTTATCGCGTTATCAGCACGTGATTATTTAATCACATAGTGTAGGAGGGAGTACTTGTAGTTGTGTAGTTACTACATGTTAGGGTGAATTGAGTCAATGAGAAGGAATCCAACAGAGTTAAGGTGAACATATCTCCCTAACACATAAGTTCCAATGGAATAAAGGGAAGACAGGCTGCCCTCTCTCTAGATCTGCTTTGTGTCTCAAGCAACCCAAGTGTGGCTTGACCATGTTGACACCGCCACCGAACCCTATCGATAAGCACCAGCCACGGCCCGCCGCTTCAAACAATCCAAAAATTTTTTCTTCGTTCCTTTTGGAAGACGATCAGTTCGGCGGCCGATTCTAATCATTTCCCTCCCCCAATTTCAACTCTCCTGTTCCTCTCCTCTCCAAACACTCCCCTTTCCTTTTTTTTCTCCCATTTTTCTCCTATCTATATTTCGAAATGAGTGACGGAATCAACGGCGCCGCGGAGCGATTCGCCATCGGTATCTCCTTTGGCAACTCCTCTAGTTCCATTGCCCGCATTAACCCTGTACGTGAGAAATTTCGGTGGCCCTCAAATTCTCGGTTTCCTGAGATTTAATCCAACGAAAGAGAATGGCATCAACTAACAGAGATTTGTACACAGGAAGGCAAGGCTGAGGTTATTGCCAACGAGGAAGGAGGTGTGTTGCCCACATGTTCTTATCGCTGTGAAATAGCGAAATTCTAATTGTTCGATATAGACCGTCAGATCCCTACCGTTCTCTCGTACATCGATGGCGAGGAATACCACGGTACCCAGGCCAAGGCCCAGCTCATCCGCAACTCCCAGAACACCGTCGCCTACTTCCGCGACTACCTTGGCAAGGAGTAATTAAACCCCATCTGGTGTGATGGAGGAACGAACATCGCTGACAGGATACACAGCTTCAAGTCGATAGACCCCACGCCGTGCCACAACTCGGCCCACCCCCAGCAGAGCGACTCTACCGTGGCTTTCTCGATCCGTGATACCGATAGCGAGACTCCTAACACTGTCACCGTCTCCGAGATCGCCACCCGTCACCTCCGTCGCCTTAAACAGTCTGCCACCGATTTCCTGGGTAAGGAAGTCAACGCCACCGTCATCACTGTGCCCACCGACTTCACCGACGCTCAGCGGAATGCCCTGACCGCGGCCGCCAAGGATGCTGGTCTTGAAGTTCTGCAGCTCATTCACGAGCCCGTCGCTGCTGCCCTGGCCTACGATGCCAGGCCCGAGGCCACCGTGACCGACAAGCTTGTCGTTGTGGCCGACCTTGGTGGTACCCGCTCCGACGCTGCTGTGCTCGCTTGCCGCGGCGGAATGTACACCATCCTCGCCACTGCCCACGACTACGAGCTCGGTGGAGCTACTCTGGACAAGATCGTCATCGACCACTTCGCCAAGGAGTTCATGAAGAAGCACAAGACCGACCCCCGGGAGAACGCCCGCGGTCTTGCTAAGTTGAAGCTTGAGGGTGAGGCCACCAAGAAGGCCCTCAGCTTGGGTACCAACGCTACCCTGAGCATTGAGTCTCTGGCCGATGGTGTCGACTACGGCTCCACCGTCAACCGCACGCGGTACGAGCTGCTGTCGGGCAAGGTGTTCGCCCAGTTCACCGGCCTGATCGAACAGGCTATCCAGAAGGCCGGTCTGGATGTTCTGGACATCGATGAGGTATGTTTCTACTACCGGTTATCTGCTAGCAAGCATAGACTCTCTCTGACCACCCACTTAGGTTATCTTCTCTGGCGGTACCTCCCACACCCCCAAGATTGCCCACCTGGCTCGCAACATCTTCGACGAGAAGACCAACATCCTTGCCCCCTCGACGCTCACCAGCGCCATCAACCCCTCCGAGCTGTCCGCCCGTGGTGCCGCCATCCAGGCTTCTTTGATCCAGGAGTTCGAGAAGGACGACATCGAGCAGTCCATCCACCCTATGGTCACTGCCACCGCCCACCTCAAGAACGCCGTCGGTGTTGAGTTCGCCTCGGGCGACGCCACCGAGTTCAAGGCTCTCCTGCACGCCGAGACTGCTCTCCCCGCTCGTCGCGTTGCGCAGTACTCCACCCCCAAGGAAGGTGGTGACGTCTTCATTCGCGTCGTTGAGGGTGTTCGTGACATCAAGGTCACCAAGCCCGAGCCTAAGGCCAAGGAGGAGAAGCCCGCCAAGACCGAAGACGACGACGACTCCGACTTCGACTCTGATGAGGACGAGGAGGAGGAGACTCGCGAGATCGTCTGGAAGACCGAGAAGCCCATTGCCGAGCTTGCCGTCAAGGGCGTCAAGGCCGGCAACAAGGTCGAGTTGATGGTTCACGTCAACGCCGACCTGGGTCTGCAGATCACTGCTCGTGAGGTTGGAGGCCAGAGTGCTGTCCGCGGTGCCGTCCAGGCTCCTTAGACAGTTTCATCTAGGTGATTACAAAGTATCTTCTCTTTACCTTTTGATGAAATTTTCCTCTCATATCCTTGGACCCCCGCTTTCATGCTTTATGTCCTGCATCTTTTGTTTATGAACCATTTAGAATATCAAATTTCTTTTTCTGATTAAACTCTGTGCCTTCTGTTTCTCCATCTCTATTGTTTTTTGTGGTGCATATTCCTTAGCCAAACAAACTGGGCCGGTGATTTGAACCAGCTGAAAACACGGGTGAACAGATTCATGCCCTATGCTGTCTTTGCAATGATTTCTTGACGACGAATGTATCGATGAAGGTTCTTCAAAAAGTATATATACAGGTTATTCTTTATAGAATTTTATAGATTTCGAAGTAAACACTGCCGTGCCTTGTGTAAGCCTTCAGTTAGTGCAGTTCGGAGTTCCACTGAAACCATCACTATAAAATGACATTCCATTATATTACAATTACTAGATACTCGACATCAAGACATCAAAACAACACTCGTGACACAAGTCATTCAATCGGAAAAACACGTAGACCATCAACATAACTCAGGGGGAAAACAATTATTAAGGGTGAGCGTAGGGCAACAAGATCACCCAGCGCATACATAGATACTGTCAAAACATAGCAGGGAAACGTAATCAGTACGTGGGACTGGACAAACCACCGGAAAGCGTGGGGGTATCTCTTAAGTCATACTAGAACGACATTCAGTAGACTCGGGTGAGATTTAAAAATTTTACTTTTCCCAGCGAAAACATTTAGGACGCAAATCCTGGGACATATACTTGGACCTGGTTGGCTTGCGGGCATGCGAGACTGACCACAGCCGATCCATACTTGTCATGCGAACGGCGTCAATCACTCAGACATGCGATGCGCAATGAGTCGATTAGGGGTTCGCCTCCTTGTTGCTCCGAACGCTGCGGGATCGCTGGGTGGAGAAGAAACCACGACGTCGGTGCTCGCGCCCACTGTATCCTTTCTCCGGCTTGCCAACGGCGCCGCCCATGCAGTACAGGACGCAAGAGAAGAGAAGACAAGCCACCGCGGTCCACATGAAGGCGAACGATTTGACACCGAGTTTGGCGACCTGGCCGTTAGAACTGAATCTGTTACGACCTTGAACGAAAACGGCGCTGGTTGGGATGTTAGAAAAGCGTTCCAATGCCTTATGTGCTGGGTCATAGATGGAATATCGACTCACGTCATCAAAGAGGTAGCGATGATCTGGAAGAACAGAGCAACCCAGGCCATGAGGGACGAGAGGTAGCTTCCAATGCGGGTGCACATGGCCAGGAATCCGGTGAAGAGGGACACCACAGCGAAGAACAGGGAGATGATCAGGAAGGGGAAGATGAACCGCGAGGTCAGGAAGTAGTGCTTCGATCTGCAATCGCATTATCAGTTGATGTACAGGCACGGAAGATTGGTCGAAAGTCGCCTTACCCAATGAACTCAGGCGGAATGTTGGTCGTAGTGTCGAAGTTTCGGTGGCTTGGCGGGTCAAAAGGAAAGTCGGGATACGACTTTCCACACTGATTCTTCCCATCTGCGTCGACACGGCAGATATTCCAGAAAGTCCATCGAGATAAGTCAGGGGCTCCAGGGATATTGCTCGTGTCGACCTGAAGCAGATAGATCTGGTTCAAAGGGTTCGAGTTCCTTGCTCCACCAAGAATGGTGAGGAACATCAGCAGTAGAGCTGAGGCTGTAAAGAATAGGCCGAGAAAGCCCAGCGCCGCTCCTATACAGTCTCCATGTCAACGAGTGTGTTCGAAGTGAAACCAAGGGTTCGCTCGGGGGGAACGTACTGCTCAAAGGCATGGTTGCTAGGGCTCGTTTCCTTCGCTTTCGGCTTGGAATTACTTGTATAGACCACTCGAATGTCAACAGAGATGGACGATCGCGACGATAGTAGTGCGCTCAGTGGTATGCAAGAGCAAAAAAAAAAAGTACCTCGAAGTCAAGGCGCGTCAAAATTTTCTGGAGGGTTGCAGGCCCGGATGGCACAGCTAGGACTTTCAACTAATAAGACGGATGTCCGGAGGTACCGGTGACGTCCTCTCGGGTCGGCAGGGGAGCAGAGTAGTGATATAATAATGAGAGCGCATCATATGGTTCTGCACCCTCGATCGAAGGTTCTGCAGTGTTCATCATCGCCGGGTCGTCCATGTCCAGAGCAGCGCCGGAAGATGTCGACGTCATCGTCACTGCAACCCCGCTAGCTGTCCTCGGCTAGCCCCGACCAGGTTAGCGTGGCACGGGGTCCATGACGTTGTCGCAGAATCCCATCGCTGCTCTATTTGAGGTTGCACCATCCACGAGCCTTGATTTTGTCGCTCCTGACTCTATTAGGCTGACACTTTCTGGTCCGACTGGGTCGCGGTGGATCGCCGTGGGAGTTAATGCGACCATACTTTTTTCTGGCGGTCTGCGGTGAACTGCATCACTGGGGCCCAAAGCTCCTTATCCAACGTTTCTAAGGCGTAAGGGACACTAGGCACATCCGACTGTCCGAAACTCAGGGCTAAACAAGCCGACTGCTCTGTTACTTGGTCCGATCTGCAAGATGGCTACCTGGGCATATCCTCCCCTGCCTCCGGAGCGATTGGAGCAGGAAGCCGACAGCGCATTGGTAGGTGCTTTTGCTCATCCCACGCTTTGCTTACCAAATCAATGCCCCAGCACCGGTAGAACTCGGTTGGCCTTTCTGACATTCTATACAGGCGAAAGAGCTGGAATGGCTACTGCGCAATTTACAAGACTCGCTAGCATCCCTGAGAGAAGGTCTCCATGAATGTGAAGCGCTTTTGGCTCCCAAGGAGCCCGGTAGCACATTGGTCCTATCGTCTCTGCGATCCGAGAATGTAAAAGGGTTCGTCACAAGAGTTGGTACCAAAATTGTGAAAGGCGTATGTTTGTTTAAACTTTTGCCCTTCCGGCACTTTGAGAGTGCTTGATTTTCTGCCTAATTGCACGCACAAAGGCGCTGAATTACGTCAATGCAACAGGATATCCAGCTTCGCCTTAGCTCCCTTGCATCAGTGCGTGGCTCGCCCACCACTCGATTGTGCCTGTCAGCCGGCCCTGATGCTCCAGAGCTCGTGCTAAACCAACTGGCTTCGGTGAGAAACTTGGTCAGCCAGAGCCTCGATGTTGTGGACGTTAGCACATGGACCGGCGACCCGCTCAATGCGAGTTTTATATTCGGTCAATTACACCTTTTGCACGAGACCATCTCCGAGGCTCGGCAAATGCTAAAGGGTGATAATGATAAAGTCAGAGGCAAATGGTGGGAAACTAGTGCAGCTGAAGATGTAAGTCTTACCAGATGTCGTCCCGGGACTACACGCTTATCTCCTCGTCTGGTCTTACGGCCACTAACTCGATACTGTAAAGATGTTTGACCCCCCCGTTCCCTCGTCGCTTTCATTCCATCTCTCGATTGCAGATTCAGCTCTGGTGCTGTACCTGAGGACCCTCGAGCCCACCACCCCCAATCACACTCCAACCGCCTTTGCGACTGATATCTCGTTGACCGGGTTCAACCTGCGGGATCGGATCTTCGGTACTCGCCATCGCCCGCATGATGAGGCTGGTGATGTATTTATCTGGAAAGGCGAAGAGGTCAAAGTGAAGGAGAAGGTGCGAGTGGAGAGTCAGGATCCCAGCCTGATGGCCGTCATGGCTAAACTGACTGCCTTACAACATGAGGTGATGAAGTGGATATCGGCCTTGAAGGTTCTCATGGGTAGTGAGGATTCAGAGAGCGACACTCGGTCTTAGATAATTGTACATAGAACCTGTTACCTTGTAAATGGATACCATTTGATTTGTGCCTCATCCGTGCGTCATGAATTATAGAGATTCCCAGGTGATGCCCGGTTCCTGGCCGGAATACCGCAATGGGACAAAGGCAGATTATGTCATCCACTGAAGATCCTTCCGACCAATCACCGTGCAGCCATTTTTGATACGCGCAGGTCTTGGCGCAGGTTTTCCCTGTCGCTGCTCTCCAGTGGTGCTGCTGCTTCTTCCTCTCTTCCAACCTCGAATTTATTTGTTTACAGAGTGGCAGAAGGTCTGAGGATGCTGTCAAGAACTTCGGCAGCGCGGGCAAGTTGGCCATGCTCCCACAGACTTTTACGACCGATCGCGAATCGACCGCCGCAAACCGGCTCGCAACAGCTCCGCGGAGCTGCCAGCTTCCTACCAACTCGACAACGCAGCAGCGCCATCACGCCGAAGGGTTTATCGCCTAATTATGTAGTGCGAGTCTCGCTCCCAGGATCGAATCATGGAGCTCGGACCCTTGGGGCACGACATGCATCTACGACACCACCTGCGGAGGCAGAGGCTAATACCAAACGGAAAGATGCCATCTACGCCTTGATCGACGAGATCAACGATAATGAAATGAAATTGGCCGTGCTGATGGATGACTTGAATCTCTTGGACAACTATTTTGAGGCCCTCAACTTCGACGGACCCGAGCTGGATGATGTATTTAGTCAAACAATCGGTCATCGGGACGCTCAAACGTTGGAAGCGCGCGTGCGCTCGGCGAGACAAGAATTCGGAGACACCCTCCCGGAGGATTACCTAAACCAAACGGAGATCGAATTATATACCCAATTGTACGGCGAGCCTATCATCGTACAAGAACAAATGGAGCTTGAAGTTGAGGACGAGGAGGACCTGAACACACTATACCGTGAAGATGGCGAGGGAGGTTGGCAAGAGGTGGATGTCGAAGAAGCTGTGTCTGAAGAAGAAGAGGTTCCGGTGGTCTACGACATGGAGATGGGTCCCGTAGAGGACGAGACCGCTTCTATGCAGCGAACACGAGAAATCGCCGAACAACTCGGCGGAGACGTCATGCTCGAACAATTTGGGGAGGATACAATCCATGATGATGCGCCACGGCTTCATCCCCGAACGGTCGAGGGAAAGTTCGCCACCGATCCCAGTACCGTATATCTGCCTAAGGATACTGTGACCGGCCCCATATCTGTGATCCTGTCGGATTTCTCGAACAAACACATTTCGGAGGCTGCTCGTCGCATATTCGGCGGCGCAAGGCTTCCTCATTCCACTTATACTCCACTCCCGCGTGCTCAAACGCCTCAGACCCCGATACCGTTGTCGGCGTCGCAACGGCACATGACCGAAATGGAAGCTAATGCGTACATCGCTGCTCTATATCCGGGACTGTACGCCTCTGCATTGAGCGTTTTGACGGAAGTTCGAAAGCGCTTAGGTCCCGAATGGATCCGTGGACTGATGTCGCAGGAGGAGGGTCCGCACATTCTCGATGCTAGCGCAGGAGGCGCTGGTGTTCTCGCATGGAGAGAAGTTCTTCGTGCAGAATGGGAGCTTATGGTGCCAGACCAACCGGAAGGCAGCCCATACCCGGTGGGTAAATCCACGGTAGTTGCGGGATCCGAAAGTCTCCAGCTTCGCGCCAGTGCGATGCTTGAGAATACTTCGTTCCTCCCCCGGCTTCCGGATTATGTTCATGTTCGCGAGAAACCGACCCTTGATGACTCAAGAGCTCCCCCGAGGCGCAAACAATACGACGTCATTATTGCTCCGCATTCTTTGTTGGGCATTGAGGAGGAATACATGCGCAAGGAGCATGTCGAGAATTTGTGGAACCTTCTGAACCCGAACGGCGGTGTCCTGATTCTGCTTGAAAAGGGGCATCAGAGGGGATTTGAGGCAGTTGCTGGAGCTCGTGAAATGCTGCTCAAGCGCCATATCTCAAGCCCCGGCTCTACGCAGTACGAGAACCTGACTGAATCGGCGAGCGAAGACACACACACTCAGAAAGAAACCGGCATGATCGTGGCTCCTTGCACCAACCATGGCAAATGCCCCATGTATCATATGGATGGACATTCGAAGGGCCGCAGGGATTACTGTCATTTCGAGCAAAGATACATCAGGCCCCAGTTTCTGCAACGCATTGTAGGGGCTAAGGATCGGAACCACGAGGACGTCAGGTTTAGTTATGTCGCTGTGCGGCGTGGCATTGATCTCCGTCAGACAGAAGGGATCGTCCAGGGCCCCGAAGCCGCTGAGGCCGCCTTTGCAGGTTATGAGCACAATGATGATGTCTTCGCTGAAGAGGCGGAGGTGGGAGAAGCGCCACCAGCGAGCCAGGATGGTGCTTCCGGCAGCGGCGAAAACTTCCACACCTTATCGCTCCCTCGAATTGTCTATCCCCCTATCAAGCGTCGCGGACACATCATCTTTGACTCGTGCACGCCCGCGGGGAACATCGAACGCTGGACCGTTCCTCGTTCTTTCAGCCGCAGGGCGTACAAGGATGCCCGCAAATCACGCTGGGGAGATCTATGGGCCCTTGGTGCAAAGACTCGCGTTCACCGGAATCTGACACTTGGAGATAAACATGGGGAGGGCAAGAAAGAACGACTGCAGAGGCGCGCAGCCGCCAAAGAGGAGCTCAGTGATGCCGAGAAAGACGAGCTTGAGCACCAAGAAGAGATGCGCTCATCGAGCTGGCCGGAACTGGCCGTCCCGCCAAGGAAGAAGGGTCAAAATATCCCTAGCTGGAAGAAAGCTGCAGATAAGAAGAAATTGCGACAGGCGACGAAGCAATATACCGCTTCTAAGCTTACTGGTGAAGAATAGTCTCGAGTTTTGGATTTCTTGGAGGCTTTTACTTCCAAGCACGCTGGCGTTAGAGTGCGGTTTCCGAAGGGTTTTTATTTGGGTGGAAAGCAGACTTGGTCTAGATACGACTTAGTCTGACTTGTATCATGTGTACGATATATGGCTGCATTTTGAAAATTATGTATAAATAATGTATCTAATTGAGCTCCTCACTCATAATAGCATCTCAGTTTCTCATCTCTTCGTTATCAATGATTCTATGTATAGAGTGCTGCCAAACAGCCGATTCACAGTTTCGAAGCCGATCGACTAGCCTATGTCGGTCCCAGAGTATCATGTTTTGATATTATTCTCCGAAAAGGGAACACTTCGACAAAAGGCGGCGTTATAGACGTGGTATGGTCAAATCTTCTCCCCGTTTCCAACCGAAAGGGCCGTGTTCGTCTTGTGTTCCTTCGGTCTTCTGGGAGACCGTGATAATCGAGTCTTGCTTCGTGGCGCAAGAACTCTCGAGGCAAGCAATGCGCACTGCGTGTAGTTTCCTTTCCCGTTCGTATCAAAGCGACGGAATCAAGCTAGGTTCGCATACCCCACCAATATATGCCTCTCTCAAACTTGCGTCTTTGTCCAAGACAAATAGAGTGTACAGTAAGTAGGCCCTGCGATTCAGAGCCATCACCCTACTGAATAGCCATGCTCTTCCTCAACTGTCGCTCCCGCTGTTTACCCTGCAACTCCAGCCTCTCGACCGCATACTGAAGCCGCTCCTTCTTCTGAACCAGCCGTCGATACTCAGCCGCTTTCGACGCGGAGACGGCCTTAGACCGATCACCGAATGCGCTGCTCCTATGCGGACGACTTGGGGGTTGGCGGCTCTCGCCCGAATACAGTCTTCCCTCCTGCAGCTCGCATTTCGCACGGAGTCCTTCTTCGCGCCGGGAGAGCTTCTCGACGTGATTCGACGCTAGGGAGAGGAGATGGGCGATGCTGGGGGTGATTTCGTCGAGGAGGGATTGCTGGGCTTCGCGGAGGGTTGGTTCAGGAAGGAGTTCAAAGTGCTATTATTGGTTGGTTAGAAGGCTATAATTGCTTGAGGGGGGGGGGGGGGGGGGGGGGGGGGGTCATAAAAGAGGGGGGTTGGGTGGGTTTTGGGGTGCGGGGGGATTACAGGAGTACACCCCACGCGGGTTGG